ATGGAGTTTGTTCTTGAGGTTTATCTGGGACAAAATACAGCGCTTTTACTGTAGCATTTTCAAATGTTTGTGCTACTCATATGCCAGCTCAAATGTTAGTCTAGAATTATTGTCAGGCATGTTAACATTCTTTAAAGAAAAGACTAGACATTTTTCAGGGAGGAGGGCGGAGGAGAAATGAAATAGTGTCATTCTTATAATCTATTTTTTAACCAGTAGGACTGAAGGGAGATGAACTCTCCTGGCTAGGCAAGTGTTTGTAGCTTATTCCTGCAAACTTCTGGCTTCTGTGGCAGCATTTTCAGATTGCTGTTCCTGAGTTTGTATTTTGCATGCAGGTAAGGTTTTTCATGATACTGAAAGTGTTAGAAAGAAACCTGGGGAGACACCAAGAGAAGATCAAAGTCTAAAATACAAGTCGTCGTATGATCTTTTCCACTACCACGTTATCCCTTCCCTGAGCACTTCTATGTGTCTCATGGACCAATACGTATTTTTAAAATAACCTGTGTTCTTAGAAGGGATTGGGCACATGCTAAATTTTGAAAACCCAATTAAATGCAGTTTTTGAGAAAGGACTGAGGTATTTTTAATAATCATGGCGGTTTTCAGTGTTCCCCCAGTTTTCTCTGAAAATAAGTAGCACTTAGGAAAATAAGAAAAAATAGGGAGCATTTGTATATTTCTACCTTTTCCCTTTCAGTGGCACATTGGAATGGAGAGGGTGAAGAAGGTTTTGTTTCTGGGAGAAATAGCTGCTGGACCATTTTTTAAGGCAAGGGAAGGGTATAAGATACGAGGTTTCTGCCTAAGGAGATTTAAGCCTTAATGTGCTGCTGTCCCTGCTTTGGAAAACCGATCTCCTGTACTTTGTTAAAGAATTAATTTTTTTAGTCCATGTTCTTTATCACCAGTCTCCAATTCAAACAGAAAATTGGTCTGCAGCCTCTCTGCAGACCTCGACTTTGGCATTATGCATCTATTAATGCTGTACCTACATTCCCAAATTGATGCTCAGTCAGGATTTTTGCCTTGAAGCACCCCCAGTAATGAAATGTGCCCATGAATGAATACGAGGGGCTCACCAGTCCAGCCCAAGCTCTTTGCCAGCCCTTTCCTTTTGTTGTCATCTTCACACATTGTGTGAAGAACATCCCAAACAAACCTCGACAACAAAAGCTCCCTGGGGGCACAGTGCCACTCCTGCTCACCAACAGTAAATTTTATCCCTATTTGCCCCATTTTTCATGCTGAAAATGTAACATCCCAAACCAGTGATGGCTTCCTTCCTTTCTGCAGAGTTCAGTAAGGTTTTGCTTTTCAGTCAATTTGGGGAAGCCAAGAAGTAAGACACTACACTCCTTTCATTTTTCCTCCTTTTCAAGTGAACAAACAAGAAGCTGTTTGACTTTGCTTGTCAGAGCAGTGGTTCTTGTATTTGAGTAGCTGTAGCAATTGCTAATCATGAGAGTGATTGTAAACCCTTGCTTAGTGCTGCACAAGAGGTGGTTTCACTATGATGTGAATTAGCACAGGAGGAGATGCTGCAATTAGAGTAATTGGAGGTTACTTATAGCATATAGGAGGAAGAGGGATAAATAAGCTTTTATTTAAGATACCACTTCTGATGTGGCACCTCCTGGGTCTGAGCTCAGCAGGGTAAAATGTTCATTTTTTTCTCTGTTTTGATGCATTTATCTGAAATTTTATGCAAAATAACTGATTTTGGTGTATGTTCAGAACAGCTGAAAACTTTTATTGGGTTGTTGGTTTTAGTTGTGGGTGTTTTGTGGCTTTTTTTGGTTTTGGGCAGCAGTAGGATCAAGCAGTAGATTGCATCTCAGTACCTCTCATGCTTCATTTCCATCACATTTGGCAGTTATGCCTATTGGGATTTTAATTAATTTCCACATGGAGTTTATTCAGATTTCATATTTCAGTCTTACTAAACTGGACTTATTGTTGCCTAGATTCTGTGCATGCTCTCATCCTTGTGCAGAAGATAAACTTGAGGAAAAGACACACTGGAGACTCAACTTTTTCCAAGCACGTAGCTCTTAAAGAACAAATTAAGATACTGAATTCCCATTAAGTTTCTTGACCCTAAATGTGTGTATTTTTGTCTAAAAACAGACCTGCAATGATAGATGAAGGCAGTGGATTTTCAGGTCATTGGAAACAGGGTTATTCTTCCAGATTTGCTTTGACATAGAAATAAATTTGCAGTTGTAAAATGGGAAGCAGCTGACTAACTAGTTCATAATGTGGGTCACCAGTGTAAAAAAGGTTCCGGTCCTATTCCAGCGACCCTGACAGTATCAGCACCACTGAGACCTTAGTAAGATCATAAAAGAACAGCAGAATAGTAGTAAACTGTTCTTGATCAGTAGCAATATCAAAGATTAGAGGAATGCTGGAGATGAGAAACAAACCCACAAATTTAGAAGTGGGGTGCAAGGAAAAGAGGGAGAACTGGGGCTGGCTTGGTCCTTTGGGGTGGCCTCTTGGCACTGCTGCCTTGTCACTCTCTGCCTCCTATGCTTGCATCTCCTTTGGCCAAATGCCTCTTCGTGTTTCACAGTTCTCAAATGCTGCAGTTGACTCAAAGTTCCTTTAATTATTTATTCCCACAAACTCAAGAGGACTCTAAATTAAGGGAAGGAGTGTAAAGGTTGTTACTGCACTGGTGCTGGAATAAGGGAACAGGTGATCAATAGGCAGGTAAAAGGGGTGGTGGCTGCTTTATTTCTTGAAAAACGCTGGAATAGAGAGACAGGAACCAGATTTTCTCTGGCTCTAACAAGGAAAAGATGAATTTCAAATTTTAAAAGATTTCCACTTATTAATGGAGGAAAACCTTGCAAGAGACCATCAAGTGCATCTGCAAAATATCCCTCTCTGGGTGCTTTAAAAGCACACTAAGCAATCTTTTGTTAATGAATGAAATCCATGCAGGCAGCTCAGCTCAAAGAATTGGCAGCCCCTTCCCTGCCATTGTCCAAGGGACAGTCTGCACAGGATTTTGTGGCACACAAAAGTATAGCATTCAGCTTCTGTATGAAAATGAAATGCTCATTAGAGCTGATATAATAGTAAGAAAAAAAAAACAACAAACAAACTAAAAAACCCTGTTTTGAAAGTTCAAGACTACATCTTACTGGAAATTTAAAATACAGTATGTAACATTGATTTATGTGTTAGGTAGATAGAGGTAGCTGTGAAGATGTAATGTTGTTGTAATGTGACTGTCATTGTAATATTGTGAAGGTATAATATTGTCCTGCTCTCCACTTAACACATCACAAAATTACTGAAAGAATGGATTTTACCATGTCATTAAAGTATTTGGTAAAATGTTCTTAACTTACTGACATCTTGAAAGAATCATCAAATATCTGTTTCTTATGGATTTCTTTGTGGCATTTCAGCAGTCTCTGAGGTTATAATCATTGCTAACTAATTAATTAAAATTATAACTGAATGGGGTTGTGGGATACGTGGAGATTGGAGTAATAGTGAGTGACAGGGAGAGTGAAACAGCCAGAGAGAGATGATCTGGATTGCTGAGCATCATTTACTTACATAAATTGTCATGCAAAGGCGTATAATGAGATGTGTGGGTCATGCTCGAGAAAACAAAAAGTATTACTCAACAAAAGTAGTAATTCTGAGAATATATCAGTGTTTATAATGGACAGGTCACATGAACTCACAGCATAAAGCTGTGTGGAAGGGCCAAGAGGTGATGTCTAATAAATCACAGGCTGAGCAGGAGCTTGGCTTCGCTTGTGTGGAACCCCCAGATGTGTTTGTATTTGTGGTGCAGGTGGTCTCAGTACCAGACTGTTACAGTCCTACAGCTTTAGAACTGTTCCTGAATTGCTGTTGAAAAATTTCACTGTGGGTCAGTTCTACAAAATGGTTCCAGTACTTTTTCTTGGATTTTTTAAGAGTGTTAAATTGCTTATTTGTGTGTGGGGATACCACTGCTATCCCTGCCCTGCAAGAAATGAGTTTCTCTAAAGGGCTCTTTAATGCAGAAGGGTGACAAAAAGCAGTGGCTGTGCACTGAAATCAGGCATTTTCCATGATCCATGTGCTTTAACAGCAGGGATGAGTGGCCCTTGGAGCAAGCTGCCAAAGGAGGTAGTGTGAACACTGTGCTTTCATTTTCTTCTGGCCAAGGGTGGATAATATGCTGGCAAATGTATCAAATGAAGGTTGCTGGAGTTGATGCAGTTGTACTGGATAGGATTGAAAGGCTCTTGATTACTGGAAGATTAAATGATGTGTTCTCTGTTTCTGTGAAAATCTAGGAAGAAAACTGTGGTCAATACTTAGGGGGCTGTTGCACACTAGGGAAAAAATTGCTCATCAAACTTACTTTTACACATAAATTCTCTGTCTTAAGGAGTAATATCCATGAAGTAATGTCCATGTCTTACCATGCATTGTGAGTATTGTTCATTTTGCAGTCTGGCTAAACGTGCTGGTTTTATTCATCAAAGGGCTGCTTAATTTGATTGCTAAGAGTTATATCAATTGAATCTTAATGTATTTGAATTAGTGTCTTGCTTCTAGAAATGCTCTATGTTGAAGGAGATTGCTTAATTGGTATTCTTGTAAGTTCTACTTTTGAGTGGGTTTTAATGAACTCAGATTTACCAAAAGCAGTGTACCTCTCTGCAAGTTTGCCTTAGCCTTTGCCTGGAGGAGTTGTAACGTGTACAGGTTCTGTGCTTCTTATGCTCACATTATTTTAATGTTATTGCATCATGAATATGCATCAACACAATGTTTTCACATGCAGACTACTTACTATTAGAAATCTGTGCTATTCTATGTAATTTTGTATAGACCAGTGAATACTGTTTTATAGACTTTGGAATTATAAAAACCACTGCATGTTTTTTTAATGAAACCCGAATCTACCTGTATTTTTCTGTTTGAAGTATGTACAGGAAAAGCTGATTGTTTTTTTACCATTGTTTTTTTTTCAGTGAGAGGTTCATGGTGAGGTTAAACAAGAACGGAGGTCCCAGGAATCCGGAGAAGATCGATCGAATGTGTGCACTTTTCACAGTACGTGTCTGTTCCCTTTCTTCTCCCCTCACAGAAGTGGGGTTGGAGGTTTCCTGAGGGGAAGGAAACCCAGTTCTTCCTCTCCAATATAACTAGTAGAAGAGAAATAATTTCTAAGTTTTGTTATGGTTTTGACTAAATGTTGACATAGAAAGTGAATATACTTCTAAATTACTTTTATGTCTAAGTGAATATTCTGAAGTACTTGCATTTGTTCCTGCAGATAGTGTGAAATTTTGAATATTTTCATTGGATATGCTGTGCTCTTTGATAACAGAGCATAGGAAAAGGCTGTGATGGCCTGAACATAAAACAAGGCAGTTTTCTCTGAATGAAAATCAGACAGTGTTTTCCCTTGTCCTGTCCCTACATGCCCTTGTCAGAAATCGCTCCTGCACTGGTCTTAAGTTGTGTTTAAAATTCCCTCAGAATCAGGTGTCAGACCATCATTTTATCTGCTGCTGCTTCTCAGAAAGAATATGAAAATCTAGAGGCACTGAAACTTAACAACTCCTCACAAAATAACTGTAAGGAATCTCAGATCCCAAGTGTGATAAACACCTTCCATCGTGACTCACCTTTAGTTAGTGCACATGCTGGAAGCTCTGTAGCAGAAGTATTTTTACCTTCAGTGAAGAAGAAAGATGGCAGAGCTTTGGTTCTGGCAGTGACACTCTCTGAGGTCAGGCAGGGCTGGGCTCTGAACCAGGTCCAGCACTGTTCCCTTCTCTCCCTTAAGAAGGCAGCAGAATTCCTCCTCTTAGGGAACAGAATAGATCCAGGTGTAAGGATGCCTTGTTCTGTCTCCATCTGGATCTGAGAGCTGCAGTCCAAAAGTAGCACTGACCTGGATGCTGACATCAGTAACAGTTCTGGTTTTGGTACCATCGGTGAGGTGCTGCCAGCAGAATAAACATCAGCAAGGTGACAGTGTCACCCAAGAGATGGTAACTCAAACCCAGAGTCTGGCCCTGCTGAGAGAAGGTGGCAGGAGTTAAGGTTCAGCACTGAGGCTGAGTCAGGTGAAAGGCAGGAGTGCAGCTTTAGGACCTGCCCTAAGGAATATTCCCAAAAGGCAGCACAGGCTTCGTATCAACTTCGGCACTTTCTGGCCTCTGAGGTTCATCAGTTTGGATAAGATTTTCAGCATCCACCTTCCTCACCCTCACCCATGCCACACGACTTGGAGTCATGGTCCTGTTTCTCTCTGTGTGGTGAACAGCGTGAAACAGTTTTGCTCTGGTGATCTCCAAATCAGCCTTTACAGCCTGTAAAAAATAATGATAAATTACAGCCAGGGCCATTACACAGTTCCAGGAGGAAGCAGCTGCTTATTCTGAGTAGGGCCAGTGTAGTCCAAGAGCAGCCAGCCCTGGGATTGCAGGCATTTGCCAGTGCAGCCCCAATCCTGATCAGTGATACCTCCTGAGCTCCCTTTGCTATTACTGTGCAAAAATACCAAAGCTGCTGCAGTCTCAGCTCTCCAGGGTGCTCAGACTCCACCACTGGCTGGTGGAGGTGCTTAGACTCTCACTCATCTGCTATAGAATGTGTAGAATGTGTATTCTACCTAACAAGAATTCTAATGAACGTATACTCTACGTAACAAGAATTATAATTGGAAAAATTATCTGTGCAAAAGATCTTACATTTCTAAAACAGTATTTTTCATCAATGTGTTCAAAGAACTTGCCAAAGTGTGTAGTAAAGGAGCAATAAGTATTTGCTTTTTTGGATAACCATTTTATCTGCAGTGGTCCTATCTTATAATAATTTCTTAATTATGAAATGCTTCTAAGATAAGAGAGTTTTGTGATTTTCAGGTCTTCTCCCGAGATTGTGTTCATCTTGACTTTAAATCTATTTATCTATTTGTTTTATTTATGTTTCCTTGCCCTTACTCACCACACCACAGTATCTTTCTAAAACTCTCATCTTCCCCTAAGGCAAGCAGCCCATATCTTAGATAATTCAAGGGATCCCTATCTTTTCCTGCTATCTCTGTTACTTCTAAGGGTTCAGCTGTCTCCTTTTGTAAGATATCAAAATTACCCAGGCTTGGGTTTTACCTCTGCTGTCATGTCATAGCAGAGGTGAGAAACTGCTTGCTCTGGAGATCAAAGCTCACTCAAGCAAACCTCAGCCTGTGCACATGTTAGAAACATTCCTGGGTCTGAATTAAAATGTAACTACCCTGTATAAGGTTGTTATTTTTGTTAAATACCTTATTCTCTGTAGCCTATGAGGTTGACAGCAGGATTAAAGAACTAATTAGTGGCAGACAGGTATCCTTGATTCCAGTGGTTTGGGGGTTGTTATGATGCTGTTTGGGTTTTTTAACACATAAGCAGACCTTTCTAGAAACCAGCATTGTAAAGAACTAACCATCATTGTAGAGTAACTCTCTTCCATACCCAATACAGATGGGAAAATTTAGGGGTGATTTTCTAAAAAGCCGTTCAGTTAGAATTATAATGAAATTATGTTGTCTATCAGTCAGTATCATTTGGGAAGCTCAGAAAGATGTGGGAAATACCCACAAATATCCACCCTGTGGATGTAGTCCTAAGAATAACCAGTAAATGTGGTTTATCCTCTCCTAGTCCTAGGAGTTGTACATGGATTCTCTGCAGAGGAATCATCTGAAAACTTCCTCACAGGGTTGGGGCTTTTGATTGTTTGGTCCATGTCATAGTAAGAATTTCTTGCCTTGTAAAAAGCCTGTGCTGTACAAACTGAAATGCAAGGCCATCTGGGCCCTCATTTTTTGTCTTTTGCCTGTGACACTTTATTTGTGAAATTGGAAAAGCAACTAAAGTGTGAACCCATCAATATGTTCATGCCCTGCCGTTTTCTGATGTTTTGACAGCTGCCCTTTGAAAAAATAGTTCTTTAAATTGCTGTTAATTAGAACTGGTAATCTGATGGTATAATAAAATTCCCCCTGTCAAAGCACAGATATTTTCAGGAATCTATTGCTCTCTAGAGCATTAAGTATTACCTCCAAGTTTTTTTGCTTTTTGAAATGTCTTGTCAGGCATTTCTGAGATTAAAACTATGTCAAATCCCTTCTAGTGTGGAACTTCATGTCTCCAAGACGTGCAAGATAAAGGCTACCATATGTTACCCTGGTATGTTGGGTGATGGAGAAAGCCTAGAAAGTGTGTTCCCTTCTTGGTGTAGCAGCAAAATCGAGCCTGAGGAGGCATGCTAAGGATGGTTTATGTAGCTTCATTTTCTGGCTCTGGAGAGACAGATCTGCTGGTTAGCAGCATCCCAAAGAGTGGCTCTGCAGCTCCCTGCATATGCTGCCCTGGGAAATACAGAGCTGCTTTTAGAGAGCAAGGAGATAGATACAGCCATGAATTTATTACTTGCCTGCTGTAGTTTAGCAATGTAACACAACTGGGAAGGGATTGAAGCTTTTCCTTAGAATGAATTCCCTTTATGTCTAGTTCTGAGTCACTGTGCCAGCTTTTGTTGTGCTGTGTGGCACTGTAGTCTGGAGTTGCATTGCCATCATAATCTCCCTGATTGAGGGTTGGGTTCTCAAGTCACATGAGAAGGAAATTCCCTGTGTGATTCAAGGTTTATGTTTTAGCTTTCAGCAAAATGCAGGTTTTAATTCTAAATATTAGGAATGACAGATCTTCGATGTCCAGAGTTTCAATTTCTTCCCCTCTTTATATAAAAATAGCATTATTTCCTTTTACAGTGGTTATAATACCAAGTAGTTGAGGAGCTTTTTAAAGAAAACCACGAGATTTTTATCTGAATTGGAGACTGTTGCAGTTAATTTTTGTGTAAGTAGTACCTGACAGTGAAATGGCAGCACTCAGTAGAGAAAGAGGCAGCAGCTGTCACTGTAGAGCACAAGGAGCCTTTTTGCATCAGTCTAAAACAGGGATGAATATTCTCCCAGTACACAGTATCTGTTTAAAGTCTTGTCTGGGAGGTGACTGGCATAGGGAAAACTGGTTTTTAGGATGAAATGTTTCTTACACCTTTCCTGTAACTAAAAAAAAAAAAAAAAAAAACATGTAGGAGGAATGTCTCAGAAGTTGCTTATGAAGCAAGTTTGTTTATGAAGTTATCAGCAAAAAGTACAACATACCAAGAAAATTGCAGTTAAGGTGGCTTCTGACATGTGAATGCAAAGTGCTGCAGTAATGCTTTACTGAAAAGTGTCCTATGTATATTTTCTTTATTTATTTATTTTTAAATTTTTCTCAGAGTCAATAACACTAACTTGTCTTCATTAATTTCAGCTTTCCTTTTGCTCTTCTGTAGGTTCTCCTTTTCCTGTTGTTTGGTTTTTCTTGAAGCTCATTTTTAAAACTCTTGGCCTGCTTTTCTGTAACGTGGATTTCAGAGTTTTCATCCACATTTATAGTTGCAGGCACTTATGTTGGATTGTCTCTCTTTTTTCTAATCTTTCAGGATCTCAGCAGCAAGGACATGAAGAGGGATTTGTACATAGTTGCCCATGTAATCCGAATAGGTACAGTATGATTTTGTGCTTGAAATATATGTAATAAACAGAGCTCTTAGAGTATTTTTAAATGTATGTTTTAATTAGCTGAATTTATAATGATTTATACATTTAGAAAACTCAGTCATAGACTGATTGACATTCAGACCATATGGAGCTAAGTGTTAGAAAGTTACTGATGACTGTTTAACAGTGATTTTGTTTTTCTGAATCTGAAACAGAATTTTTGATTAAACACCACATCTACAGGAGAGGGACAAAGTAAAAAGTCTTTTTGTTTAATGTTTAAAAATTTCAAATGAGATCTTCATACTGGTGATATAGCTAGTTTACAGGGCAGCACATCAGCATGTCTGACCATCCACATCGAGTAAATCAGAGGCTGTTAGACAAATATATGTCAAGATTTGTTTGCTGCTGTTGGAATCTACTGTGGTGCAAGTACATATTTTACCTGTGTTAAGTATAATTTATTGGAAATATTAGGCTTGAAATGTTAACAGTGTATAGTGGGAGCAGCAGAGACAGATTCCTGAGCTTTGTTATTGTAAACAAGTGAGAAGTGCAGTGCCATTCGTGTGACTGAAGAATGGCCAGACAGTGTTTGCCAGGAAAGGGTTTTTAAGCCTGTTGCCAGCCCAGTCACTGCTCACACCCATTACCAGCCACAGGCACCTTTTCTGAAGAGCAGCAACTCCAAGCAGGGCTTTGTGTATTGTGCTGGGAATGGCTGTGTGCCTTCAGAGCCACGAATATATCAGAGAGGTTAGGGTTTCATTAGCTGACTTCCCGTGTCATAAGAGCCTACACGTCAGAATTGCTCTGTTATCACTTGAGGTGATAAATGAAGCCTGTAGAAAGATGCTGTATTAACCTTGATGCAAGGGCTGGACAAATTATTATGTGTAATGTTACAAGTTCACTTTGATTATCACAGTGATTTTTCTGGCCTTGGCATCTTTTGCTCTATTTAAAAACTGCCTCAGTAATAGGATGTTAATCACTGAGCAGCTTTGTACCTCAGAATTCTCTTTCCTGTGCTCCAAGAAGGATCCATCCAAACATGATTGACAACCAATATATCATATTACAAGTATTATATACAATATATAATACATTCCCTTAAAGCAGTTGAATAACATGAGAATTTGTGCAAATAGTGCACTCTATGGAAGGAGCAGAGTGAATCTCTGTGCGGGTCAGACTGATGAGTACAGCCATATTCTTGGCTCCTCCACAGATCATTTGTAGTCAGCCCAGCTGGATGCAAATATGTGTCATGGAGCTGCAAATCAAAGCTGGCCAGACATGGCGCTTTTCACTTTGCCCTTGGCTGTTTTTGGCTGAGTGAGGTGTAGGTTCAAATGGACCTCTGGGTTTGAAAAGTTTGAGTGAAAAGCTGGGGTGGGTTGACACCAGGTGCCCTCTAAGCCTCTCTGTCACTCCCCTCATCAGCAGGATGGGGCTGGGGAGTAAATAAGATGGAAGAGAATTAATGGGTGAAGATAAAAGCAGTCTGATAAAGCAAAGGCCATGAGCAGAAGCAAAGGAAAGCAAAAGATTCATTCCCTACTTTCCATCAGCCATCAATGTCCAGCCACTTCCCAGGAAGCCAGGCTTCAGTCTGTGTAAAGCCAAACCTCACAGCGACCAGTGTCCCCACTCCTCCTTTCCGTTGTGTTGCTGAGCAGAGGACACGTGGCCTGTGACATCCCTTGGCCAGTGTGGGTCAGCTGTCCTGGCTGTGTCCCCTCCCAGACCTGCCCCCCAGGCTCCTGGAGAGGTGGAAGTTGTAGAGGCAGCCCTGGTGCTGTGCCAGTCCTGCCCACCATCCCTGGGCTGTCACCAGCACTTCCCTGGGCACCAGCACAGCCCAGCACGTGGGGCCAGGGCAAAACCAATTCCAGCTCCTCCAGAGCCAGGCAGGAGTGTCACCTGCAGCCTGGAGCTGAAATTCCTGGGTGTAATGAGCGCAGCAGGCAGGATGTGGCTGTGTGTCCATCGCTGATGTTTGAGTTTCCCTCCTTTCAGGCCGCATGTTGCTCAATGACTCCAAGAAGGGCCCCCCCCACCTGCACTACCGGCGCCCCTACGGCTGCGCGGTGCTCAGCATCATGGACGTGCTCCAGTCCATCTCGGAAATCAAGGAGGAGAAGGACTTTGTGCTCAAAGTTTACACGTGAGTAACTCCTAGAAGGAAGATTTTTGCTTCTTCATTATTCCAGCAGCTCATAAAAACTAATGAATATTATCCACAGATGTTTCAGGTGTGTGAAATGCTTCAGAAGTTATTGAATATTCCCCAAATCTATGTGACTTGCAAAGCTGCTCTTTTATTAATGTGAATTATTTAAAATCTGCTGAGCTCAAACCCAAAGAAATGTGCTGCATTTCATCTGATGAAGGGAATAATAACTCGTGCCTCATCTGCTATTCCTTACCACTCATGGTAACCAACAAAAAAAGTAGAAAATAACTGAAGTCAACAGTGTGTGACAAAATTCTCAAAACAAATCAACATTTTTTGAGCAGGAATCTGTCTTCAGTTATTTGTGATTTTGAACTTTGAACTAACATTCTTAGTATGAAATGTGGTCTCACAGTTGTAATAAAGAGGCCACAGACAAACTGTCTGGAGACTGCAGAGAATATTTAAGTCCCTTGTCAGTGAGGATAAATGCTGGCAAGATCTGCTTTGCAGATGGGCTGAGGCACAGCTGACACTGCTTTGTGGTCTATGGCCACTACTGAGAGTAATAAGATAATTTGGTGGGTTATGAAACTTTGTCATTCTTTGAGAAGTGCATCCAGCAGCAGAAAATGTGATCTTCAAGGGAAACTAAATGAAAAAATGTCTTTGACTGTTCACTGAAGATTATTGGGTGTCTCTTCATGCATTTGAAATCTCTTAAGTCCAAACAAAAGTCTCTCAGAGTCAGCTCTTTCATTCTTTTGCAAAAAGTTATGAAAACTCTAGCAAAAATGTCAAATTATAGGGAAGAAAATGGTCATCTTTCTTCTCTCTGTCAGTAGAATCTGGCCAGTCTTGGCCTTTTGTCACATTCAGTTTGAGCTTATCTCAGAGCAGTGGGGTTTGGCTGTACAGTTCTATTGGCTTTGTAGATATGGTGTTAATATATTGCAATTGCAACATTTTGAATGTTTACAGAAATGGAACATTCTGATTATTAGATTTCTGTTTTGTTGCCCATTTAATGCTTCTTTAGCTTCTGAAAAATAGAACAGAAAAAACTTGTTGAAACACTGGACTTTGTCAGTGACAAGTGGAGTCACAGCCCTTTAGAGCAACCCAAAGTCTTGGTACAGTGATGGAATAAAAATCACAGGATACAGAGCTTCCCTTTTCTTCCTGCTAATCTGCAGTGTTCTGTTAACCTGGACTCCCTTCACAGCACCCAGAGCACCAACAGTTTCTCCCCAAATTCTTCAGCAGATTTGCACCAGTTGTTCCTTACGTGGGCAGGGAGAGCCCCTGGCTGAATTCAGCTCTGCAATCAGATGTTTGTAATTCTTTATCACTATTATCACTCTCCTGGGCTGCTGTAAGGCTTGTACATCATTCTTTTATGTTGCTGCTGTTTGCAGTGTTCTGTGTAAACCTCCAGCACAAATATTCAGCAGGGAACAGGGATATATCTGAGGGGCTCACTCCCAGCTCACTCCCAGCTCACTGTGTATTTGGCTTTGATAGCTATTGGTCTTTCATGACAGAGTTGTCACAGGTTTGTCTCTTGCATCTTCTCTTTGCACATTCCTTTAGCTCCCTTTTCCTGTTTGTTGGCTACTATTGAAATGACAGGGTTTTGTCTTTTGGAAGTTTAAAGTTGAATATGAGTGCTTTAACAGCCCTGAACTGATTTTCTTACCTGCTGCTCTCATTTTGATTACTGTTAAAATGCCTTAGGCCAAGTCCTAAACATCATAAAGATGAAGTAAGGAGAGGTGTATTTGTACTTTTCAAGGAGCAGTAAAAAGCATTCCTTTCATACACTATGTGGTTAAAGCTTACAGCTGCCACAAATGAGGCAGCTAGAAAAGCCTTTTCACAGGGAGAAGCTGGAAAAAATTGGAAAGACTGAAAACCTAACAAAGGCTGAAACAAATACATGGTCTGTAAATGGAGACTTCTGCTGAATCCACAAGAGAATGCTTATGGGAGGGGAAAAAAAATCAATTTACTTCACCAATCTTTCTCAGCTTGCCGTATTATTCTTAAAAATTTATGTCTGAAAAATATTTTTTTCCTCACAATTGAGATTTTTCTCTTTGTTAATCCCACAGTCATGTTAAAATCTCCCTAAGAGGATAGAGTACCACAGCTGTAGTTATAAGCTCATTATGCAAAAGCATAAAGGTTTACTTTTATTATTCTTTTTAATATATATGTAAAATAATTTAAAAGTGAGAAGGAAGTTAAATTCTCAGTCAGTTTTTTCTGAAGTAACTTGACTTAATATTTTGTATTAATTTTTATCTTTATTGAAATTTTTTGCTCATTGAACATTACTCTTTGTGTTCATCTTACAATTCCCCTGAAAACTTCATGCATTTCTCTTCCATATTCACTTCTTCTGTTTTTTTTTCCTGTCCTATTTTCTTTCAATCTTTTTTTCTCTCTTTCTCCAGCACTAGATCTTGAAATTCGTTAATGCCTGAATGCCTTTGTCTTTTGCTGTTCCATCATTGCTGTTTGCCCAGCTGGACAAGAGCTCCCATCCCATTGCTGTCCCCAGCTGCTGACACTGGGGCTGCTCACACTGGGATGGAAAACATTCCAAATGTGCATTTGCTGCACAACCAGCCAGCCTCAAAGGTGAAGGATGGCTCAGGAGTGAATTCTTATTTAGAGGAGAATTAGAGTCTTTTGTGTACTTGGTATTTGGACAAGTAAAATGTGAGCACAGTAAGACACATTCCAAGTGTTTCCAGGCCAGCCTGTAAAAGCTGGGAGAAGATCTTCCTTCCTGGCTCTCAGGAAATGCAAAGTGCAGCTTCCACTGGCACTTGGTGCAAAACTTTTAAAAGGCTTTAAGCTGCCTTTGCAGTTGATTTTAGGATAACTTGGTTGCAGGCTAATTTGCAGGCATAAGTCATTGGAGGCTGAAACCTCTTTTAACTTGCACTCCATAGGCAACTAAAAAATCACCACAAGTTAGACATTTGTTTGTAACTGTGAGGAGGGAGGATGGTATAGAGTTTGTGCTATAAGTTCTCTCTCTACTTTTAGGAGAATATTATTTGGAGTAGGATAAATGACTTCTAGTGTGTTGACAATGTGAAGATAATTTTTATCGTTTCTTGGTGAGTGAGCTGAATTAGCACACAACACCACAATTACTGGCAGGACATTTCTACTGTCCATTAATGCCTTAGCTCTGTTGTGTTTTGATTTTGAGGGATTGTTTTAGGGGGCGCAAATACAGTCAATTTACCATCCTGTGAAGCTCTCTGCTAGGTCACTTCATGCTGATCTGCCTTGTGTGGCTGTGTGGGAGCTGCTGTCTCCTCCCAGAAGGGACACAGTACTTAGAGGAGGTGGGCAGTAGAGCAAGTGAAATGCTCTGTGTGTTTCATTTGTTCCAAGTTGTCTCTGTTCCTTTTGCTGTTCTAAGAACGTTTGGGGGTGTCAGTAATTGTGCCATCACAGGCTTTGGGGGTTACCTAATTATTCTTGACAGCACATGGTTTTGCAATATTGAAGCTGTAGGAAATTACCAGTTCCTACTTGTAGATAGTCTGAATTCCTTCTGCCATGCTGTTCTTCAGTTACATAATGCAGCAAACAAAAACATCCCCACTGTCTTCACAGGAGCTTGTGTGTGTCTTACCCTGGCTGTGCTGACATGTTGTACTCTTGGGGGGAGCAAAAAAGAGATAAAATGGTAATATCCTTGGAGAAGTTTTACAAAGTGCTTTATTTCTCAAAACTCCTAGGAGCTGAAAGCTTGGAGTATTAGCTTTTTTCTTTTTTTTTTTTTTTTTTTGACTTTTGGAGTCAATAAGACAAAAATTTTATTGTGGCTGTGTGGGAGCTGCTGTCTCCTCCCAGAAGGGACACAGTACTTAGAGGAGGTGGGCAGTAGAGCAAGTGAAATGCTCTGTGTGTTTCATTTGTTCCAAGTTGTCTCTGTTCCTTTTGCTGTTCTAAGAACGTTTGGGGGTGTCAGTAATTGTGCCATTACAGGCTTTGGGGGTTACCTAATTATTCTTGACAGCACATGGTTTTGCAATATTGAAGCTGTAGGAAATTACCAGTTCCTACTTGTAGATAGTCTGAATTCCTTCTGCCATGCTGTTCTTCAGTTACATAATGCAGCAAACAAAAACATCCCCACTGTCTTCACAGGAGCTTGTGTGTGTCTTACCCTGGCTGTGCTGACATGTACTCTTGGGGGGAGCAAAAAAGGGATAAAATGGTAATATCCTTGGAGAAGTTTTACAAAGTGCTTTATTTCTCAGAACTCCTAGGAGCTGAAAGCTTGGAGTATTAGCTTTTTTCTTTTTTTTTTTTTTTTTTTGACCTTTAGGAGTCAATAGGACAAAAGTTTAATTAAATTGTTTAATCCAATTGCTTTTCAGGAGAAATGAGATTCACTGTTGCTGCTGAGTTAAAAATTCCTGACTTTGTGGGGAATCATTGAATCTTGCCACTGTGATTTAAATAAAGCACAGATGTATTTAAAATGTAGTTAGACTTGAGCAACATACTGCTTTTCCTTCCTTTTTTAACCAATAGCACTGTTTGTGGTAAAGGTGCCATTTTTTTCACGTGGGAGAAGATTTTATGGTTCATCTTTCATGTAAAAGCTTGATAAAGAAGGCCACTTCATTCTCTGCCTTTTTCTCCCCAGTCTTAGGTCTTTCCCATCCTGTGGGACAGTAGCCTGTGGCCTCACAATGTGGGAATGGTTTCCTTGGTTCCTGTCTCAGTGGCACTTCAGTTCCTGCATGTTGTGCTTTGGACCCTGAACAGAAGTGTAACACTCATTTTCTACATGACAGTCCAGATAGAATGTCCAGAGCTTTCTTCATTCTGTCATAATTTGAAGAGTGGAACAATGGCTTTTATGACAGAAGAGTCATCACCAGCTCCAAAGTGTCCATTGAAAGGACATAATTATTAGGGAATATTTTGTGTCCTTCCACTTTTAAAAATAAGATTTATGTGGGATTTCTCTCATTCATCCAAACTCTACAAGTTTTCGTATTATCCCTACAGCAAAGTTGGCTGTCATGTTCTAAGATGGTTCAGTGAAAGCATTTAACTTGAATAAGTGTTCTTTTCTTTTAGGTGTAACAATGAAAACGAATGGTGCCAGATCCATGAAAACATCATCCGCAAGTCCAGCACCAAATACACGGCCCCCAGCTCCAACTATGGTAAATATCTCCTGGGGCTTGTTGGTCAGAGCCACAGCTGAACATCCCCTGTAGGAAACAGCTGAGAAGTTCACTTAGATGTGAGGTTTTCCTTTCGTAGCTAATGACAGATAAATAGGGAAAGTCAAACCTGTCTTATCTGTTTACCTCATGTAATGATGTCTGTAGCTGCTAATTCAGAGATATCACTGCTCTCCCATTCCCAGTGAAGCAGCTGATAGGGTACAGTTCAGCTTCATTACAGCCAGTTCTGCATTCATTACCAAGTGCCTGAATCATGCTAATGTCCAAGTACTGAATTTGTCTTAATTTTGCTTGTTTGCATATTGAGACACTAGTGGAATATGCAGTGAACACTCCCATAGAAGAGATTAAGCACAACAATAAGCAAATAAAACATTTTGCAGATATGAAATTTTACTGTGTGTAAAGCTGGTTTCATTCCCTGCTGCTCCTCCTGTTGCAGTTAGTTATCCACTAGTCATCATTAAAATATCTTCCGAAATTCTTTATGGCTTTGCCAACTTGAGCAACATGTCTGAACTTCCAAATTTGCTCCACTCCTTTTATACTAGAATTTTTTAAGTTTATTTTCATCGGTTTGTTTTTTTAATAGCAAACTAGGATACAAAATGAACAAGTTATCCTGTAAGTGGCAAAAATAGTCAAGGCTGATTTCCAATGAACATGTGTGTCTTGTGTGCTGTGAAACCTTCTGTACACACAGACACCCTCATACATGGTATTCAAAGGGCTTGGATGTTTTCCATGGTTTCAGAGCCTGTGTTTTCCCTGCAGTGCTCTCCTGCCTACCCAGCTGGGCAGTTGCAGGTCCGTGTTTTGGCAGCTTTTGAGTACATGCATGCTGACTGTCCAGCTGGCTGGTTGGCCTCTTTTCCTTCATTTTGAGGCTTTATCCTCATTTTTTCAACTCCCAGTATTCATGAAATGTATACAGTCTTCATGTAATCTGGCTATCTATCTATTTGCCAAATTTGACTGAAGCCAAACAACAGGCTTGAAAATTATTTCAGGGGGAGAAGGCAGGAAGTGGGTGGGAGGTACACGGTACTCCTGGTTTTGTTTCCCTGGTAACTTGTCTGAGAAAATGGTGACTAAATATTGGTCACAAAGCCCAGATACTGAGCTTAGGAAAGAACAGGACTTTTGCTCGTGCAAAAATGTGCATCCAAGGCAGGGTTTGGTGTGGTGCGTGTTGTTCTGGGCAGTGAAAGAACTCTTGACCAAGTGACACTGAAGTAGATAGAGAATGTGGAAAATTGCTCTGTGCAGGTAATTCCCTTGGATATGTGGAGCTGGTAGTGTGTGCTCAGCAGGTAAGACTGGGTTTGAATGGCTGAGCTCAATCCTGCTATTTTTTTTGTATGGTAATGCTGGGCTTCATCATTTTACCAGTACGCTCTCCTGTGTTGTAAATTAAAAGCAAGTAGAGAAAACAGCTGGACTGAGATTAAGTGTGCAATTATTCCTAGTCCAGCTGTTCAGATGATCCACTGAACCATAGAGCTGGTTGCTGAAATCAATTTGGCCAGTTGGCACTCCTGAAACACGTTGAGGAACTGCTGGGAATTTCATTAAAATCATCAGTCCTCTATGAAGCAGTTAAAAAAATAGTGGAAAAGATACACTTTGAGATTTACATTTTTTTTTCATGGTATAAAGCAGAATTAAAGGCACTTGTGAAATGTTCCAGAGCTTTGTGTGGTTGGTGGTACCTCAGACAGAGGTGTTGTAACCTGCTGCATGTGAGGAAAAGAAATAATGGAAATACTTTCTGTACCTGAGACATGTCTGCAAAACTAAGTATTCTGACTGTTAGGAGTTGTATTTTAATATAATTCTGTGTTCTTAACTGATCCCTTATAACAGTTTTGTTTCCTCCATTTCAATTTTCAGTTACTCCAAGGGAGAAAAGAACTTTGTTTATGTATTGTATTAAATTAACTGTGGAGCAGAACATTAGTTTACCTGCATGCTGTGTACACACAGAATCCAATTCTTAGGTCAGAAACAATGAACCTCTTTGTCTTTTTCCCAGGACTTATAATATCTCTTCAGCTTCTTCGTGGTGACATGGAGCAGATCCGAAGGGAAAACCCCATGATCTTTAACAGAGGTGTGGCTGTCACCAGGAAGCTGGGATTTCCTGATGTTATAATGCCAGGTAAACAGAGCAGCTCCAAGCCAAGATATTGGTCATTCTTTTCTCATACTCTCCCAATCAAGTGCAACTGGGATGGGCACTTGACTTGAGTGGGATTTGTAACAGAGCTGTCTTATTTATCAGTAAATGCCAGATTTGGGGAGGCAAATGATAAAATATTGTCAGGAACAGACATTACAGTGATAGAAGGTGTTAAAATCACGTGGATAGAAGGGGATCTGGAAGGATTGCTCTGATATTCCCCATGACCCCTGCCAATTATTATCCCTTTTTTGCACTCAGCATAGAGATGTTTGTTTTTAAATGCATGAAACTACTTCTTCCCAACAATCCAAATCCTGGAAAAAATGAGTTTCCACTTTGCAACCTTGATGTTTTCAAGTTTGTGTGATCCTTTTGTAAAGAGAAGCAGAGAAGGTGCAGACCTGGTTGGATTTTCCCTCTGACCTCACAAGCAGTTGGTCCATGCAATGTTTTGGCTGCAGCCCTGCTGTGCTTCCTCTGCTCCTCACTTCTGGAGCAGCAGCTGGAGATGCTTCTTGGCTTGGCAGCCCCAGCACAGCCAAGAGAAGAGCCCAGAATGTGGGCAGTCATGCAACCACATAAAATCTGGTGTTACAGTGGCCTGACTTTTGCAGTGTGGTAAGAAATGGGTTTGCTAATTAGTAGCATTTGAACTATTACTTCATTGCTGTGATGAGCAAGCCCAAGGATGACTTTACAGACACGGGAGATTTGGTGAAAGCATAATGGAAAAAGCATTAGATTTTATTACTCAAAAGGCTGCAGTGAGACATCAGTACCAGAAGTAGTTGTAGCCTTGTTATGGAAGCTCTTCAGAAACCACAATAAAATAGGGAGTAGGTGGGAAGCATTTCTAGAAACTAAAGAATCAAAGGATTCAGAACAATGTGTGTATATTTTCTAATGAGCTTGAAAATGGTGGTAACAGAGCAGCAGAGGATGTGGGCTATAAAGCCAATTATAAGTTTTAGTTCTTAGCGACCTTATAGCAGTTCCAGGCATAACACAGAACAATCAAATAGGGAAAAGATTAATTATTGCAGGCTGATGTACAGACACAGCAGCTGCAAGGTGATCTGCTGTAATTGAGATCACAGCTGGATGTGTCACATTTACACACCTGTGCAAGGGAGTTGATTCTTCTGCAGAACTGCTTGATCCTCCATTTCTATGGATAAAACTGTATCTCAGGTGGCTCAGGCCACTGAAGCTGAAGAAACAGCTTTGTGTCCTCAGTGTTCCCTGAGTAGCTTGTTTTTGTTTTCTGGGCCCTGGCCCCCCTGCATGTGCACAGTGTCCCCTGTATTTGCTGCTTTGGGCAAGGCCTTGGGCCAGGGCTAGAGCAAACAGGTCAGCAGTGCTCATACAAAAAGTGCTCCTGCCCTAAGCTTTTAAAATTCTCTGTTCACTGCAGCTAATCCAAATTTCCAGATTCTCTTTGTGAGAATCACAGTTCTTTTTGGAGAAGACACTGGGTTTTAAGATGATAACCTGTTCGGAATGGGACTCCTATTTCACAGAATTTTCTAGGTTGGAAGGGACCTTTAAGATCATCGAGTCCAACAATTTACATTTTTATATATACACACTACACACACACACACATATATATGCTCAAAATGCTGATTGATAGAAACAAATGCGTGACAGGATCTCCATTCTGCTGTTAAATGCTTCCTGACTCTCTAGAGGGTCTGGGCAAAGAACTTCTCCTTGATTCTTGGTGTGCCACAAGAAGTTTTCATGCATTGAGTTTAGATGCAAAGCTGTAGGCATTGAGGGAATAATGCTCTATTTGTGAGGAAAGGCAGCTTGTGCATGTCTGTAAACACCAAGGGAGAAAAGCAAAGCAGTTGAGGAAGTGTGAATCAACTTTCACTGTAGTTTTAAATGAGGACATTGCCAGAGTAGAGAGGAGCTGTAAAGAGAGGGATAGTCATGAATGGGGCTCCAAACAAAGGCTTTCACTATTTTGGGTATTCCCCAGAATAGTGAAATCTCTGGAAAATGAGGAGATTGAAACATAATGGAACTCAGGTGATGCAGCAAACAGTGTTCAGTCTAATTACTAATCAGGATTTTTTTGGAACTCAAAGGATATTTGATGTACTCAAGTGAGAGCAGATATTTGCCTGTTGTTTGCTTTTAACACAACAGATGCAGCTGGGGTTGGTTTGCCTGACATCCAGGGTAGAACATTTGGCTGTGTTACCTTTCAGGTGGATTAGCCCAGCTGTGTGAACAAGGAATGTCTATCAACAGACTTTGTGCTTATGTTTCTACAGCCAGGCTCAAACATTCTTCCTTAGCCTTATGAATATTGTCTAAAGTTGAAAAATAATTCATTGGGGACACACATGACCAAAAAAAGAAACAAAAACCCCTAATCAAAGAAGAAGCCTGTCATGCACATGAGCAGTTCTCAGCTGTGTCTGCTGCTGTAATAGTCTGTCAAACTAGCTCTTCCTTGCTTTGCTTCAGAACTGTTTGTCATTAAACACAGGGTTTCCTCCTCCGGAAAACAGCACAGAAAGTTCTTGTATTTTGCAAGTGGATACAGATTTTTCAGGACAGTGTGGTTTAAAAATGTTTGTTATGAATAAATTAATAAAGGCTATATCACCTGGTAAAAAAGCAGTGATCATTCTACTGAACCAGAAATCTATTTTTTAAAAGGTAAATAGCTCTAGCATTTCAACTTAATTTTTTTGTCATAGGTTTGAATGTTTTCATTTTCTTTTTTAACAGGAAATCCTCTCACATGTCCACATCTTAACTATTAAAATTTTGTACCTGTGTCTCATTATTGTTTTCCTATCCCTTTTTATTTTCTAAAGTGCAGCATTAGCTCCCTGTGTCAAGCCCTCTTTTTCTGTCCCTCAGATAGGAGAAACATCAGTGGTAGCTGGTCATCATTAAGAAACAAAGTGAAACTGGTGTTTATGGGTTTGTATCTTGCATGGTTATGCAGAACAAGCTTAATATTGTCCAAAACAACCCTTCCTGCCTTCTTTTGTAAAGATAAAATGTTCTTTGTTTCCCACTGTGTTGTGATCCGACAAGAGCATCATAAAGACTTCAGTTGTCTTTTTTGGCAAGATCAGAGGGGATTTGGTCAAACCAGCCTCCTGAAGAAGTTATGGCGGGGTTTTGTTCAGTTGTGGTTTGGTTGGTTTTTTTTTATTATTCCTTTTCTAAATTGTTCCTGGGTTTAGGCCATGCATCTGATGGTGCCAATTTTACCTTTCCCAGAGCTGAGAGCAGTGAGGCCTGTGCTGCTCCTTGGGGATTGCAGCTGGGCTTTGTGCAGGACTTGCTGAGCAGAAATCTGTTGCACAGGCTTGGTGTTTGTCAGTCCCCCAAGGACATCCCTCCCCTTGCCCATGTGCTGATAAGTATTCTGTCTTTTCCTTTGATCCTCTGATGAAAAGTGCATGCTTCATCTCCGACTTGTGAGTGATGTTTCTTTCTCTTTTTTCTCTCTCCTTGTCTTAATTTCCTGGCTTCTCTCCTGTTCCTTTCCCTTTATTCTCTCCCCTTTGTTTCTGATGCAGAGATGAAGATTGTTGGGTGTAAGTTTCTGCTTTTCTGTGTAATGTCTGCTTTTTGCTTGCTTTTTTTTCCATTTTCATATCTTCCATGGAATGTTGGGATTGATAAAGACAGCGAATCATAACATCACAGGGCAACCTTGGTAACAGGGAGGTGGAGACTTTGTCTCTCTTCATACCACAGGGTTTTGGGCAAATTTAGTAACTGTGACAGGTGAATCAGGAAGAAGCAGGTGAGAAGCATCTCAGCATCTGTTCAGTCAGTGAGCACAAAGTCATGGCAAAAATGCATTGAGGAAAGGACATGGTAAAATCCATCAGCCATTCTCAGAATGTTCATGGCAAGAGTGTTAACAGGACCAAAAGCCATAATTATGTAATAATTATCACCAAAAAGTGTCTGCAGAGAGAATAAAAAGTATTATTGTCATAAATAAACTTGTGGAAATGGAAAATTTGCAGAGACAAAAAGCATTATAAAACAACTTCCTACTACTGAAAGGCAACTATTCCAGGGGAAAAACTGCATTTAAAAAGGGCATTGTATAAATTCTTTTCTATACATAGAAGTCAAACAATGGGTAGCAAATAACCTAATAAGTATTGCTTGTCCCTTTTCTTTGAAACAATTGTGTTCTGCTCAGTGAAAGCTGGAGAAGCACACAGAGTTAAACTTGCATAATGTTCTCTTTAGAGAAAAAAAAAACTAATTTAATTTGCCATAGAGGCAGCAGATAAAAGCTTTGTTTCCCCTTGTTGCTGTAATACTGCTCACAATTATGTTAATAGTTGCTCGCTGTAACTGTTTCAAGAATATAGGCCTTAAAAAAACCCTGCTGCCTGGCTGGTGAAGGGCCAGAGAAATGAGCTGCTGCAGTGGGTGGAATGTGATCCCCAGAGTGTGGGACTGTGCCAGGAGTGCGCTGGGAATATGGAGGGGCTGCAGAGGGGGTGGCACTGTTAAAGCCAGGGAGAGTCACACAGTGGGAGGAACAAGTCCTGAGGGGCAGCCAGAAAGCAGGACAGGGGTGCTGGAGACTCTTGCCACTGACCCTTGGCCAGTTTGTTGGTTTGGAGGAGGGATGTGATGAGCCCAAAGCTGCTCCTGTCAACCTCAGCTGTGCTGCAGCCCCTGCCCTTCACAGGCAGCTGTGTGCTTGCACTGGAGGCAGCTGCACCTCCAGCTGAGGGTGGAGTTTTGCTGTTTTTGATCAGGGACCCATCACTGGCCACCTCCAAAGCAGCAGCTTCCTGGGAAAAGCCATGCAGAGAGGGAATGTGCAGGATAATGTGAGAGTCTCAGCCAGGAAGCAGAGCAGTTCCCCTGCAGGGAGCTCAAACAAATAGAGCCAGAACATGTGATAGATAACACTGCACATGAACACAAATCCTCTACACTTTGCTTTGCTTCAAAGCCTTTCCTTGCTGGCCCAAGTCCTCAGTTTGAGCTGCTGTAACTTGGCTCAGGGTAGTGGGGTGATGCTGATGGCTCTGGTTGTTCATTTATGGACTGGACATAAAAGCACAGGTTTGGGTTTTCTTCAGAAGCCATTGTGGAATATACTCTGAATAACTTTCTTGCCCATTCACTCTTTTGTGAAGTGCCACTATTTTTGAAGCGATGCCAAACCCAGGGGTGTTAGAGAGTCCAGCAGACAGTGCATCACAGTGTGGGGCCCTAAGTGAATAGGACCAGCACAGCAATTTCATAAAAAGAGACCTAAACACTAATATTCTGATTTTTTTTCACCCTTGGCTGCCTAAATTGTTCAAGACCTAACTTTCACCTTTAAAAATCCAAAATTCTCTGGATAAATAGCTATTGTACTTAGTTGAAACTAGACCTACACACACAGGCTTCTGGGAGCTGCCACTTTTCCCCAGCTGGCAGGGATATATTACGTGTCCACAAAGTCACAAGCTCAGAAAAACAAGTTGTTAGAATTGAGTGACCAGAAATTTGTGTCTCTTTCTCCTGCAGAACCTTCTGTGAATTATGTACCCTTTTTGGATATAGTATTCTTCTGCACAAAACAGGGACCATTCCTGTCCTTAGGGTCCAAAATCTTTAGGATCCCTGAATAAAAAGTGTTGGATTGAATGCAGGCAGTTCCAGTAAATTGTTACTATTTTGCAGTACAAGTAACTGGTCAGTCTTCCAGTGGAAAACCTACACACCCTGTCAGGATAAACTCCCATTTCTTCTGCTAGAGAGTGGACAAGGAGTGGCTGTTGGGCTGCTTCAGGTTATTAAGTCTTGAAAATGATAAATAACTATTTGAAAGTCTTCCAGTACGTTCCTTTATACTGCAAATGCAAAATCAATATTTGGCTCATGTAGCCTTTTCCACCACTTTTTTTGCCCCCATTACCATTAAAATGGTTTCAGGTCAATACAAGTGAGCCCCCCAAGCTATAATTTATGATTTATAATTTAAACAACTGTATGGTGGACATTGGGCCTCGTAAATAGGTTAAAACAGACAAACAAAACCCCAATAAAGGTGAAGGGAATTGATAAAGAAAGAGCCCCCAAAAAATCAGAAAATGATTTTTTCATATTACCATGGAAAATACTGTCTTTCAAGGCATTTGATAATTAATGTCAGTAACTATGTGTATAAAAAGTATATGGACTATGCTAAAAAGAAGTTTACTTTTGTTTTTAACTGGAAAACATTTGTAGAGAGATGGGTTTTGAAGCAAATCCCATTCTGAAAACTCTCTCTGAGGTTTTCGGTTCATCCTTGACAGCCATCCAGCACAGGGACCTCAGCTTAAAATGGCATCAGCAGGCTTTGCTCTATAAATACCCATGGCCCACTGGCCTTGTAGCACTTATTTGTTCCTCTTCTGATGGTGGGAGGCCACTGCTCACCCGGTTTTCTGCCCTGTGCTGCTGTTTGGGAAGGCCTGAGGCCTCTGTGGTCCAGGCTGAGGTACCAGCCTGGTTGTCCCCCAAAATGCAGGATTTGCTGTCACAAGCACAGGGCATGAACGGTCTGACATCTGAAACAGGTTCACTGTTTGTCTCTTTCCCGTATAATTCACCTGGCCAAGCCCTGTGTGCCCCTGTCGCTGCCAGTGGGGTTGGAGCTGCCCAGGCCCCTCCTGGTCCTGCTGATGCCGCTGTGGTGCTGTCCCCTGCCAGGTGTCCCCTGCCCGCTGTCCCGTGCCCCGCACGCGGCTGAGCTTTCTCTGTGGCCCTGCACACTCAGAGCAGAGATGGCAATAAACTGCTCTGTGCTCAGGCATTTGTTCTGTGCCACCCACTGAGGTATCAGAGCTCAAATCTCTCAAAACCACGAGCAAATGGAGAAAAACAAAGGACTTGTGAGGCCTCAGGTCAACTCATATGTTAGGAAAAGGAGATTGCTCCTTGTAGAAAGGTGATTTCCACCAAAATCATCACCCTACCTGATGGTTAAATGCTTTTTGTCTTTGTTAGATGCATTTACTTCCTATTTTTACGGTATGTAGTGACCTTTTTTTTATTTTTTGAAGATCCAACAGACTATTTTTACAAGAGAAGATACACTGTTATATTTCACTATAATACATTTTCCCATCTTTTCCCTTAATTTTTATGCAAATCCACTGGTTTTAAGATCCCTCTACACCCCACCCCAAAGGCATTTTTTTAAATTAGTGGAGTAATATCCCTCCTGTTAAGCTTAGTAGAAGATAAGATGCTATATATAACCAAATGCTGCCTTTAATTTAGGTTGGAAGATGGTTTGCTGTCTAACATTGGACTTTGTGTAGCCAGACTGCCTTCCAGAAAAGAGGTCATAAGTAGGGAGCTCCAAAATGCTAATTATGAGTACAATTAATTTCTATTAAGACTTACAGCATACAAATTGAAACTTTTTTCCTAATAGAGCAAACCACTGAGAGAAAAGGATGGAGTCTGTTAAGCAGGAGGATTTTCAAAACAAAAGGCCCAACTTAAATCATATTTTGTGATGAATTTTGTATTTCCTTGCTATCCCTGTAATCAGGATAGAGGTATCTCAGCTTGATTTTGATCCCCAAGATAATTTTCTTTATTGTTGCCTGTGGCTTGTTGCATTTGATGCTGTGCTTTGATAAGCCAAACCAGATCCAATATCCCAGGTCTTTCACCAGGCTCTTGCTGTTATCTTTTCCCTGTTGATGCCCCCTGGCAGCTCAGCCTCTGGCTGGGAGGTGTTCCCAGCACTGACCCTGCAGGAGAGGGAGGCTCTGCAGGAAGGAGCATGTTCTGCACACACATTGCCATTGACAGAGAGCTCCCAGCAGGAAGCACTGACTGGCAGCCACAGAGCTGGATTTTCCATGCTGAAAGACTGGTACTTATCTCCAGAAATAAAACTGAAAGCAAAGGCAGGACTGAGAGCTCCTATTGTTTGTCCCTACAGTAGATTAAGGAACAAGTTCTGTGGGGTTTTAGACTTCAGGAAGAATTTGAAGCACTGCTTTGAGGGGCACAAAAGGATGTCCCTCAGTGCCTGAAAGCAAATGCTGCCTCATTTCATTGTGCTTCTGATTAATACAGAGATTTAACTGCATCAGTTTCTCCAAGTGGAAGAAGCCAGACATTGAAGGAGTCTCTGCTTTGTTCCATTACTTTGTTATTTAGTGTCTTGGAGCTGATTAACAAAATACTTGCCTTGAAAGGGTTTAAATTTTTTTGTTTGGTTGGTTTTGGTATTTTTATATATTGCCCTTTTAGTATGTTTGTCTTTCTGGCAAGTGGATAAAAAGAAATGTTGAGTGTGAAACATCATAAAATGGTGACAGTAACTAAATCTTAGAGAAAAATAGGTAATACCTGCTGTCCTTCTGGTGTAGACCTTAGATTGGAGCACATTAGTTTTGAAAGCAGTTTCCCAAATCAGATTCTAAAATAAAACCAAACCAAGTGAGCTAGAGTCTGTGAAATTCAGGATAACAAGATGCTGAGACACAAGCATTTCTATTTCTGAATATAGTAATTTGGTCTGAAAGCTCCTGAAAATGACGTAGTGAGAAGCTGGCAAGTGTCCATACTGCCTGCTTTCATATAGCCATGCATATGGATACCAAAGGCCAGCCAGAAATCTAGCAAAAAATTATGTTTATAATTCCTTCATAATCCATCTGAACTGAATTGTGATCAGGTTCCCAAAAAGGCTGCTTTTATTTTGTTATGATAAAAGGGAATTATGAAATTATAGAAAATGCTTGAAAGGCTAACTGAACATAATATTATTCTGGTTGTCACAAAAATACTTATTTTTTGTAAAATATATTGGAAATAGGAAGTCTGAAGCTATTTTGTCAGGTTCAGCCTGACACTTCCAGCTCAGCTCACAAGACACAGTATAGCAGTAACAGGTTTTTTTCCCTTCCCCACTTACATAATTAAAACCAGTATTGATCCTGAGTTCCCATTATTAAAGGCATTACTAACAATGGTCTGACTTTATGCACTGATATTAAACTGTTCATCCTTATTAACAATTAACTTGCTGCTTGGAATGATTTGGGCATCAGCCATCGTCTGTCAGAACACAGAGAACGATGTGAGAATGGAGCTGGCACAGCCCGGTGTCCCCTGTGGATTTCAGGCTGTGGCTGCGCTCTGTCCCTGCAGGTGACATCCGGAATGACCTGTACCTGACCCTGGAGAAGGGGGACTTTGAAAGGGGTGGCAAAAGTGTGCAGAAGAACATCGAGGTGACCATGTACGTGCTCTATGCTGATGGAGAAATCCTAAAGGTAAGTGCTCCTTTCCCTGGGAGCCTCAGGTGTTCCCTGCAGGGACACATCCTCTGGTTTCAGAGTCTCTGATGCAAGGGAAGAGTTAAAATAAAACTGGCTCTCTCTCTCTTTTTTTTTCTTTTTTTTTTTTAATTGTGAAGTTTGTAAGCTCTGTATTATGGTGAGTTATAAATCTGTAAGGATTTGGAGCACTTCCCTTATATGGGGATAGAAGACTTGGAGAAAATACTCATAAACTGGATAGCCTGTGTGATTTCCAAATATGATGTCAGTGGCTAAAGTAAAAAATTTAGAGTAACTGTAATCAGAACTAAGGAGTATAGGCATATCTAAAATTAAATCATGTGTGTCACACAAACACGATGAAATGTGATTCCAAGGGAGACTTCTAAATCTGAGTTGTTGGGTTACAGTACTGAATGTAGTTCTGGAAAATAACTTTGAATAAAATTTCACCCTGGGTTGGCTCCATTCCAGCTGGGAATGGGGATTGCTTATGTTTCCTGTTTTACCTCCTCTGTTCTTTTAGTTTTATTGAAGAGAAGCAGGTGGGTGGGAGGTTGTGAACATAGAGAAGTAAACAGGAAGTATTTCAGCATGAACAACTATCAGAAATAACTTCCCCTTACCTTTTCTTTTACCTCCACTTCAATAAAATGGGCTTTGTAACCATTACTGTGGAGAATCTCTACACCTAGAAGTGTGTACCAAATACATTGCCACAATCTTCTGGTTTTAATTGAAAGGAGAACTTTCATTACTATAACTGCTTGTGGTTTCATTAAATGTAAAGTGTATTTCTTGTAAGGAACTCGTTTGTGCCCAGAGCTGCTGCAGGAAGATCAGATTCCTTTTCTGCCTAAGCTTTTCAAACTGAGTTGCAAAGTTTTAATCATCAGTTGATTTCAGTCTGCCAAGGACAAAGAGAAGTCTCTCACACTGCAATATCAGCATCTTCAAATGCTGATACATAATGGTGCCTAATGATTACATACAAAAGCCAGATAATTTCTAGTCATTATTAGTCTTAACTTCGGTGACTTTGGTTGGAATGGTAATTCACAGAGATGAAGTTGTTTTTTAATTGTCTTTGCCTGTTATTGCTATTGGAAAGCACACTGAGGCTTCACATGGGAGAGTGGGACAGGCATGGCACAAACACTGGAAAGGATGGTCAGTCCAGTCAGAAAAAAATCAGGTGAACAGATTTCCTGAGAAGCTGTGGCTGCCCCATCCCTGGAAGTGCTCAAGGCCAGGTTGGATGGAACTCTGGGCAACCTGGTCCGGTGGAAGGTGTCCCTGCCCATGGCAGGGGTTTGGAACAAGATGAGCTTTAAAGTCCTTTCCAACCCAGACCATTCTAGTATTTGCCATAAGGGAGAGACTTTACATATGAAGGACCTTTGTGGGGTTTTAAAATTTAGGCCACATATTTAAAAGAAACTCTGTCCCAGTTTTTATGGTATTGCTCTCTGTATGGTTGCAGACAAAGCAGCAAAGACACTTGGTTTGTGTCTGGGAGGTCTTTGGTTCCTGGTGTTTCATGGTGCCTGTGAATGTGGGCAGAGCACTGAGAGTTCATTGACCCTGGAGCACTGCTGTTCCTGGCTGGAATCCTGGTTGCTGTTCCTGGCTGGAATACCCTCCACCATTCCTGCCCCATGGCTTTTCTGGAGCAGAGCTGCCAACAGAGACACTGTGTGCAGAGTTACACAGGATGGGGGAAGTGGCCAGAGTTTTCATCTGATGTTAGAGTTAAATCCTTAAACTTGTCCCAGCCAGCAGCACAACCCAAATCTGAATTGTGCCTTTGTGAAGCCTTTAGCAGAACCATGCACAGCATTAATGAGAATTTTCTCAGTTCCTCATTGCTGCTGAGTGTATCTTGATCCAGAAATAGTCCTATTGAAAGGAGTGAAATTACCTCCAGAACGCAGTTTCATTTTCAAAATGAAAATGAGTATTTCCTTCTCAAAATGGTCTTACTCAATTGTTAGTATCTTTCAATATAGTCTGAAAAATTAAAAAAAAAAAAAATCCTTTGACACATTTCTCACTTCTTTCTTCTTTCTATTCCAGTAGCAGGAATAGCCTATGAATTGCAAGGCACACCTTTAACAGCAGAGATTTCCTGATTGTTTTTCTAGTTTAGCTCCCTTCTCTGCCTCTGCCCTCTAATTCCCCTGCATATTTGGGCCTCAGGGTCACCAGGTGTCTGGAGATTAGTCTGATGTTTGTATTTTTCAGATCACAATTTAGAATTAAAGATTTACCAGTCTGCCCTCCTCAGACTATAGATTGTAGTGTAACTGCATGGGAACTAAGTTAACAACCAGAAGGAGACACTATTGATTTATTTGAAGTTCTTAGCATGAAACTGCATTCAAAGACTGGCAGTTTGTCAGCCAGAGCAGGTGGCTTCTTGATGGGACAAAAAAAGTTCACATTAAAATTTGAGTTTTGACTGTACCTTGTAGAGAAAACAGAAATACTGTTTTGTTTCCTTCTAAGAGCCTAATGCACAATGAGGGTTTGGAATTGCTGTGTTGAAGCCCAGCCATTTACTCTTGCTACAGAATAGAACTGGGATCTTAGAGGTGTTCTGGGTTGCAGTGCTGGCACTGCTCTCTACTAACCTGTTGTTATCTGCAACACTTAATTCTTGCTGCTGTATTAAAGAAATGTGGGGCTCATCCCGTGTGGTTGCTGAGGATTATTTGAGAGGACTGAGTTGTTTGAGTTCATCCTTCAGTCACTCAGTTTGGATCACAGCCTTTGCACTGGGTCCCTGTCAATGTAGGCAGGCCTTGCATTGAATCCCAGAATTCCAGAGAGCATTTCTTCTCTTTTGGGCTCCTTCACAAATTCTTAACTTTCTCAAAGCCAGCAGATTATTGCCAGAGGTTGAACTAACTGGGTCTGGTTAATGGGATGTTCTTGACTGGGCAGTCAGATGGTTACAGATTTTAAAAAATGAACATTTCTGGTATTTTTTTGGGTTAGAATTTATAGATGCCTTGGGGAAATGACCAGTAGCAGTTCTTGTCATTATAGTGTTCCATGGGGGGTTTTTACATCAGAATTTATATTACATGTGTTATTCTTGGTCTGCTTAGCTTGTTTCTTCCTGGATTCATTATCCTAGGACATGCTAAAAGTGAAGGATCTCCAAGCTGCCTTTTTTTCTGCTTGGTTTTGAGAGGTGTTGTATCTCCTGCATCTCTTTGTAAGTGCTGGGTCTACAGCATAGGTTAGTGCTCATATATTAAAAAAATGAGCTTCCTGCTCCATGTCTTCATCACAAAGGACCTTTTACTGTCCTTATTTCAGGACTTCAATATTTATCCTATTTTCTTCACTTGTATTCTAAGATTTTTTTATTTTCTGAGCAATATCAGTTTGTGTTTTTCTTCATCTGTGTTTTTGTGAAGGCATAGATTGGGAAAGATCTCTGAGTTTGTTATATCTGAAGGCAGAAATTTAGATCCAATTATGTTTTTCGGTGATGAGTATTACACAGAAATCCTTTGCTTACCACTGAGGAAGAAACTTGATTAGAAGTTTCTGGGATACTTGGTGAGGCTGGATAGTTGTAGTTTTGAAAGACAAACATTTGTAAAGAGCTTGGAAAGGTCAGGTACCACTTCTGAACTGAGATACTGTAGCAGAAATCTGGTTAAGATCTTTTCACAGAAGGCTAATATTACAAGTGATTGTCCTATTATGTCCTATTTTTTTATTCCATTTTATTTATTTGGACTTAGATATTTATTGTATCTTGTCAGTACTTGATGGAAAACTTAGCTTAAATAATAACTTAAGATACTGAGATTTATCCAGTAGCACAGGTCTCTTAGTTCACCCTTTGACCCAAAACAAAGTTTCAACATCTCCTAAAAAACTTCACATTTCATTTTGTGTCTGAATTTCTGCTTCTGACTCTTTTATGTCTACAGAAAGCCATGAATTATATAAAGGTTATCACTGGCTGATGAAATGACTCGCGGGTGGTGTGACGTGTTTAACGCTGGCTGTTTCCTTTGGTGGCAGGACTGCATCAGCCTGGGCTCGGGCGAGCCGAGCCGCAGCGCCTACCACTCCTTCGTGCTGTACCACAACAACAGCCCGCGCTGGGGCGAGATCATCAAACTGCCCATCCCCATCGACCGCTTCCGCGGCTCCCACCTGCGCTTCGAGTTCCGCCACTGCTCCAGTGAGTGCCCCCGGCCGGGAAACCCGCAGCGCTCCTTCCACTGCCACTGAGAGCTGGGGGGAAGGCAGGAGAGAGGCCAGCCTGAAATACACTGAAGGGGCACTGCTAAGCCACCTTTTGCTGAATTTATCAAACAGTGCACTAAAAACATGGTGAATGATCAGTGCAGGGCAAAGCACTTTGTAGGTGTTTGTCCCTGCTGCTCTTTTGTTGTGTTTTTCTGTAGAATGTTTTCTTTGCAGGATAAACAGTTGAGATTTTGCTACATTTGGCATGTCTGTGTTTGATTTGAAGCTTATCAGTCCTTTACATAGAACTAGAAAAAAGAAATTGGGATTAAAAAAGTTGTTTGTTATGTAGCTGCTTGTTTTCTTTTAGGCATTTGGAGAAGTTGGTGAGTAATCTTGTATATATTGACAGGGTATGCACAAATACAATTCCTTCTTTCTATCTCTTGCTGCAGCAAAAGACAAGGGAGAAAAGAAGCTCTTTGGTTTTGCGTTCACCCCACTGATGAGAGATGATGGCACGACCTTGTCAGATGATATCCATGAGCTTTATGTTTATAAGGTACCAGTTCTCTGCAGACTTTTCACTGCTCATCTCTACTTCATTACTTAAATGAGTAACGGTCATTACATTACCTATCTCCCCCTTATTAGAATTTTGTGAGGAACAGGTTAATAGTAGTTCCAAAATTTTATACACTCATAATCACATGGTTTAGCTACAGCCTTCTATTCTAGGTGCAGCTTACCATTTCCATCCTGATGATAATGATTTATCTGCTATTAATCCCATCCATTGTGACTTCAAACACGCTGGTGTTCATGAGCATTCAGCACTTCTACCAGCCTAAGGCATTGCTCTGTGCCTTAGCAAGATTACATTGTGCTGGATTCAAATGCCTCGTGCTGCAGTGCCACAGTTTGGCAGCCTTGCAGCAAGAGATTTGGGCTTTGGGGTTTTTCCTTCCTACTGATTCACTTGAGTTATTTGTTCAGTACAGTTTTCAGGCAGCAGCACTAAGTTCACATCTGGAAGATCTGGTGAGTTCTAAGGAGGCAGTGGTGGGAGATCACTCTAGAGCTGGGTCTCTTCTGGGCGTGTGCAGGGCCCCGAGCACAGCTTTTCCTTAGAAGTGTTGGTGTGCACCCACAAAAACCCCAACACAGGCACTGTTGTGGAACTGCTGACAGGCTCTGGGTGTGTGGGATGAGATGGACAAGGTGCAACTCCACCCTTGTGCTGTCCTTGCAGTGTGATGAGAACAGCACGTTCAACAACCACGCGCTCTACCTGGGGCTGCCCTGCTGCAAGGAGGATTACAACGGCTGCCCCAACATCCCCTCCAGCCTCATCTTCCAGCGCAGCACCAAAGAGACCTTCTCAGTCTCCACACAGCTCTCTTCTACCAAACTGACCCAGAATGGTGAGTTGCTGATCCCTCAGAACTGCCCAAGGCAGCAGGAATTAAGAAAGAGAGAAAAAAATTCACTGTTAGCACTGCTACACAATCCAGAGTTTGTGTTGCTTGGCTTTTGCAGAGTGGCTAAGTAAATAAGATTAAATAAGTAAATAAGTAAATAAGTAGATAAGCAACGTCCCTAAGGCACAAGCAGACAGGAGTGGATTGTCCACAGTGCAGTGTCAAGTCACACAGGGAAAAATGCAGCCTTTACTCTTTTCAAAGCCCTTTACCATTCCTCCATTCCTTTCTTCATCAGCAGTGTTGACTCACTCCATATTGTACTTCTTGTTTTCCATTTTATATATATATATATGTCATTTCCCAAGAAGTGTGGACTGCATCAAGGGGTGAAGTGCAAGTGATGAATCTCTGATGGGTCTGGGGTTGCCATTCTTCCCTCTGTGTGTGGTTCTAGCTCTTCCTCCCTCTCTCTGCAGTGGATCTGCTTGCCCTGCTCAAATGGAAAGCTTATCCAGATCGAGTGATGGATATTCTGGGAAGGCTGAGACATGTCAGTGGCGAGGAGATTGTTAAGGTACTACATGAAATAACAGCCCTTGGATGTATCTGTGATAGGCAGTGAGTTCAGACCTGCAGGCCACTTCTGAAGGCTCCCTCTTTATGTGCTTTTTGATTCACACTGTGAGCTTCCACCCTGTGTGAACTGGGATTTTATTATGACATGAAACTGGACAGGAAGATACCCTTGAGAATTAGTGCAGTGGGATCAAACCAGAGCTCCTTAGTCAGATTCTCTCAGCCACACGTGCTGGGTCCTCAGCACCAGTGGTTCCAGTCTGCAGTCCCACCCAGCTGCTGCTGCAGACACAGACCCTGGCAGGGGCTCTCTGGTGCATCCAGCCAGCAATGCACCAGTCTTCTGTCTGCCAGCTCATCATTTCACCAGGTTTTGTAGCCACTGTTGCTCTACATGATAAGCTTGTGTGACCTGAGCTTCTTTAGGGCCCAGGAATTTCCAACTGCACTTGAATACTTGTGGTCTCAGCAAAACTATGTTCATTCCAGATAGGCCTCTGATAATCTTAGGTGTGCTGGGAACTTTCTCTAGGATTTATTTCTATAAACCTGGAAGTAAAAACTGATTTCTAACACAAACAACCAAGGAGAAGAAACTGAAGACAAATCCTATCATGTAATAAGTAGTGTATCATTAAAGCCACTTCACTGTAACTTATTAGAGTGCTGCCATATCTGGAATGTTACTCTTCGTGATAACTTGGTAACAGTAACAGGGCAGTACAAATCTCATTTATATTGGATTCTTCAAGAATGTCATGTTTTGTACACTTAATTTGTAGGGCAGTACAAGTATCTGTTTTTTATAGAGAAAGAAAAAGAAAGATATGGATTGAATTATTTCATGGGGAGAAGTAATTGATTCTCCCCATAAATCAGCTGTCATTTGGCAATCCTTAGTCTCTCAGCCACACGTGCTGGGTCCTCGGCACCAGTGGTTCCAGTCTGCAGTCCCACCCAGCTGCTGCTGCAGACACAGACCCTGGCAGGGGCTCTCTGGTGCATCCAGCCAGCAATGCACCAGTCTTCTGTCTGCCAGCTCATCATTTCACCAGGTTTTGTAGCCACTGTTGCTCTACATGATAAGCTTGTGTGACCTGAGCTTCTTTAGGGCCCAGGAATTTCCAACTGCACTTGAATACTTGTGGTCTCAGCAAAACTATGTTCATTCCAGATAGGCCTCTGATAATCTTAGGTGTGCTGGGAACTTTCTCTAGGATTTATTTCTATAAACCTGGAAGTAAAAACTGATTTCTAACACAAACAACCAAGGAGAAGAAACTGAAGACAAATCCTATCATGTAATAAGTAGTGTATCATTAAAGCCACTTCACTGTAACTTATTAGAGTGCTGCCATATCTGGAATGTTACTCTTCGTGATAACTTGGTAACAGTAACAGGGCAGTACAAATATCATTTATATTAGATTCTTCAAGAATGTCATGTTTTGTACACTTAATTTGTAGGGCAGTACAAGTATCTGTTTTTTATAGAGAAAGAAAAAGAAAGATATGGATTGAATTATTTCATGGGGAGAAGTAATTGATTCTCCCCATAAATCAGCTGTCATTTGGCACTGGGATATGAAGAACAGAATGTAATAATTCAGAAAAAAAGACATTTTATCATTTCAGAGACTTCATAAATTGTTATAATTTATTTCTTGTTGTCCACATCAGAAATTTAAGTAGAATAGATTAAAAAATCATGAGAGAATGTGCAGTTAACGATCTCCAGCACTCTCCTTCACACTCATTCTTTTGGAGACTGTGCTTTCAGAAAGAAAATCACTGAATTGTCAGTGTTCAACAAGCTGTGGAGTTAAGGGTGAAATAAGCAATTGGCAACATGTAACTTACCCCAGTTAATGCTTGTTAGAAAAGCTTTACTTTCTGTTATTTAACAAAAATGTCAATATTAAACATAACTTAATGTACTGCCCAGCCTCAGATTTATGCTGAACAGTACCTGAGACCCCAGTGATTTGAGAATGAGAGCAAGTTCTTTTGCCACTGGTGTCAGGCAGCACTTCCAGTCAGCTTAAAGTGAGAGGAACACTCAGTCAAAATTAAAAATCAGGTATATAGTACTTTTTTTGTTGTTTCCTGTCACTTTTGTTTGAAAATATTCCTTGTAGAATAAAGAGAAAAATTTTCCATTGTAAAATCAAATTAAAATCTATCACATCATATGGGTGAACCTGAAGTGATTTATCCTTGCCAAGTGTTTCACAATGATATTAACATGTATGAACTAATTAAAGCAGGGGAGAAATAACCTTTTGAATCCAATTTAAGTTGAAATTCTTTGTTCATGTCATTTTAGTTCCTACAAGATATTCTGGACACATTGTTTGTAGTTTTGGATGACAACACAGAGAAGTATGGTCTGTTGGTCTTTCAGTCTCTGGTAAGCTGCTGGATTCTTATTTATCTCATGCTCAGTGAGTTTTGAGTTTCTTATGACCATGTTACTAGTATTGTTCTTCTGTCTAATATGAAATACTCAGCTGACCCAGCCATGCTTTCTGTAATGATCTTGGGTGAGGAGGGCAGGCTGACCTCAGCACATGCAGGGGCAGCAGTATTTACTGCCATGTGGGAGAAGCCACCAGGAATACCTGATAACACAACAGTGACTGTTTAAAGCAGCTCATGTATTTGAATGCTCCTTACCGTGGGTCACTTGTTTGTGGACACTTGGCAGCGATGTCAGTTCCTTGAGCTGGGTTCCCTTCTCCGTGTCCCCAGGTGTTCATCATCAACCTGCTCCGTGACAGCAAGTACTTCCACTTCCGCCCCGTGATGGACACCTACATTCAGAAGCACTTTGCAGGAGCTCTGGCTTACAAGTAGGTCTTGTGTTCCTCCCTTTGAGAGGTGGCGTCACCAAGCCATCTTTGGGAATGGTGGCACCATCAGGATCACAACCTTCCTGGCAGCAGTGTCCCCAAAAGTAGAGCTACTCACCTGGAAGTTTTCCAGCACAGCTGTAGGGAAAAGCAATCCTCAGGTCAAAGATGTTGGGATACATGACTCGTGTGAAAGCTTAGAGAACTAATTGTAACTTCCAAAGTACACAGATATTCACATAAGATGTTCTATTTGGCTACAATTTAATTTCAGTAGATCAGAAATTTAAATTTCACTGTCACTTTGATGATTCTGCCTTATTTTCTGGTATTCAAAAGAATTTTGCATAAGAGAATGAGACAGACCTTTTGAAAGCAGTAAGTTACCCTTTAGGTTTTTGGTTTTGAGTATATTCTATCTTTGGCCACAATAAACTATAAAAACAGCTAATAATTTCTATTGATTCTTTTAAGCAATTCACATTTTTGTGTAATTAAATATAAAAAATACTCTGTCAATGGCAGGTAGAAACCTATAGATAATATACAGCAGTGGAAGGCATAGTTGTGTTCGGAGGGTAAAAAGGTGTTCTGCTTTGTGTTCATTAGCACCTCTTTCAGACAAAACAAATGTTTTTTGGTAATCTGTTGTCTGAAATAAAACATGGGTTTAATACAGCTTTGTAAGTTAGTCCAGATGGTCTCGTGTACTTAGCAAAATAGATGCAGGTATTTTCTTTGTGATCTCAGTTTCTAAAAGCTTCTTACTAAGATGAGAGCTGGGATTTCTTATAAAATAAATGTATATTTTGGTCTTAGAACCATGCCTTTATCAAAGCTATCTTTCTAATAACATCTTTTTTATGTGCTCTTAGTGTTCCTCATGGTCCAAGTCAATTACAGAGAAGAAATAATTTTCTGGTTTTGAAATTTAAATGTAAATACTATGTAAATTCAGTATTGAGGACAGCTGTAACTGACCACTGCAATAAAGTGAAATGAGACTGGTTTAGAGATGTCTCCCAAAACCAGGATGTTTGAGTGTCAGAAGTGGCGCTGAAGGCTGTGCTCACTGTTCCCTCAGGGAGCTGATCCGCTGTCTGAAGTGGTACATGGACCGCTCGGCCGAGCTCGTGCGCCAGGACCACATCCAGGAGGCAATGAGGGTAGGTGTCCATTGGGCACTGGTGGCTGTTCCTCTGGGACCACAGAAGGGCTGGGAAGGCTGGAAATGGAATCAAGGGTAGTGTGCACTGGTTTCCTATAATTGTTTAATCGGGTTTTTTTATATATAGCCACAGTTTTAGTTTTTGGGGGAGATTCATTCTTGTGCTGAAGAAATTGAAACAATTAAGTCCCCTAAAACCCTTCTGCAACCATGTGGAGAACTTAAGTGTGACTTAGATCCATGACCAGTGCATGAATATTGATGTGGGCCACACCTTGTCCTCCAAGCAGCAGTAGTTTTGAGTGTATCAGGCATGGGTGCTGTGGATCAAAGTTTTGCTCTTCATTTCTGGCTGTGACACAGCTCCATTGTAACGTGGGTTGAAGTCCTGGAGTATTTTAAGCAGCAGATAAATGAGTCTTTAACTGGGTGGAAACCCTCAGAAGTAGCACAGGAGCTGACCTATGGTTCTGTGATGGGAGCATGATGTGTCAGGGAGGCACAGCTGTGAGAATCACCAGGAATGTTTTGGTGGTATTACAGAGAAATCAGAGAATAAAGAAAGTATTCATTTTTATCATGTGTAATAGTAAGCCTGGAAGTCAGTGTGTCAAGTGCATAAATACAAGATGCCAACATTTGCAGGAAGATGGGGTTTTTTGAGTGAATGCCCACCTGCACCTTCTGCCTCCAAGGGACTGGTGTCCTAACACCTGAGTCTGGGCACCTGCAGAACTGGAAGCAGTTGGATTTTGTCACTTGTCAGTTCAAAGAGGTGTAACCTCTTCCAGGTGAAGGACACTGCCAGTGTCATCCTCTCACTTTCCAGATGCCCTGCTAGGATCCTATTCAGATAAGGGCATTACACCTGTGCTTGCTTTGGCTTTGTAGATATTGACATGCTTAGGAACACCTTCTTTGGAATTTTCAACCACAGATTCGTATGGAATGGTAAAAATAGGGCAAAGATGCTTTTTCAAGGAATTAGCAATTTTCTCATTCTTTTTTTTTTTTTTCATCATTATCTTCCTTTTTTTTTTTTTTAATTGAGAAAAAAGCTATTAAAGTTATGAGATGAAAAGATCTCCAGCTGGAATGACTTCGAGGAGGTTTTCTTGCCTCTCAAAGCACTCATTAGTGTTTTATGCAGTGCAGCAAATAGAGATGGAGGATATTGTCCCTATGTGATCTGCATTTGTTGAACCTCATAGCAGTCCTGTTTGGAAATAGTAATGACAAGAATGCAGGAATGTCTTTCAGCACCTGGGGTTAGGGAAGTCAGTTTGTGAATATGGTACCTTGTGTCTTGGCCTCCAAGGCAGCCCTTTGCTTACTCAGGCTCTCACGTGCTGGCCTGGAACGTGGCTGTTCCCTCTGTGAGGGAGGTCAGTTTGCAGACCTGACAGCCCAAGCCTTTTCAAGCACAGGAATTAACATTACCAGCAGAGTTTGTGCAGACCTGACAGCACATCCTCTGCCACCCACGCTGCTGTCACATCTTATTCAGACAGTTGCCTTTGCAGGTATCTCTTGGAGGCCCAAATTCAGGTCTTATCTTCTCCCATTGCAGCAAAGTGATTGATTTCCTTCTTTGTTTCCAGATTTTATTTCAGGCATTTGGAGCAAGTTTGTACCAAAGATATTATCATTGCTAATGTGTCATTACTAGTACCAGATTCTGCTGTTGGGGATTTCTGTGGACTTTGATGTGTTCACCACACTTCTTGCATTAGAACTTCTTTGACTGAGAAAACAGGATAGCTCTGTGTCCCTTTTTCCCTGAATTACCTGTTCAATGTAGTGCCCTAAAGCTGGTGCTGAAATACTCTGCACTCTTACGACTCCTGGCTGCTCATGTACATTCATGATGGACATGCAGATGTCTCATAGGATTCTGATTTCCAACCCTGGCATTAGCAAAGAGAGTTGCAGAGGACTTCTGAAATGTCTTACCTCCCTCAAGACTGCTCTTAATTCTCAAAACGTCCTGTGCAACTTGGAGAAGCTGTAACTGAAAGGACATTTCTGCCTAGAACACAGCATCATGCTCCTTTATTGTGCCCTATACAAAACTCCACAAAAGCTCCATCCAGGAAGAGCAGCCTGTGCCTCCCAGGGGATTTCTGTAAACAAGTGTCCATGAATGGCTCCACAGCCAGTTTTGCTGTCCCTGAGGAAATTAAGAACTAAGGAACTGTGTCAAGGAAATGCCCTTCCAGCTTCAGTTATCTTCCAGCAGAACTATAAGTGGGTTTTGCCTACATTAGGGAACCAACAGCAAGGGCTTATTGTCCCTCAGGAGGTTTTCCCTGAGTCTTCCCTGCTGGTCACAGGGCAGAGGTGCTCACTTGTCACATGAACATGCACACAGACTGTATTTGTAAGGGACCTACTTCAATTTGACACTGATCTTTTATATCATGCCAAACATCACTGAAGGCTGGGATGTTATCTCAGTGCACTTGTATGTCTTTAGTCACAAATTCACATCATATTTTTGATGTTGTAGGTAGCAAGAATTAGTCCTGGTGCTGACTTGTGCTACCAATACTTGGTTTGTGTTTTTAGCATCCCATCCACGTGTGCAAACACTGGGAACTCTTTGGTTCAGTGCCTGTGTGGGCTCATTGCCTGTGCTAAGGAAGTGCAGTGCTCTGAGCCCTGCTATCTCACTTTCCACGGGGAATTATGGAGGTTCACACACAAATGCTCTGATTCACTGCAAAACCTAATCCTCACATTGAAGTTATGAGCCTTCAGATGAGAAGGATGGTTGTGTGTACTGATGGCCTAAAGCAGCTCCTACGAGCACTGCATGTGCTGGGTTTGGTGTTGGCACAGGGGTGTCAGCCTCGGAGAGCTGACTGGGAACCAAGTGGCCTTTGTGTGGAAAGGAGCCAGGAACACAGCTGATATTTCCTGATGAAGTTCTTTGGTGTAAGGAAGCTTCACTGGGAGATGGTTTAGTACAGAAGTATAAATAATAACTGCTAACTACCAACGTTGCCATAATTTCTGGGGGAGGGGGAGAGGCTGTAAGAGTCAATGGCATTTTGAAGTCCATGATGGCTTTATGAGGAATTTCACATTCCTGTTCTGTATCCTTAAAGCTGTGGCATTCTAAAGCTTACAATGCAGCCCTGCATACTTGTGCATATTGTGTGGTGGTTCAGTGAGGGACTCTTACGGGTGCAAAAATGTCTCTTGGGAGCAAAATTTATATTTGAATTAACTTCCAGTTTCCCAGCACTGAAGTAAGACAAGAGTACTTTCCATGGAATACACTGAAATATTACTAAGGTTTCTGTACAGCCTATGATTGCTGAATCTCCAGCCTGTTGTTTTCCCATGCTGGGTTTTGAGGATATCATCAAAACATGAATTGTCTTCCCTCAATCCTGCTTTGCTGGTGAATCCTGTTAAGCACTAACAGAAGGAGTGATGTCCCTGATATTTGGTACATTCTGGCATCGCCAGTTGTGCACAGCCAGAATCAAGGAGGTGTGTGAAGTGTCACCTTGCTGGGCTGGTGTCTCAGAACTGTTAGTAGGACAGTGACTTGTTACACCTGCTCAGAACAATGTGTTTTCTTCATGGTCACTGCTGCCAAATCAATGCAGTTGTAAATAATACCATTTACAAAATTTTGAAAGAAAACAGAACAGCTTCTTCAGACACTTCATTGTGCCAAGTCATGAGAAAACCAGAAGTTTCATACCTTGACCAAAATTTTCCTCACATGATGTAACTCAGATTTGTCTCCTTGATGTAAATGCATACTTTTCCTGTTAGTGGGCCATGCAAGTAACAAAGATTATTGGTTGTGAATGGTACTTGCCTAAGAGTAGCTCTTCCTCAACTGAATTGTATAACTTATAAAGCCTGTTTTTCATTCTCCTTTCTAAAGCTCAAGAATTTAGTTGTTATGCATGTAGAGTCTTTCCTGGTTCTCTTTAAAGCTCCTTTATTTTTCTTTCTCTCTTTTTCTCTGTCTTGATCTCCTTCCTCTCCTGCTCCTTAAGGCCTTGGAATATCTTTTCAAGTTCATTGTCCAATCTCGGATCCTTTACTCCAGAGCTACTTGTGGAATGGAGGAGGAGCAGTTCCGCTCCAGCATCCAGGAGCTTTTCCAGTCCATCAGATTTGTGCTCAGCTTGGACAGCAGGAGCTCTGAGACTCTCATCTTCACACAGGTTTGCTATTTCCTACACTCCCACGGGCAAACCACAAGGCAGCTGTTCCTGTACGGGTAGGAGGTGTGGGCACATGGGGGTGAAATGCAGGTCAGTGGAGTTTTCCCCCCTAAAAAGCTGGTGATGCTGCAAAACAAGACACCCATTAATGGCATTAGACAGTAACTCTGCACAGGTGAGCTGGACTGGGGCACTCTAGGAGGAAAGGACTTCTCACATGAGAATGCCATTTTTGCTATTCACAAAAGTAAACTGCATTTTCAAGTCTCCCTCATTCCTATGTCTTATGGTTGGCTGTTGCAACAAAGCAAATGGGACTCAGCTTCTTCATGCAGGAAAAGCCCATCCTTTATTCACATAGTTCATATTTATAGGAAATACCAGAAGACACTGTGTTAAACCTAACTGGTCAGCAATACACTGACACTCAGTTTACTGGTGGGTAAATGGCTAGGGTGTATGTCTGTCAAATCTCTCTATATATGGTTAGTTTACATATATTCTTCACTGATTCTTATGAGACAGATTTCTTGTTTAGAACAGGTGCAAATGGTTTTCTTACCAGAATAACTTGTTATGTTAACTGCTTTGATTCTTATGATTTTTCACATGGGAAGTTAGCTAGCTGCACTTAGAAGAAATAACAGGCCAGCTGGTAATTTAGCAGAGCAAGGCCTGATTTTATAAGGCCTTTCTTTTATAATATCTCTACTTGTATGCAACAGTTGGCCTCAAGAATTCCTAAATCCTTCATTATAGTACTTCAAATCAATACTTACAGTCACAGCAGCATCACAGTGAGAAGTTCAACTGATGTATTTGCACTCAGGTAAACAATTCCAGTATGTGCTAAAATTGCAGTCAGAATCATGTGCAGCCTGACCACAAACATGTTGTGATGCCCATACTCATATTTAACGCATCATTAAATATGGCCCAGGGGACTTCATGAAGATTCCATGTGGGCTGAAGACAATACTCAAAGTAAGTAAGGATGCTGCTGAGTTTTGGGTTCAATTTCAAACACCTCTGTACTGCATTACATATTGCTGCATTTAAATTTTAAATGTCAAATATGCTGTTTGATGCCTCTGCTCAGAGAATGTCAGAATGGAGCACCCAGAACTCCCTGGTAAACATGAAGGTGGTTTGTAATCACTAATGCAGAATTACAGATGTTTGGAACACCTGCCGTATTTTGCAAAAGAAGCAGCTGCTGTGAACATTGCAGCCAAGCAGTGACTCTTCTGGTTCAGGAAGCTGCCAGTGGAGTGATTCCTTTCTTAAGGAGCTGCTCTGAAAGATTTGAGAACAGCTGCTCTAATGTTTTATTTAATCACCCATTAGTGGGTATAATAAGATGAGCCAGGAACAAGAGAAATCAGTGCACAGAATTTTGCAGACAAAGTGATGGTGAATGGAAACAGTATCTGCTGAATGTTTTCCAGTTGTGTTGGTCCCAAATAGAGAGGGAGAGTCACTTTGAGGATGGGGGATTTTCCTTTTTTTTCTTTGTTTCTCCTCTTAATTTTTTTTCCTCCTTTCTCTCACTATGGTATTTCTTACTTTGGACTTTTGTAATTTGTAAAGCCTGTCCTTGTTGAATCTTTGAAAAGTTTACTTTTTGTTTCCCCCTTGCCACTGTGTTGCCCCCTGATCCCATTGCCCCGTAGGCCCCCCAGCCTGGAGGGCAGGCGAGCGGAGCCGGGACAGGTGCCCCACAAAAATGTGGGGGCACAACAAGGCCGACATTTAATCCTGTAAGTAATGATCCCCAGGACTGCTCAAGTGTTTCATTGTGGATGTTCCCAGTTAATCTCCTTTCCCTACCCCAAACACTCTTTTCCTGCATATAAACTAGAGTTTGATGTTTGAGTGGCCAGTACTTTAAAACTTGGAGATGAGGAATATTTCAGTTATTCATGGACTGGTTTATGGCATCCACACACCAAAAAGACAGTACTGAGGGTGTACACAAGATTATCTTAGTCAATGTGTTCAGGGGAGCCAAGTGTTTTCTTATTTGATTATTAGTTCTGGGAATCTGGACAATAGCTAAATACCCACAGAAATGCTCGAGGCCCTGGCAAACATCATTTCCCTCACACTTGTCCTCTTCTCAAGGATATTTGACAGATCTCAGTATCTCAGTTTTTTCCAGCAATGAGAGTAAAACTGACTTCCTTCCTCCCAGGCAATTAGTTTGACATGAGTAATGTTCCAGCATATTTTAGGGTGTTGAGCAATAATGGGGCCCTTCAAGGAACTGTTGAAATGATGTCACCTCAGGACAGCTCCCAATCTTCCTGAAGAAATCCAATGCCTACCTTGGGATTGCTAGGGGTTTTACAGAAATCCTTCTGCTTTAAAAGTAGCAGAAAGTTTAGGAAAACTCATGTTAGGATTTGTTGGGCCAATATTGTAATTTCACTTGTATTATCCCAAAGATAAAGACAGTGACTGGATTTGTGGCTGTTACTGCCTTCCAAGAGTACCAGGAGCTAGTGAAACAATTTATACTTATTTGTCAGTACATTGTAGGTATGCAGGAACAAATAGGTGACAACACCCAGGAGGCCTTGTGGGGGTTTGTGTAATCTGAGTTGATTGTGACAAAGTAAGATTTTGAGAGAGAAGAAGTGGAAGAAGGAGGTAAATTTATATTCAGAATAATTTAATGAGTTCTACCATGTTAGTTGTAAAAATAACTTGATTTTGCTCAAATACTATTAAATAGATTTCACTGTTGAAGGAAAAAGACTTGGCAAAGAAGGAGGCTGGGATTATATGGATTAGGAGAGTCATGTCAGTACGGAAGAGATAAAGAAATGTTTATGCAATGAGAAAACATAAAAAATCTCTGAGGAAAAGGAAATACTGATAGTGGTGAGACTCTGGAAGGACAAAGCTGAACAGAGATCTGCAGTGAAGTCTGGTAAATTGTGCAGGAAATCACTGAGGGGTTTGTGTGGTGAGCTTCGGGGAAGGGAGGTGGGAATGGCAGCAAGGGAAGAGTGGAGGTGAGGCTGGCTCAAGAAAGCAACCATCTAGGAATTAAAATAGTTGCAATGAGGAAGCAGGTGTGAAGCTTGGGTAGGATGTGGAGGAAGGGAAGAATTTTAAAACATTAGAGGTGGTGGCAGTTGTTTGATAGGACACCAAGTATGCAGAACTTGAGCATAGGGTGGTGCATGGAATTTTCTACTCGTGTGAAAAAATGAATTGAAGAATAGGAAATAAGACATGAAGGGATTTTTGTTGCTGTTGTGCTGAACCATTTCTGCACTTGAAGAAGAACTTTCAAGGCTAGCTCCAGCTTACTGGAAATGTCTGTTACTGCAAGAATCACATGCACACTCGCATGATGTGATGCCTCTTTCACATGGACTCACACCCCACCCCTGCTGCAGAAATCCTGGAATGTCACATGGCAGAGCTGGTTAAGGGTCTGTCAGCAGGTTCTTCACTTCAGAATATTTTCTGAAGAGTTTTGACTTAGGTAGTTGTTTAGTACAAACAATTGGTATAGAACTCTCTAATCAGAAGCAAGTGTTGTATTAACTGAAAAAAGTAAATCAACAAAGATGGACTATCTTGTCTGATGTCTCAATTTTTCTTCTGTTTTATAAGCTGTCTCCTAAAATACAGCTTTTTGAAGCTATATCTATGTACTCTACTTATCCTAAGATTCACTATTGCAGCAGCACTTGATTTTTCTATGCTACATGTGACTTGTTCACTCTGAGCTCCAGGTACCACAAACCATGACCACCAGCCATAGCACAGTCTGTGGTAGCTTTGTGCAGACCCTTCGTTCAGTGTTCCTGTTGTTCCCACCTCGCTGCACTGAGCTGCAGGTCGGGAGCTGCAGGTGCTGAGCTGCCTCCTGTCCCCGCAGGCGGCCCTGCTGAACTCGTTCCCCGCCATCTTTGACGAGCTGCTGCAGATGTTCACGGTGCAGGAGGTGGCGGAGTTCGTGCGGGGCACGCTGGGCAGCATGCCCAGCACGGTGCACATCGGCCAGTCCATGGACGTGGTGAAGCTCCAGTCCATCGCCCGCACGGTCGACAGCCGCCTCTTCTCCTTCTCAGGTGCGCCGGGGCTCAGGCCTGCTGCTCGCTGAGGCAGCAGCACCTCGGGGGCTTTTGCAGTGGCTCTGTTGTGAATAATTCCTGCTGAATGCCAGTAATGTTGGTAACTACTTCTCTTGGCAGCGGCATTAATAAATGTATTCATTCGCTCGGTTGGTTGGAGCAGGGTGGTAATAAAGGCAACAGTGTGGGTTTGATCCCTCTTCTCCCAGAGGCTTTCACTTCAGAATTGGATTCCATGATCCCTATTTGTCCCAACTCAGAACATTCAGTAATTCTGTTAACTCTGTTCAATACAAATACTTTACAAGTTTCGCTATGGTAGGAAATGTTTATAAATCCATCATAGATAAATTGTAGTTACTAAAGGTTGATTAACATACATTAAAAAATTAGTTAGTTATTTCGACTGCCAAATCTCACTTTACGTTTTGCATTGCTCTTACCATGGACAGGAAGAAAATCTCCTTTCCAGCCAACTTATGCCTGGGAAGCAGGGTGGAAGTCATGTGAGAAACCCACCACATTCCTTTAAAGTATCTTCAATCTTTATGTTGTAACTTTAGTATTTCTTTAGCTCAACACTTAGTAACTTTAATTCTTAAAATTTTACTTAAATATACTTATATTGTTGCTTATATATACTTTAAAACAGAATTTTAAAAAATCTTTAAGAACTCAGTGGAAAATAGCTGAAGATTATGAGTGTATTTCATACATAAAGGTCTGAATGAAAGAAATTATGAAGGTCAAGTGGAAGATAGAAAGCTCCAGTGGGTTTCTCTTTCCTGTAGTGAGGACCTCAAGTTAGTGCACTTAAATTATTGTACTCAGTACAAAGTGAGAACGATAACACCACAGAATTTTGTTGAGACTATCCATTGTAATTGTTTGTAAATATTTTCTTTCCTTACATTTGTAACGATTTTCCTTCATTCAGAGTCCCGGCGCATCCTGCTGCCTGTAGTCCTTCACCACATTCACCTTCACCTACGACAGCAGAAGGAGCTGCTTATCTGCTCTGGGATCCTCAGTAGTATCTTCTCCATAATCAAGACCAGTTCTTTGGTAAATCTGCTACGTGATTTCAATTTTTTATTTGCACTTCTGATTTAGTAAAATGAAGAGTGAGACATTTTTATAGGTTAATACAGGTTTTTCAAAGAACCTTTTGAAAACAAGATTGTGCTGTCAGCAGGAGAGCATCTGAAATGAAGGTCTGGCTCTGTGTGTGACTCAGAGCATCCTGATTACACAGTGTGCTTGCTGTTAGGAGGGGGGAATCACATACACCCTCACCAGCTTTGACACTGTTTAATTTTCTTCATGCAAGTCCAGAACTTGGATGTCAGTGGAGTTTAAAAGTTCTACACGTCTCAAGGACTCGTAGTTCTGCAAGAGACAGTAACTAGCACTGTGTGGTTCACATTAAAAGAATACTCTAAAATTATCCAATCAATGAATTCCCACTTACTTCTGGAAATTGCTGCTCAGTTTCAACACCCAGCTTTGACGGTCATAATACTCTGATCTCAAATGGTAACTAGATCATGTAAAGCAATGCTCACAAAGAGGGGGTGGTGAAGTTTCCCCACCTGACTAAAGTAGGAAGCTCATTGCTAAATATAATTCATACCAATGTGTATTTCCAATTACAAGTCATGGTTCTGTGTGAAAGGAATGAGGTGAAAGGCATCATGGAAATAAGCTAAAATAATACTGCCATGGAGTAAAGGTTCCTGAACATAATCTGCTTCTATTGTGTTCTAGACCTTTGATTGTAGACTAACCTTTATGGCTGTCACCCTGAATGTTTCCAGAGACTGTCCAGGTAACACACATACACTGACAGAACAACAGCATCTGGTACCAGTGAGGACTTTGATTGTACTTCTGTGAGCCTGTTACAGAGCTCTCCGTCCCAGGGAGCCTGGTATGGCTCACTCAGCAGAGCTGTCTTTACCAGTTCCATCTCTCCAGTTCCTAACTGTCTGTTTGCTCACCACTTGCTGTAGGAGGGAGATGTCGTGGAGGAGGTTGAGATGATGGTGGAGAGCCTCCTGGACGTGCTGTTACAAACTCTGCTCACAATCATGAGTAAATCGCAGTCTCAGGAGGCGGTAAGAGGGCAGCGCTGCCCGCAGTGCACAGCAGAAATCACTGTTAGTAACTAACAATCAGTTTCTATTTCCTGCTTCTCTAACCTCTGGTTCAGTCCCTCACCACCACTGGCACCTCATCATCATTTCTGCTGCATGAATGCCCAGAGCTTTGTCTCTTTCCCTTAATAAGCCACAAACCCATTCCTTCCTCCCTGCACTAGTGAGGGCTGCAGGAAGCAGTGGAGCTCAGGAAGCTTTAGTGGATTTCCAGATTATTTTCTTGTTTGTCTTTGCAGCTGTGATTGAGAGTTATTGCTTAAGACTTGAGGTACTAGGGAACTGTCTGGGGCTTCACCCCTAAGGTGATATCTCCAAAGGCTATAATGAGTATCAGGCTGTGATGCCCAAAACTGAGAATATGGCAGTGCTCTTAACACCCTGGAGAGCTTCTGTCCAGGGTCACTGATTATTTCATGTAAATGAAACACAACATACTTTTTCAAAAGAAATTAAGAGATGCTAAGTCAAATGAGCTGTTGAGCTGGCTGGGAGAAGCTGCCATTTACCCAGGCTGCCAGCCTTAGCCACAGGGAAGAAATTTTTCTTTGACATGCAGTGGAAGAGAAGAAAAAGAATAGAATTTTGCTATTCAGCCTTTTTCTTTCCTGGATTTCTGTCCTTTTCTATTCTAGCCTATTTTAGCCTATTTTTGTTTGTTGAAGTCTCTAATGCAGCTTTTGCACAATGTAGGATGTTAAGCTGCAGTTCAGAACATCCTTTTTTTAGACTTGTTTTTTTAGCAAATGGCTGAAACCTCAGCAGTGCTGCTGGGGGCAGATATGCACTAAGGTGCACTTCTCACACAAGAGAGAAGGTTGGATCTTTCCTTGTTAGCTCAGTTAACGAGATATGCTTTGATACAGAAGAAAAAGGGACTGGCTTGCAAATGTCCAGTAATATCTCAGTTGCCTTTTACTGCTGCCGTTTGACTTACTGCTGTTTCCCACATACCAGCCCACACAGAAGAGCACATCTTTCTTCCTAGTGAAGTTCAGCCCTGGAAAGTTTCTTGCAACAACCCATGTCAAAGCTTCTGGGTAGATGCTTGAGCCATTTAGAAAAACAATAAAATGGAAGGCACAGTCCCTTGTATTTGCTCCTCAATTTACATTTTACAGCACAGTGATATATGGATTCTTATTAGATATGGCTGAGATTTGTGCATTTTCCAAATTAGTTTCTCTGTTGCAAAAAAAAAAAAAAAATAGTGTTGTGCAAGGGACTGGCAGTCAACAGACCAGTCCTGATGTTTTTCGCACTACTTCACTTGTTCTCTTGGACAGATTGCTTAACTTCTCTGTGCTTTGCTTTCAGATTTGTAAAATGGGGGAGCTCCTCTTTGGAAAACACTTTGGGATGCTGTGGTAACTGGTTAGGGTGCATCTGCTTTGCAGAATTACAGAAATGTAATTGTTGCTCATGCAGGCTTACCCAGACTGTGCTCAGGAAATCTGACTGCAGATCTGTCAATACTGGAGCTTTGACAGCACAGAACTTGGTGTACACTAATAAGCCATATATTTACAAGCTTCCAGACACCTTCTGTAGCCCAGCCTGATCCCAAGCTGTCACTGCTTTACTGGTCAGAGTCTCTTAGTTCAAATAATTGCTGATCTATTGGCATGAGCTGCAGTCACACCTCTGACAAGACACTGTGTACCTGAAAAAAGGTATTGTCAAAACCTGCATGCTTGGAGAGGGATTTGTTAATGTCTGTATTAATAATTTTAAATAATTTTTGTTTAGACTACAACTTTGATTTAAAGATCTTTAAAGCTGGCATCTGTGGAGGAGCCTCCTGGAGGTGTATGCCTGTATTAACAGTAACTCAGGAACTGTTAGCCTGCAGTACTTCCAATCTCTGTGCATGTCAGCTGTCCCCTCACAGGCATTGGGGCCATTTCAGACCCCTCCCTTTATACCTTCCCCCGGGTTAAGCTTTGATCTGTGAAATTTCAGATTGTCTGAATGAAAGAGTTTCTCATTTGGTCAACAGGGAGAATATGTCTCCTGCCTTTTATCTTTGCTTCGTCAGATGTCAGACACTCACTTCCAGCACTTACTGGACAACTTCCAAAGCAAGGATGAACTGAAGGTACAAAAGGATGTGATGTTTGTAGGGTGATTCCCTCAGAATGGGAGAGCAGAGGGGAATCCCTCCAGCATCACTTGCCCTGTTAATCATTCCTATCCACTGGCTCTCTGTTCAGGGACCTCCCTGTCACTTTTACAATCATTGGTGTAGTGTTGCAAAAACATTAAGACCACAGGGCACTGAATTATCTTTATAACAGCAAATAAAGTCCCAGGATAAATGTTGTTGGACATAAAGGATATTGTAATTGTTACATATAAAACACAGGCAGAGGAACAAAGCTTCTTAATCCTGTGAATGTGAAGTCAGTTGTTGTATAGCATTTTGCTGCATGTTCAGTGTGCACTGGAGCTTTCTTACAAAGGGTATTGATTTTATGCCAGAAGAGAATTTCAAGCCTTTTGGGGGTTACAAATGTCTCTCGCAGATGAAATATTTTTTGGGAAAGCTGTAACCTTACCACTCCACTTGCTGCATGCTTCTTTGTGAACATCAACTTAAATTACAGCTCTCTGTGAAAGCAGGGGTTGGTGAGGGGCACAGACCTCTGACATTTTGAAGTGGCACATCTCACATCTCATACCAGCAGAACTTCTTAACTCAGCTGCAGTGGGCAGGAGGAATATCTCCAGCAACAGCCTGTTTAAGAGGCAGACTAATCCTATAAATAAAGACAAACTTTTATATAAATAATTTTGTTTAGCATGGCACTCAAATAAGCACAATAAGAACAATGTAATGTTACCTTAACAATGTTCTGTTACCTTAACAAATGAAATGGAGAAACAGTGAGAAGTCCTTTCTGGATACACTTTCAGCTGTTAAATATTTTGTGTGCATATAGAGAAGCTGAATAAATCAGGGAGATGAATTTGGGATGATAAAATTCTTATCTTTAGGTTGCAGGGTTCAGTGTATCTCAGGTTGATAGTTATGTGAGATTGCTGCCTTTCTGATAACTTTGAAATTGCTCACAGAAAAATGATTTGGTAAATTAATTCATAATAAATTTTAATAGATATTTTTAAAGCCATTTAAACTATAGTTCTTATGTCAGACTTGTGGAAAGGTCATTGAACTAAAATTTATCTTTATGCCCAAAAGAACTGTCAGATCTCTGATAACCTGAGTATATGTTCCAAGAGTACTACAAAGGCTGAAGATTTTATATATTACTCTATTTTCCCATCAAATATGGCTGTTATAATATTTTCCAATATTTCTTCTGGAATGGAAAGGCATTTTATTCACTTAGCACTGTTACACTTCGGACAAAATGAGGCCAAAAGTCAAGGAGCTTCTAGTGCTTTACTCTGAGCTCAGGTACACCAAGATATTAATCAGACATCCTCCATTAAGGCATAATGGTAGCATGGTTTTGAAGAATCCCCAGTCTGCTAATTTCTCTTCTATTTTGATTTTGTCTGGAAGGAAAACAAAACAACAAAATCATAGTCTGCAAGGCCAACAACTTGTCACATTTCATCTTTGCTGTTGTTCTGTACAGACATGGAGGTGCAGGTAGTCAAAAATCAGAAATGTCTTCAGGTTTCGGGATTTTTTTTTTGGAAAGCAAGCATCCAACTGAATGTGTCTAAGAGCTCTTTGCTGCTGTGTGTTGCCAGAAATGGGGTTTTCTGTTACTATTTTAGAAAGCCTGTGTAGGAGTTTTATTGGGCTTGGGGGTGTGGTTAGTTCTCAAATTGTGACGGAAGTCCAAAGAAATTTGGACAGATAAATTAATAAAATGAATGCATTAAAAAGTGATTATAAGTCCAGTATATTTGAAAATAGCTGCAAACTGACACTGGAACTCTGGGTGATAATATGAGAAGTCAGATACAATTATGCACATAGGGAAGATTTTCCTCTCCCTGTAGAAGTGAAGATTTTAAAGAAGCTGGAAGTTGTATATTAGACTCAAACAAAAGGAATATTCCATAGCCACACTCCAATGTATGTTGCTTTCATGTTTCCAGGTGAATGGCCTTGCAACACAAAACTCAAGTAGAGCACACTTAGCTTAATTGTCTTTCTTACAGTCAAGAAAAGAGATCCACTTGCAAGTGCTGCTGATTTTTACATATTTTTCCCTGTGTGACAGGAGTTCCTCCTGAAGATTTTCTGTGTGTTTCGGAACCTGATGAAGATGAGTGTCTTTCCTCGAGACTGGATGGTGATGAGGTTGCTCACCAGCAAGTAAGTAGAGGAGCAGGTATAAAGTGTTGCCGTTCTGTGGCAGTTAAACCTGGGGGCAGTGTTTTTCCTCAGACTGAGATGTAAGGATCAAGACGGGAATTCTGGATTGCTTGTCCTCATTCTGCTGCTGTTGTAACACTCTGGACCAAACGTGTGTGTTTGTGGGTTTGTTAAACTCCAGCAGTATTTCCAGAGCCAGGAGTTAAAAGCAGAGCTGAAGGAGCTGCCCTGAGGGTGAGGGGCTGAGTGACCCCGCAGCTCCAGCACACAGGGTGAGCCCAGCTCCCCACACCAAGGGCTCTTTATGAGCCTCTCCCTCCCTTGTCAGGGAATCCCTGCCTTGAACATCTGTTTTTTCCCATGAACATCCCTCTGTACCTGAGCAGGGAGAGGCTCTCGGGTATTCTGGGAAAGGGGGAGCAAACCCCAGCCATGACACCAAAGCATTACACAGAGTTCCTTCTCAATTCAGTTGTCATCTGCCATTTTAATGCTCCATTTTATCTCAGTTTCTTGCTTCTGCTGGGTTAAGTACTGTGCTCTTTGGATCAGCAGCAGTGTTGAACACAGGGTGGCTGGAATGACCCACTAGTTCCCTTAGCTAAACTAGCTGTGGAATTCCCACTAACTGAATGACAGCTGGAGCATTCCCACTCTGAGGAAACACCATGGAAATGCACCTAAAGGCTGCCTGCTCAGCTGAGCTGAATGCTCTGCAAGTCCAGCCTGCTAATGAGAAGTGAAAGAAGTGGATTTCAGTAATTCAAGCGTAAAGATTCAATGAAGTTCTGTAAGAAAAAAGAAATCCACCTGAAACAGTGGCTGCAGGTTACCTGTTCCCCTGGGCATCATTTTGCCACAAAGCTTTAGACTGACAGTTACATTTAGCAGTGCTGCTGGAGTATTGCTTGCATGTGAATCAGAGATGTGCTCTTCTTTTGATACTACTGTTGCCTTATCTACATGCCATTTATTAATTCCTGAATCTATCATGTGCCTTCATTGCCTTTCACTAAGGTGTATGTAGCCACCAACAAAAAATAACACAGAATCAAGAATTAGCAAAATACTCACAAAATTTGAGTTTAATGTGAGTGAGATAAAGGACTGTTGTACAGACAAGAACAAGGACAGCTCAAACTTTTTGAGTTACTCTCCTCTGGGGAAAAAAACCTTTCTGCTTAGAACAGGAAGAAAAGGAGTGTATTATTCCAATTCTCTGGTGGTCATATGGCCCAGCCATGCAAAATAGACAGGATTTTAAATGCTTATGTGTAAATTCTAAAAGTTACAATAGTAGTGAAAGTTCATAATCTTGTATTAATTAGTACAAATTGTTCATTAAAGCAAAGAATGGTGACTTGTGTGTAAATATCACAGAGATTACACAAAGAATGCACTTCTCTGTACATGTAGTAAAATCAGCATCATCAACCACTGTAATATGTTGTATTCCAGATTCAAATGTTCTCTTTTGTTGTCTTTTCTTTGTTTTTGGCTGCAGTATCATAGTTACAACAGTTCAATACTTGTCTTCTGCCCTGCATAAGAATTTCACAGAAACGGACTTCGATTTTAAAGTAAGAATTGATTCAGAAAATGTTCTGACATCTTTTCAAACCAGCAGTAACAAAGGAACAGGAGCTGCCCTCTGCATTAGCTGATGATATTTGCAGCAGTTATTAGAGTGTCTGTCAGGAAGATGACCTAACTGATAAAGGACAGGAATGGAATCTGCTGTGGAATTGATGGGAAGTAGAACAGATACAGTGTGAGATCAAATCAGGAAAATTGAGTCCCTCATAAAGGAAACCAGTAATTCCATAAGCATGGGGCCAATGGAGCATCTGTCTGATGGATAATGCAATGTAAACTCAGGCAGTGCTTTTCCTGAAGATGGGGCATTCATGAACTTCCTCTCCCAGAGGTCTCTCTGGCTGATGACAAAACCTGGAGGAACACAATCCTAGGAATGTTGTCCCTGTGTCTGATGTAGTTGGAGATGGGCAGCAAGTTCAGTGTTAGTAAGGAAGAGCTGCCAGGCATGCACCTAGGGACAAGGGCACACACCAAGCTGGCAAAAACCTCATCTCTCTGGGAAAACAGACCAAAATGTGGGGGTCCTATTCATGATAGAATTTGGTCTCTGGGGATTCTTGGCAGATAAAACCTGTTCAATCTACAGAAGAACATTTTAAAGTCTGCTGATGTCACCAAGTTTATTCATTCTTGAGCTCTGGTGCAAAGAGGAAAACCCAGTGGCATTGCTTTTGTGGGGGTTTTCATTTCAGTTCCTACCAGGGTTTAAATAATCCATTTGCCCCCTTAAGAGTTAATTTGTATCTCCATAGTAAAAGACATATTGATGAAGTTACCCCTTGATTACGAAAAGGAGCCTGTCTTTCTCCACTTCTTTAAAACTTACTCTTGGAGTGTAATGTTATAAAATTCCTTTGCTTGTCACAGGTGTGGAACTCTTATTTCAGCCTGGCAGTTTTGTTTATAAACCAGCCAAGTCTCCAACTAGAAAATGCCACCCCACCTAAGAGGAAGAAGATTCTGGATAAGTAAGGATATGTTTTGTTGGGTCCCCACCTCAAAAAAGAGCCTTATTTTCCCACCATAAGTCTCTGTGATTTGTTATGAAACCTGGGATGTGGAAATGCCTGGGAAATGAGTAACTAGATCTCCCAATACAGCAATCAGCTATTTGTCAAGTTGTTTGATATTCTTACATTGACATAAATGTGAATTGAATTTTTTTAACCATTTCATTATGTTTTAACCATTTCATTATTTTTTATTATTTTATCACTGCCTTGCATGTTTTTGTTCCCTGGGCAGCTGTGTCTCTGTTCTCTCTCAGGTATGGTGATATGAGAGTGATGATGGCCTATGAGCTCTTCAGCATGTGGCAGAACCTGGGTAAGCCTCTCCCTTTCTCACCTGACATCCAAAGCCAAAGGAAAACCCTGTTTCTGTCAGATTTTAAATTTTTTTTAATGTTTTGTGGCATCTCAGAATCCTTTGTTTCTCTGAAGAGAAGCACTTCTCCCATCAAAACTCTCTTCTGCACTGTATTCTAGAGGAAAATAACATAATGTTTGCTGATAGAGATCACAAATACAAGGATATGAGAAGGGGTGAATCACTAAGAGACCAAAGGAGTGACACAAGTCAGATTGGATAACTTAATTATGTGGCTGCAAAATATTCACACAGCCAAATACAAACATTTTATGTGTAGGAATGTAGGTAGGAGTTGCTATTAAAAAAATAAAGATGACAAATGTACCATGCTGATATTCAGCTGAAGGGGAGCTACCTGTAAAATGCAATGAGTAAAGGAGATTTTGTAATCTCTCAGAAAATATGTAAGAATCTGGAGTAAGAGAAGAGGGATCATATTGCTGTCACAGTGTTTTCCCTAAGTGCATTTGATTCTAGATTAGTTTGCCCAGTCCTGCTTTCTACAGCTAAAAGAAACAACAAAACACAAAAAAAATATAAACCCAAGGCAAGCTGGACAAGGTTCAGACAACAGTCAGGAAGACTATGGAAGCAAGAAAACTGAATAAGCCTGATCTGTTTACAACTGAAATGATACAGCCAGAACTGGTCACAGTTCAAATGATCTGTGTGAAAAATAGAAGGCCCTCCAAGGTAACAGAGATCCAATACCCAGAAAAACAAACTGGACAAACTCAGCTGAGAAGAGAGAAGCCAGTTTTGGATGTGTAGATGCAGACATTTATCACTGGATGCTGTTCCAGATCAGGCTTTGTTGACTTTCTCTCTGCAACAGTGCAGCACATGGCTCAGAAGAGATTGTCAGCAAAGGTCCCTCCTGGAGAAGATCCACTTGGTCCCAGTCAAGGGCAGTCAGGAAATCAAGAGAGCAGTGGGGACCAAGAGATCTGTAGTTCCTTGAAATCTAAAAGTGCTCTATTAAGTACCACTGTTCTCACCAACCCTTTCAAAATTTTCTTGAATTGGAAGCACCCCTGGCCTCTTTTCCCCCACTTAGTACGTTTTAGTTGGGTTACTTCTGACAGTTTGAATTCCTTTGCAAAGTACAATGCACTGACATTTTTTGCTGAAGGCTTTCACAGTGAAATTAAAAATGCTCTTAGAGACTTTGCAAGAAATGGTGTAAAGTAAATACTGATTTTTCATTCCTTTTCAGGAAAAGAATGTTTGCTTTTGTAATGCTCGTGCTTACTACTGTGTAAATGTCATTATTGCAAGAGCTCAGTATTTTCTCAGTGACAGATAGCAAAGGCTTTTCTTTAATTACCACTGTTTTGTGTTGTACAGGTGAGCACAAGATTCACTTTATTCCGGGAATGATTGGCCCCTTTCTGGGTGTTACACTTGTTCCACAACCAGAAGTCCGGAATATCATGATCCCAATCTTCCACGACATGATGGACTGGGAGCAGAGAAAGAATGGCAACTTCAAACAGGTGAGGGCACTTGCCAAGCTTTCCTTTCCCTCCTATCTGCAGTGTCCAGCTGGGAGCAAGGAGTTTGTATTTTTCAATTTGTTATTGACCATGAATATGGTATGTAAATATATATATATATTGTTTAACCAGTGCAAACTGCATATCCCATGAACTGGAGAAGAGGAGGGATGTGCTCAGCACATCACAGATGGGGAAAAGAATTTTGCAAGTGCTGGGCTATCACTGCTCCCAGTGGTTTCGCTCAGATTATTAGTCAGCCATTAAATGGGTCAGACTGAGAACCAAAAACAGGGATGTAAAGATTTAGCCAGTCTTTGTGAAAACAGTGCTCTCTGCTTCTCTGTCTTCAGTTTGCAGCTAGGAAGTGTTATTGTATAATTAAATCACTATAGCATGCCTTGAAACAGACTTCGTAGCTGTTTTTATTTTCAGAAATTGCAGCAGCTCTCTGGGAAGGGTTAAGTCCAACAAGAGCTCTGCAGTTTCTACCTGCTGTGAGCTCTGATTGCAAATCAGGGAGAGAAATCTTCGTCATTGTTTCCCAGTCCTGGTCAGAGAATTGCTTAGATTTTCCACTGCAAACCAGATCCCTGAAGTGCAGAGCATTGCTAATGAAGGATGGGTTTGGTCTGGATCCTCAGATGACAGTGTTTCATTGTCATTGTGCTGGGGCAATACTGGGAGCCAGGATCTGCAGAGAATTGCTCTGAAGGAGTAAATCACCATTAAATTATCATAATTCGTGTGATTAGTTATTTGCACAGTCATTAAAATGCCAGATCTAATCTGTCATTCCAGGAGAATAGCAGACCTTTCCCATAACCTGATCTATTAAAGGCTGTGTGGAAAAGTATTACCAGGAGCTAGTTTTTCTTCCTGTTCAGCTCCCATGATGGCTACAATTGTTATTATTTACTATTATTATTGCAATAGCATTTTGATCATAGTCCTCTTTCCACTGGTTTTAGCATATCAATAGAACAGTCTGTCTCTGGAATTTACAGTATGAAGCATCTACAGTCACCTTCGAGTTTCTGGGCCTATTTTCTGTATAAAGATGAACTCTTCGTATTCTCCATTTAATTTTTATACTCACTAATGCATTTTAAACTACAGCTCCACGAATATTTTGTATATTACCTGTGGAGCAAATTTCCACACAGTTTTATGAAGCATATATTGTAACCTTCGAAGGTTGAAGATGAAATAATCATCTGTATTAGTGATTAAATAAATAGTTAAATACCCCAAGAGGTAATAAACCTCATTAACATTATCTGCTGGAACCAGGCAGGTATTTGCTTTCCAGTATAATGCTGGATAGCTGGACACAGGCATTACTGATTTCTGTAGTCACTGCAGATCATAAACAAAGGGAGAATGGTTTGTTTTTTTTTTTTTAGTTCTGAGCTTCTCTTCCCCTTTTGAATATTCATTTGTTTGTCAGAAAATAAAAAAACCCTGAAAATTCATTTTCAAGCCCTTTTTAAATTTTCTTCAGTAGTTCATGTTTTTACAAGGTTATTTTTTCAGCAAGACTGGATAACAATACAGTGTGATTCAGGGATGAAATCAGGTCTCCCTTTAAAGATTCAGCACCAAGTCCCTTTGTGTGCCACTGGCTGATTTGTTTTTCTATACCATCTTTACTTCCTTTACAATTTGGCAGCTGAAAAGCATAGAGAAGCTCAAACTGTGCTTGTCTTTAAATAAAAGTAAGCCATGTTTTTGCAAATAGTTTCAGCCTTTAGGAGCCTCTTTCTTCACTAGTAGTGAAACTGTCTTCTGCAAGATTTCTGACTTCATGAAGTTGTTTTTGTTTAATGTTACATACATCAATTTCTGTGCTTGAATCAATTTTATGAGAATATCTGATATCACACTTGATATTTAGGGTGGGAATTAATATGTAATCAAAATCTTTCTAAGAGAAACATAATATTGCTGGCCCTTTATGTAAGTGAAAGAAAAAGCGAAAGTGTCATAGGGAGGCTTAAAAAGTGGTGTTTAATGAACAAATAATCTTCTAATATACTGATGCCTGGGTGACTGCAAATCAATTCCAGCAGCAGAACCAGCACAGCAGAGCAGTGTGCTGGATACTCTGTTGTAGTTCAGGATCCAGTTTACCTGATGGTTCACTGGAATAGTCTCTGAGTGATGGATTTGGTCTCCTTCCTGCAGGTGGAGGCTGAGTTGATCGATAAGCTGGACAGCCTGGTGTCTGAAGGAAAAGGTGATGAGAACTACAGGGAACTCTTCAGCCTGCTGTAAGCTTTGCCAGTTCATGCTCCTCGTGTTGGGCAGGGCCATTGGAAGAGTCAGGCACTGACCTGAGCAGCCACAGATCTTCGGGGAGGGCAGGAAAGGGCTTCCTGGCAGGCTTCCGTGGAATGGCTCAGTGAAGTAGTGCTGGAAGTAATATAGAGACCTAAATTCTTCTTCTTTTGTCTTCTCTCTGTGACATCTAATAAAAGGCTGCACAGCTTATCATCATCCTATCAAAACTTTATTTGCTGGAGGAGCCAGGGTGCTTCTCTTGCCATTGCAGTGAGTGAGATCCTGGTCTCAGGACTGTTTAGAGAGACTGTACCTACAGAGTCAGGTCTTGTAAGAGCAAAGGGGATTTTTCTCAGCATTTTCCTTCCTTTCCTCCTATTTTTGAAGGCCATGTTTTGGTTGATTCAACAGTTGCCAGTTGCTTCCTCCAGAGTCCCTTGTGACACTTCCTTTCACACCAACAATTCACACTCAGAAGAATACAGTCAAAGATTTTATGTCTGACTTTACCTTGGATTACTGATCTGTCTCCAAATTCAATTTTGAGTGTTCCTAGTTTATTTCAGAAGGAATTATTTATAACTCTTGACAGTCCAGAGCAGTTAACACAAGTTTTTTAATACTCTAGTGAACCAGAGAGATCATTAGCAGAATTTTAGCCATATATTCCAATTTTATGTGGCCCCCAACAGGACACTGGCTGTTTGAGGCATAAACCTTTGTTTTTCTGGAATCAATAATTCTATTTCTGAATTTGCAATTGCACATTCATTCATTTCAAGCCAGATAAGCCTGCCCATCCCATGTGCTTATTCTCGGAAGTATGGAAATGTATTCAGTTTGGATTTGTGTATATTCAGCCTTGGGAAGTCTTGGATCTTATGTGTACAGATAAAATAAGTCTATTTCAGGGATAAAGGAAAGGAAATATCTTTTTTTTTTTATTCACATGGCAGGAGGAATAGTGTGCCTTTGCTCCACTTGAATACATTCATTACCTGAAATGTTAAAAATTCAAGGGCTGTAGCTTTTTACTCATTTTTAGGTGATAGTGATTGGATGCATTACTAAGAAACACAGCCTGGAATTCCAGCAACTAGTTAGTTTATATCTCCCACCAAGCTGTCTGAGAACAATATGAGGAAACAGTTTGAGGAAAAAATTCCATAAATTAGTAAATGCTTTGTGAAAAAAACAGTTGACCCTGAATTTTACTGTCCCAACTATACTGCTGTAAAGGGAATTGGCTCCCTCGGCTGCAAATCATCCCAGTACTGAAAAGTGATACCAAACAGAATTTCTTTCCTAGAAGTGGCAAATTCTTTGACTGGAAATCCAGCTTCAGGGAAACTGGCATGTAAATTTGCTTGCTTTCTTCACTTTTTAAACACAGTGTTCATTGTTCTTGTTTCAGCCTTCTCTCTTCCTTCACAACTGTGTGACATGGGTGCTCACTGTACTGTCTATGCTAGGCAAGAGCAGGTTGCTGTTATTTCCAATTTAAATACAATGTTATTCAGGGTTGGTTGGTTGGTGCTTAGAGATGAAAATTTATGGAGGGAATAGCAAAGAAGAAATATTTGCAGTAGGTTTGGACTCCTTTTCAGTTTCTGACTGCTGCTAGCAGTATTTAAGCTGCAAGTAATAATATGGGAATCAAGTGTTGCCATGAGTGCTGCTCTTCTTCATATCTGTTAAATGGCAGTGTGAGGATATTTTCCCTTCTCCTGTCAGTTCTGTAATTTCCTTGTCTTTACTTCATGCTGCCTGGAGTAGAACCCAACTCTTTGGGCCTTATCCCAGGTAAGATGCTAATTCTTCTGGAATTTGTTGTATGAGGGAGAAACCAAGTTGTCTGTATCAGCTGCATGCCCTGTACCTTTTCCCTGGAAGCCTCACCTGCTGGCTTTCCATCTCCAAACAGTTTGCTGGAGAAGATTGAGCAGGAAACTTGGCGGGAGACAGGGATCTCTTTTGTCACGTCCGTCACTCGGCTCATGGAGCGTCTGCTGGACTACAGGTACCTGGCACCAGCAAGGACATGTTCTAAGCATAAGAAGTTTGTTGAGACATGGTACCAAATTCCTACAGGGAAGATTCTTATTTACTATCAAGCTGCATACATGCAGCATCACTGCTGGGTTCTGAGCAAACATCCCAGATCCTCGTCTCATTCTTGTGTGCTCGTTCCTGATAGTTTTGTACTGAGGTTTATTCAGGTTGCTAAAACATTAATTCCTTCTATCACTGAAATGATCTCACCTAATTCAGCAAAAGAGATGTTAAATGCAAGAGTGATCCCCAAAGCCTCATTGAACCAAGATGTGCTGAATACCTCATCTAAGCCTGCAGGGCTGGAGAACTTCCATCTGGGAACTCTGACACATCAGCTGGTGGCTCATGAGCAAGATTTCACTACAAATTAGGCAACCTTCATTTAGTTTTAAACTGAAGTTTGCAGGACTGTTGTGTCAATGCAGCTGAGCTTTGACTTAGTTAGAAGGAAATATTTTAACTTTAGATTTATATATACACGCACACACTCAGAGGGTTTTTTTTTAATAATAGACAATTTGAACCTATATAGAACTGCCCCAGATATTTCTATCTTTAGCCTACTGACAGGAGTTCAAATGTTTTTTTCTTCTGCTGCTGCTCATTAGAGGTGAAACCTTCTGACTAGGCTGGGTGTTCTGCAGACCCAAATCCTTTTCTGTGCTTTTTAGTTTGTTCTTTTTGTTATCCCTACCACCTTGATCCAATCTCCTGTTTTTTTCCTGGCAACAACTGCTCCACAACTACTGTGCACAACCAGGTACTGGAGACACATTTAAAGGGAATGCAGGGGAGCTGCTTGGGGTTTTTTGGGGCACAGGGTGGGGGGATGCTGTGTGGTTTTGGTTTCTGTTTTTTGTTCTTTAATGATAAACTGTTGCCAGCAAGGCAGCTTTGACACACAGCTACATGTTTCCGTGCTTAATTGAGAAACACATACCAGTTTTTAATTGATTTTCAATCTGCAGCTGATTTGTCATTCCCAGAACAAGGAACTGGAATGTGGCATTGGAATTTGGAAATACACAGGCATTTCTTAGAATCCAGCTGCCAGTCAGTAGCTGTAGTAGTTCTCAAGATGGCCTGCTGTATCACTGCTTTAAAAATTAGTCTCTTGTACCATTTGAATAGAAATAATTTCTAAAATATTCTAGAAACCAAAGATAAATCTTGTGATTTAAGTTACCTATGCAGAAGTTAGAAATCTAGTCTAAATCCCTCAGGTTGTGTCCTTGTGTGCCACACCACACTGCAGAGCTGCATTTATGGAAGCCAACCCTTTGACTAGGACTAAGTGTTTACATCTGGATAAATAAGATTTTACTTTTATTCTAGATCTTGCATTCAGATTATTTTTGACCACTGATTATTTTTGTACCTGATCTTTGTTCAGATTCTTGTAAGAAACTAAGGAACAGTCATTTCAGGTGCTTGTTCACAGATGCAAACCTGTAAGGGGACACTCAGTTCTCACATCATCTAAGCCCTAATATAGAAATTTTTATTAGAGGAACTTTATAAAATTAAGTATATGATTATCTGTTGTTTGTAATCCAGGGAAAGTCTGGAAGATAAGATAGCTTCAGATTTAATTTAAAAGGACTGGTTTTGCAGATGTTTGTTTCAACATTGCTCTGCTTTCTTAGGGACTGTATGAAAGGCGATGAAACAGAAAACAAGAAGATTGGCTGCACTGTTAACCTAATGGTAAAGATGTTTCCTTTATCTCTTTGTGATACTGTGCAATCTCATTGAAACCAGGATGGGAAAGGCTGGAATAGGAATCTGTGTCAGGCAAATGTAGCTTCAGAATCCGAGCACTGGGATGACAGAAGAAAATGATGAGGATTGTGAGGATCCTCTGGAGGCCTCTGATCTGACTCACTGCTGTAAGCAGGGCCAGATAGGTCAGGCTCCTCAGGGCTGTGTCCAGCTGAGTTCTGTGTATCCCTGTGACACAGGTTCTACAACTTCTCTCACCTTTTCTTTCAGCTTTTGACTACCCTCATTTTGAAAAAAAAATCATGCCACAATAAAATTAGTGGGTTAGATCAGTGTGAGTGTGAAAAGAATTATAACTTTTCTTTCCCACTAAGAATATGTTCTCTTTTCAATAACTTTTCACGTCCACAGATGCTGCCGAGTGCTTCAATGGAGAGTCTCAAGAGTAACAACTCTGTTTTTTCTTTCACAGAATTTCTACAAATCTGAAATTAACAAGGAGGAGATGTACATCCGCTATATCCACAAGCTTTGTGACATGCACCTGCAGGCTGAGAACTACACAGGTGAGAGAGACATTGCACAGAGTCTGCTCTAACTCCTCATGACATTTTTTAACTCTCCCAATGTTATATAATATCTGGCTCATTCTTTTGGAAAGAATTTGCATGAATCTGTTATGGCAGTTGGGAAGGCAAGAAGCTGAGGCCCAGCTCCTTTCCTCAAGTTAAATACTGTCTGTTTATGCCTGCACAACCACGTGACTATTGCATTACACTTTAAATTTTACATTAAAGTGTTATTTGAAGAAGATGGATTAAAAAAAAATCACAACAGTGGAATGAAACTTAAAGAAAGATTAGCAAAAGCACCATTATGTTATCACTTGTCATATTTCCTCGCCTTGCAGTGCTGAGGGAGCACTTGGAACGTGTATGGCCTCTAATGCTGTGTTGTCCAAGCTCTGTTTACAGCTCCAGGCCCCAAATCTAGTTACAGATCTGAACTTCTGACTGTGCATTTAAATCAAGCAGCTGGTAAAAAGAAATTTGACAGATTTGTACCTAAAAATCATGTGTTGCTCTGCTATTTGAAATAATTGAATAATAGTCCCCTAAGAGTTGAGACTTCTTCTTTTTTGCAAACTATAAGTCAGAAATCACAGACCTTCAATATTGGCTGTGTTTATTTGCTGTCATTGATTCAGTGTTCCATAATTGCCTTTCCTACAGAGGCTGCATTCACTTTGCTTTTGTACTGTGAGTTGCTTCAGTGGGAGGACAGACCTCTGAGAGAGTTCCTGCATTACCCATCTCAGTCAGAGTGGCAACGTAAGGAAGGTCTGTGCCGTAAGATTATCCATTACTTCAACAAAGGGAAGGTATGCCAACTTCTTCTCTCTTCCAGCAGCTTCCTTCCCTTTTCCTGACTGACTTAGGGCTTGCAAGCCATCATCTCAGTTCAGTAGTCTGGAAGTAAATTTGTATCAAAAGGGTTTCTAACATGACAAATTGGCTCTCTGGACAAAAAAAAAGAGATGAGAAATGTATTTCATTATATATGGCATTGGAATGGATGAGGGAGGCCAACAGGACAAACACCAGAACATTTTTAAACCTTTAAACCAAGCCTTGGATCAGCTGATGTGGCAGAGTTGCTTGTTCCTCAGCTTTTGAGGGGTGGGATTGCATTTGGTAGCTGTCTGTGCAAACTGCTGTGCTATGACTCACTTGAGAACTTGTTTTCTGCTTAATCTACACATGGAAATGGCAGGCAAATGCTATAGGGGTCTCTTTATTGCAAAAGTCTTCAGTCCTTTCAGTGTCACTTATTTTACAGTGATTTTCAATTAAAGTGCAATTCCATCCACTGCACAAGAAGAAAATCAATCAATTTCAATTTCATATATTGAGTATGGGTTTTCTGCAATTAATCATATTTTGTTTCAATTACTGCAGAAGTAGATGTTTTAGTCCCTTGTGTCATGGTGTTTTGGGAACATTTCAGCAGTGAACCTTAAAAGTGACATCATCTGTTGGAGTATTTTCAAATTTTTCCCTTCTCTAGGAAAATTCCTACAGCTTATTTTCTTGGGAGATAACATCTGTATGTGTGCCTCAGGGTTGATTTTGCCCGTGCTGGCAATGACAGTGGCATTAAATACAAATGTGAGTTGGTTCTTATGGGGCTGCCATTCCAGATAATTCATTCCTAGTCCTGGTAATAGGAGTTGCATATGGCAGAAACATTTTCTGAAGAACCTGCAAAAGGAAGTCAGATTCCTATGTGAAGGAAGAAATGGCCCGTTTATGAGGAAGTTATTTAGATTTTTTTTGTGTGTGTGTCTGCCAGAGTTGCTCTTTTGTGATAACACTGCATATGGTTCTTTCATTTCAGAAATTTTCAGGGGTTTTCAGACTGCACTTAAAAACAAATAACTGGCTTGTGCAAATATTGTAGTACTGTACTAGCAAAGATGATAGAGGCACTATGGAAAGCAAGTGAGCCCTTATTTTTGACAACAACAGGGAATCCATATACACAGTGAAGTAGAGTAAAAATTGACTGATGTAATTAGGCAGTAAAACTCCTAACAGATTATAGAGTGTTAACCTCTTGAGGTTTTCTCCCCACTGGATGTTTTAGGAGTTACTTGATTTGTGTTTTAATCCTGCTTTATTACAAATGGTAGCTGAATGATTAAATAATCCACTTAAGCAGTGTGTATGTCACTCAGACTATGGAAGTGAAAGATGCTGAGAAGCCAAATCCTCCTTTTCAGCACTCTTGTTGTGTGACAGGGAGCAGCTGAGGGAATGGAAGAAACCTGCTTCCCTCTACTTGTGTCTGACAGCTTCTTTCTTCACTATCCTGAGATGGTCCCTCCTCAGGTTCTTCAGAGCAGGATTTGTTATTGTCCTTCAGTTGCATTTCCATTTTTCATGCTGCTCCTGGCCTCTTCCACCAAATGAGGGTGTCAAGGCAGAGTGTAAAGGCTGTAAAAATTCTGCATTTGTTTATAGGGAAATTTTCTCTGGACAAGAATGGGAGGTAAACTGCCCACAAGGGTGTCTTGTGACATGCCAGTGGCACAGCCTGTGGCAGGCCTGGGATGCTGCAGTGGGTGCAGAACTCCCACCCTCAGCAGCATCAGCAGCAGCCCTGTGCTGGGAAGGAACATGGTGTTCCCAAGCCCTTTTAGCCTTCACTGGTCATGTGCCCCTTCCTGCTGATTTCTGCTACGCTGTGAATTGGTTTGTGGCTCAGCTGGCAGTGTGTGCAAGTACATAACTTAAATTGAAGATATTTTTAACCCTCAGTTACAATTTTGACCGTTAAAACTCACAAGTTCTCTAGTTGAAGACATCCCTGAATGGAACAGTTTGAACCCGACTGATCATGTTTCTGCACAGCAATAGCTCAAAAGCTACACAGCCCTTTTCTGTCCAGTTCACTGCTGGGTTTAGCTGACAATTCTGAGCAGCTCCCACCTTGGCACTGCAGGGTGTGTTCTCCCTAGTGCAGCCAAGTGCACACAGAGACCCAAAGCAGAGTTCCCAAAGCACTTAGATTTTGATCATGTGCTCCATACCCAACACTTGAAATCATTTCTCTTGTGTACCCTCATGGGAATCATTTCCAAAAGAAATCTGCACACTGGGATGTGAGTAGATAAAGGCTGGCATTCAGAAGGGTTGGTTGTCTCTACCTGTGCCCTTCTGTGTGCAGTCAGCTGAGAGTTGCTGGTGCCATAGCAGAAAGCTGCAATAAATGCCCTGTGAATGTGGCTTTCAAGTAACACACAACATGCAAACACATCACAGGTCAGCAAAACAGAAAGCACTAATGAGGAAAATTACCAGTGGAGACATCAGGAAGTTATTTGAAGAGGGAAGTGACATTTGCCTGTCACATGGAATTACATATTAATTATCTGTACTGTGAAGATGTTACTTGTCAGCATCACAGATTTTAAAATTGAAGCTCCAGTGACCTGGATATCCATTTATTCCTTTTCCTTTCAAATATCTACAAACCATTTTCTCTTCAGGAAGTTACCTGTATATTGTTTTTCTTCCCTTCTCTATCTCATCTTGTATCTGCAGAGTACTCAGGGAGCACAGTGGAATTTCTTGGTGTGGAAACTGAAACAAAGAGAGAGCCTGAGTTAGGATGACAGGAATGGTATCAAGGTACATGAGAAGAGGTAGTATATAGAGAAATCAGATGTGGTTGCACGTTGTTAATTTAATTGACATCAGAAAAGGAGCATGAAAAGGTTACATCCCTCAGATCACCTGGAGGGAAAACAGCTGGTGAGATTTCTGCTTCTGTCCAGAAGAGAGATTAGAGAGTTAGGTAGGCTTTGGTCACAGCATCCCATTTGGAAGTAAGACTGCTCACACTCTCTGTGGGAAAAAAGCCATTTATTCCTGGCTAGAGGTTTTAGAAGTGAACATAGATCAGCTGAGGACTGAAAATCTATGTATAGTATCTCTGTAAAAAATGTGTTGCAACCATGAAAAAATGCAGTGGTGTTTGAGTTTGCAAATACAAACACCTAACTGACTATGGTTGATCTCAGTTCAGTGGATCAGTTTGTGTGTCATGGATTTTGACAACACACAGCAGAATTCCTGTTAATTTGAAATCACAAATGCCTCACTGATGTTCAGAGTAGTCAAGAAACTGGTCTTTCAGTTCCTTTCCTCTTGTGTCTATTGCTTTGATCTAAATAAATCTCAAGCCTCCCATTCTCCCAAACTACAAATACTATCAGAATATCCAATTAATTCTTGTACAATATTTTATTTAGCAAGTTTTTATTGAAGCTTTTGTAATTAAATGAAGCTAAAGAGCTGTAGTAAGGAAGTGGTAGTAAGGAGAGGACAGACACTACAAATGTGGGCTTAAAGGGAAACACTGTAAACTGCCTCACAAATTAAATGAAACAGTAGAGATTCACTTTTTTTTGTGAAGGTACATGCAACCAGAAAAACTGTTTCCATATTAAGTGCTAATATTTTACATAATTGCTGTTAATTACTCTTTCCAATAATTTACAATATTGCTATTGATATTCTTAAAATGTAAGGTGATAGTCTTAACTCACACATCAATTTTGTTTTCACTACAGCAGGGTCCCATGTAAAACAACTGGCAAATTAGCCCAGTAATGCATAATAAAACTTTATCCAGTAAAGGTTCACCTGAGACCTTGGTGTTCTAAATCTTTACCATAAGCATGGTAAGAAACAGCCACTCCCCTAAAAGGCTTCCAGTGTGTGCAGATAAAAGGTAATGGAAGAGGAGATTTCAGTGTAAAATGAGCACTCCAAAAAGCCACTTGAGATAACAGGAGAGTCTTTCTCTCAGTGTGGGTGTGCCCAAAGTGGGTCTCTGTCCCTCCTGACCTCTGGGATGATGAGTATGGTGTGCTAGGAGAGATCCATTGTGTGGGACTGGGAGCTGAAGAAATGAGTGTGGCTTTCTGAATTACGGATATTGATTCACTGCAGTAATGCAGGTCAGTTCTGAGGATGTTATGTGTATTGGAGTGTTCCCACTGCCTGACAGTTTGTGCTTTCAGTGGGAAGGAGCAGCCTGGGAAGGGGAGCACTTTGCTGGGGAGCCAAGCCCTAACTCAGTACTCCAGGGAGTTCTAGTGCAGGAAGCAAAGGAGCTGTTGGGGGTGGGTTGAAGGGGTGTCTAGCACAAAGAAAAATTGTTAGTTTTATTATCTTTCTCCAGATAAGTTCCCAGTCTCATAAATGAACAGTGAGAACAAGCAGTATGTGTGTGTAATTTCCACGGAACATATGCCTCTGTTCCCATCTTTTAGAAGGAATTGATCTGCTATTTAATGGAAATGGTTTCACCGCATTGCATTTTCACATCTAATCTCTGCCATTTCATACCAAATGAGTTCCCAGAACTGAGTTTCCATATTGCTCTCAGCTGAGCTGGCAGTAGCATTGTGTTTGCTGTGAGTGTGATTTGCTTTGGCCCCGCAGAGCTGGGAGTTCGGCATCCCGCTGTGCCGAGAACTGGCCATCCAGTACGAGAGCCTCTATGATTACCAGAGCCTCAGCTGGATCCGGGTAAGTGGCAGAGCTTTCTCTCCTTGCAGACTCTTCCCTCATTCCCCAGAGCATTCTGCTCTCCTGTCAGAGCATTCTGAATTTAAATATAATCACATTCCTTATAGAGCTCCATGCATTCACTGAGACTCCTTGCCATTGATTCATATTGATGACTTTGTAGGTCCACTGAAATAATTCCAGAGTCTGGTAGCAGTAAAATCCTGTGAGTATATGAAGACAGCATACACACACAGGAGCTGGGCTTGCTATTGAAATGGCATATTTACATATATTTTGCATAAAATATCCTATTTTTTAATACATATTTCATTTTAATTCCAAAAGAATCAAGGACAGCTTGTGCCTCAGTGAGGTAAGATGAACGAGAGAGAGAATGAAGAAGACAAATGTTCATGGCGTTCTTACCAGTTTACAGGGATCTGATCCTCTGGTACAACCCAACACGTGATGAAATCAGGGCACATTTACAGCATCATGCTTTAATCAGAAAAAGCTGAAGTTCCTGTTGTTATTTAAAAACTTTCTAAATGTGAAAATAGTTCATCTCCTCCTGTCCCCTGGGGTAGCATACATGTATCCAAATTTGAGATTTATGCTGCATGGATATACACAGCGGTTTAGATTCTCTTTCTAAAAAGTCCAGTTTATTTTTATCTGAAGACACCTGTCTAACAAGGTCTGATAAACTGCACTTCTGAAGAATCTGTTTTCTCTGAAGTGGCCCCAAAGAGAGCACATGACCAGTTTGGCTGTGCACTCTCTGTGCCATTCACATCACCACCACATTCCTGGATGCTTCCTGCAATGACTTTGGGACCTTCTCCTTCCTGGAAAGGGAATTAATGTTTGTGGGAGCTGACCACAAACAGGATTCAATATTGCAAGTTAGAGTTCCTTGCAGTGGAAGCAACGGTGTCAAACTGGTTCTTCTCCTTGAAGAGTCACCTTTTGCTACAGTGAAATTCCTGTGAGCCTTTCAACCGAGGTTCAGTTTGCCAAAGGGTCTGGAAATCCCACTCTTCATCTTTGTTGGCACAATTCCACAAAACTGTTTATTGGAACTAGAAAAAAGTCTTTTCTTCCTTCCAACCACTTTTTTCTTCCATGTTAAACCTTCTGGTGCACAGAGCTGTAGATTTAATTTTGTTTTATCCTTTTTCGTGCCCCTCAACTCAATTAAGGCAAACCCAATTAGGTGTAATTTTCCAGGCAGTGGTATGGATTTTGATCTGTAGGAGAGAATGGGACACTGTGAGCCAGGCAATGTGGATCTTAATCTCAGCTTTGCCATTAATTCTGCAATGCAAAGAAAATTACATGCAAGACCTGTTTAATTTAAAATAAGATAAACCAGGAAAAATTAATATGTCATCTTCCAAAATGTAAAATGAGTGTGGTGATATTCTAGTCTGTTCCACCATGTAGACTGGTTTAATTAATAATTTTAATCTTTAACAGAATTTTGGTCTTTTCATAAAAAATCACGGGGGTAAAAGAGTAATGTGATTTTTTAATGAGTCTTGAGATGTTAATGTTTTAAGTGCAGCTTTAAGGGTCTGACAGCAGCTATCTCTTTCTTCCACAGAAAATGGAAGCTACCTATTATGACAATATCATGGAACAGCAGCGCTTAGAACCGGAGTTTTTCAGAGTTGGTTTTTATGGTCGAAAATTCCCATTTTTCCTGCGGGTAAGCCAGACTTATACAGGATGCAACAAAGTGGCCAGGCTCAGAGTAGCTGTTAAGGCTTTGTATTTTTGTTTTGGAGATATGATGTCTACTATTCAGCATATTTTTTTATGCCTGCACAAATAAAAACAGTTTTCTGGCTGAACTGAAGGACACGGTCCACTGGGAATGTTCTTGGGAACAGAGATCACAAATTTGACTCATGCCACTGTGAATTTTTGATGATCTGCAGATGCAGCACAAATTGCCTCTATATTAAGCAAAATGCTGTATTGCAGCAATGTTGGGTCATTACAACTAATTTTCATCATCTCAAATTATCACACTTTAAAAAAAGTCTCACTTGACAGAATTCTAATCCCAGCCTGATGACTCTTATGCTCTGTTCAAGAGAAAATTTCCTCTCTTCGACAAAAGCCAAACAGCTTCTTTGGACACGTCCTCACTTGGAGCTCATTGTCTGCTGGTGTACCAATCCATTTAAGAAGTGAAATTTTCTTCTCTTCCAAATGAGGAATCAAACTTTAAATGGGTATTTGTTTATACAATGTCTTGTTGCTAGTTTAGAGCAAGGAAGGAATACAATCTGACAAGTGCTCCAAGAGCTGCCTGCGATTTGATGGCAGATGCCATCGAATGTGACAGGACAAGGTAACTGGAAGCTTTCAAGGACTGGAGGTGCGTGGTTTGTGTTCTCTTTGAAGGAATGGTTTGACAAGAGGTGGCACCAATTGAGGTACACAGGATCAAGTCATACAAAGCCAAGCCATTTTGAGAGCTGCCCTCTTATACTCCTCTCTTATTATGAAGTTGGTGGTTTTTTTAACAAGGATTTCAACACTAGGGTTTAATTATAGTCTTTCAATAGAAACTCAGGCAGGGGTAATAAAGGCAAGTTGAAATTAGTCAAGGAGAAGAAATACCAGTGCATAAAGGGTGATGGTTTCATGTTATTTGAAGGTGAACAGTGCCAGAATTAAAGAATCACAGAATCATTTAGGCTGGAAAAGACCTCCAAGATCATCAATCCAACTTTTGACCAATCACCACCTTGTCAACCAGACCATGGCACCAAGTGCTATGTCCAGTTGTTTCTTAACACCTCCAGGGATGGTGACTTCATCACCCCCCTGGGCAGCCCCTTCCAATGCCTGACAACCCTTTCCACAAAGAAATTTTTCCTGATGTCCAGCCTGAATGTCCCCTGGTGCAGCCTGGGGCAGTTTCTTCTCCTCCTATTCTGTGTCCCCTGGTAGTAGAGCCTGACCCCCACCTGGCTACCACTTCCTATCAGAGAGCTGTAGAGGGTGAGAAGGATCCCCCTGAGCCTCCTTTTCTCCAGTCTGAGCCCCTCCTCCCTCAGCTGCTCCTCACAGAATTTAGAATGCAGCAGCCAGAAGCAGTGTGTAGAAGACCCCTGCAAAGGAATCCAAAGAAAGGATGGGTGCTGCAGTGTGAACCCGGAGCTGCCCCATGAAGATCTCCAGAGAAAACTGACAATTCCTGGTTTTTATATCTAACAACAAATATTTCAGCAAGTGAGTGACAACACAGTCACCAGGGCACACAAGCATTCCTACATCTGAAGTACTGTCAGTGACTGGAGCTTATCTTTATATCTTGTGTATCCTCGCTTTTACCTGGGATCCTGCATGGCCAAGGTGTTTGACACTGCTTGAGCTTCCTGTGCTCAGCCCTGACTCTTTGCAAAGTGCTGTAACAATGTGGATCCTTGGCTGGAGAAATTACCAGCGAAAACGAGCGTACATAATTATAATCCTTGTTAATTCTGCAATTATATTTGGTAGCAGTACTTCTGATAGCAGATTACTAATGTAGCAATCTCATTAAAAGTCATCCTCCTCCTTTCTCTCCCTAATGATCCATACAGCACACACATTGTGGAGCACAGACTAAGCCCATTAGCAGTCACATCAGCATGGATCACACTGTAAAGAGATTGGAAGCAGCTATTCTAGAGAAGAAAAAGATTTACATGGATTTAAAATCTTCAAATGGATACGGGAGTGATTTAAAGTGATCAAATAACTCCAAGTCCTTTTCTCATGTATTTTTCTATTGCTGTATAGCTTAAGACAGAAAATAACTACTTCTTTCTATATCTTTGATTTTTGAAGACCCTTTGTCTAGAAAAGTCATTGTTCGTGTTTCTATGTATTCTGCATCTATTTCTAGCCTTTCTACATAAGTAAATTTAAATTAAAGCTGTCCATATCTTCCATCTACCAGAAGTTCAAGGCCTGAGAAGCCATGTTTTGAGATCTTGTGCTGGCATCTGTCTGAAGTCTTATTAAATTTAGCTTTGAGGTGTTTTCAGGGCATTATTTTTAGAATCACAATAACTTTATTTATAGGCTTACAGTTTTCTAGATTGCTACAATCAAAAGCTAAAACAGAGAAAGCAGTAAGTGTCATGAAGAGATTCACCTTCAAACATGGGCTCACTCCAAATTTACTAATAGCTGCAAAGTTTGAGCATTACAGACTGAACTGTCAAGATTCATCATGTGATTCTTCTCCCAGTGCATTGGTTGCTGTGACTGATGCATACAAAGTGACATGTCACAGCCAGAGCAGGAGATCCTTTCCATAAAGTTGAAATGCAAAGCCAGAGATAACTGAATTCCTTGGCTGTGTTTTATGATCTGGTTTTGCTACTTTCCCTTCGATTTTGCTACCCAGATCAAGAATTGCTTGGCCACATCCCTTTTCCAGAGCAATTAAAAACACATTATTGAATATACTGCAGCCTCTAAATGCAAGAAATAAAAGGCTGTTCTTGTTTATTAAATTTTTAAATTGTTTTATGAAGGTGAAAACCCTCCCTGTTCTTCTAGATATTATGTGTATGAGAGTTCAAACTACCAAAATTAGAGAATTTGCCTGCTTTGATTTGTCTTGCACTAGGAGATATTAATACTGATGAAAATTGTGGTTTGTGAGGGTTAAGACACTGGAATACAACCTTCCTGACACTGAGGAATTTAGAAATCCTGTATCGTGCTGTTTGGAGTTAAGAGATAGCTCAAAAAACATCCAAGAACTCTGCACCAGTGGTTTAATGCCTCAAGAGTCATCTAAATGCAGCTTTCCATTATTAGCAGAAATGAAATTTTGTTCATCAAGAGGAAAGTGCTTTTAGGGCTGAAGGGGAATTTGTTAAGTGGCCACTGGGAATTCTTGGTAAAGCTTTTCTGTATTACTGTACTATTGACAGGGGAGTTCCTGAGCTTGTATTGTTCATCACCATCAGGGCTGGGTTGTATGGCTGTGATAATACAGCAGTGATTAAACAGTCATTTTTGTGAATAGTTTGTTGCAACTTCTCTCTAAGGAGAACTGATAAAATGATAAACATATTTCTCCCTCTGTTCTATCAGAACCTCAGGACTTTTATCCATCTGGTATAAACTGTATTTGACAGCAGCTTTCCCAGTGTAAAACAGCCAAGCTGGTGACTTAAGTTTTAGTTGCTACTAAACTATAGTTTCAATATAGTCCAACTAAAACTAGTGCCTTTTCTGAAAAGCAGGTAAGAAGGGACCACAAGACTGAATGCTGGGTGTGCCTGAATCAGAGGCATTGTGCTGTTCAGAGATCAGTGGAATAGTCTCCTCATTCATTGCTTCATCATGAAATACGTTGTAAAGAAAAAGGGACAAAATACATCTACTTTCACATTAGCATATTGCCACTGTCATTTACCTTTGGTTTTGAAGTAACATTTAAAGTGAGACAGAAGTCAATAGAATTTAAATTACTTTTAAGGACACTAATTTATGCTTATAATTATGTCCTCCTTGCAGAACAAAGAATATGTGTGTCGGGGCCACGACTATGAGAGGCTGGAAGCCTTCCAGCAGAGGATGCTGAGCGAGTTCCCCCAGGCCATCGCAATGCAGCACCCAAACCACCCTGATGACTCCATACTGCAGTGTGATGCCCAGTGTATCCTTCTGTGAAAGGGTAAACTCTCCCTGGAGCTGGGGCAGAGCACAGAGGTAGAGCTGGATATGGACAACACCAAACCTTGTCTGCAGCAGACAGTAACTGGTTTGTTATGCGACGTGATGTTGGAAAGAGCGGGGACTTTTTATTCAGGGAGTAGTGCAGGTCATGTTCCATGTAGAAGAGAAAGGGCTGTGCTTGGTCATATCCATGTTTTAATGCTTTACCCAACAGCACTGGCATCACACATACTGTGTGTACTTAGGAGTATTCCTGATACCTTCTCTTGGCCAATATTTTGTTGGGAACAGATACTAGTTCCAAAGCTCTATTTTCCATTCTGCTTATTTTTCTTACATCAGTATGTTACTTTTTTGCAATTTCCCTTTCTTTATAACTGTTGAACCTTTTTATACCCAAGGCTTTGAATCTCATTCTTCTCGCTGGTCACCTGTACAATGCTCAATGCATTTAAGGACTGAACCACATCACATTTAAGGGGACTGCAGGGACTTTGCAGAGCTTAGTCATGGAACCCACGCTATTTGGCTTCTGAGAGAACGGCGTGGATCCTGTGCAGGATTTGAACCGTAATGTCTCTGCCACCAAATGGAGCCTCCTGTGTGGGTTGCTGTTTCCTATTTGTCTTTCCTAACACATGGATAAAGCTTTCTTTGACTGCACAATTACCAGATTTGCAGATCTATGCAGTGACTCCCATCCCAGACAACATAGACGTGCTGCAAATGGACCGAGTCCCTGATCGCATCAAGAGCTTTTACCGCGTCAACAACATCCGCAAGTTCCGCTACGACAGACCCTTCCACAAGGGCCCCAAGGACAAGGAGAACGAATTTAAGGTAGAAGTAGCAAAGAAGCCATGTTTAAGTGTTCATCTCTTCAAGGTGAATACTGTCTTCTTATTTTATGCAGATAGACCCTTTTAGCTCCTGATTTCATAGCCATAGATACTACAGTAACTCAAGTAACAGGTTAAGTCCGTGGTCTGATTGAATATTGTTGAGTTCTGACCTGCTTAAAGCATTGTCCAGTTTAAAGGTGAATTATTTTAGTGCCCAGACACTGTTTGTTTGGCTGGACTTCTTTTTTATTACTGACACATAGGTCTACAATGTCTTCTTGGGTCTCATGACACAACTGGTGATTGGACAACTTAAAAAAAGTAATAGAAATGTTGAATGTGTTGTTTCAAGCTTACTGAATTCCTGGTTTGTTGTTTAAGTGACTTTCAGGAAGACCTTGTACAGAATGAATGCTCAGGAGTTTAATGCGTTATTTTCTGAGCCTTGCCCCCTTCGCACTTGTAGTAAGAGTACAGAGGATGTGGTTGTGATTCACTGTTCCTCACAGCCTCAATTACTCCTTGCAGAGCTTGTGGATTGAACGCACCACTCTGACCCTGACTCACAGTTTGCCTGGGATCTCTCGCTGGTTTGAAGTGGAGAGAAGAGAACTGGTAACATTCATAATTCCTGTAACTGGGGGTCGAAATGATGAGTTACTGAGGACATGCAATAGGCAGCTTAAAACTTGTTGGGCTGAAATCTTGCAGTTTAAAATGGTGTTTACCAAGAGTTAAATACATCCTTTTTCTACCACTTCATCTAAATAATGGCTGAATGTAACCAGGGGAATTGTATTAGCTAATAGTATAATGGAGACAGTGCCAAAAGGATGGAATAATTGCATTGCTGCCATGTCTTCAGTATACAGAAAGACATCTATTATTGCAACCGAGTGACCTGAAATCCAGCACTGCCAACAGTGGAGTTTGTTAATGTAGCAAATTTTCTACAAAGCAGTAGAAGTGAAGGGAGCTCACTGAACAATCCCGGAGTACCATTTTATTACAAGGAAGATAATAAATCTCAGTGAAGTGTCCACAGAATTAAAGTATATTTTATTGCTTTTGAGGTTGAAGTAAGTCCTTTGGAAAATGCTATTCAAGTGGTTGAGAACAAAAACCAGGAGCTGAGGACACTGATAAGCCAGTACCAGCATAAACAAATGCATGGCAACATTAATCTTCTCAGCATGTGTCTGAACGGAGTGATTGATGCCGCCGTTAACGGGGGAATTGCGCGGTACCAGGAGGTGAGCCAGGCTTTGCTTCCCATTGAGTATCACCCTTCCTCAGTTTTATTTGCATTTCTGTTTCAATGGTAATATGGCTTAGTAAGATAAGAAATTCTCATGTGCATTATCTAAAGATGGGGTTACACCCCCTACTTGCTTTTTCTTCATCAGTGCTTGTATAGCCACGTGCAAGGAGGCTCCAGGGGTGGAGCTGTGATCTCACATGGAATAGGTACAGGTAACAGCAGGGTTTCTCACAGGTGACATTTGGCTTATCTGGAAATCCTCACTTGGCAGGTAAAACAGTGAAGCAGCTTTTTTTTAATACTGTTTACATTATAAATTCATTTTGCAATAGAGGCTGTGGGACTGGTGGTAACTGATTAGGTTTGGAATCAGGAAAAACCACTAATTCATGCTATTGAACCATTATCTTTGCTGATGGGCTAATTTCAGACTTGCTGTAGAACTAAAATGATGTTAAATACAACATCCAGCGTTATCCTGCATAATGTCTGACAAGCTGTTACTTAAACTGAGCATTGCAAAAGGTAGGTTTAGGGTAAAATACTGAAAAATTGCAGCAGTGGTTCAGGGGTTTGGGATGAGTCTTCACAGCAGAGCCTGGAGAGAATGCTCTTCAGGCTTTACATTAGTTGCCAATTTACTCACTAAATTCCTTTAGCTTTAGGCAGTTATGTGAAGGAAACTATAAAATTCAAATAACTGGAAGATACAAGGCTTAGTGGTATTGCTCATCACTGACACAGGGGGAAACTTGGTCAGAGTCATGATTCAACAGAATCGTTTCAGCTGCCAAGCCCATTTTCTCTATATCCCAGAGTGCTAAAAAACAATAAAATTAAGCTCTGCTGTTACCTTAATATATTTTTTGTTTTCCTAAGATTTTTGGACCTTTTCCTTTCATCTTTTGACTCCAAGTTATGGTGAAACACCTTCCCATAAGCAAAAGGCACTTTTTTTCTCCTCTTCCTGCAGGCCTTTTTTGATAAGGATTATATCACAAAGCACCCCGGAGACGCAGAGAAGATCACCCAGCTCAAGGAACTCATGCAGGAACAGGTACTATTTTTCAGGTGTAGAAGAACATTGCTATATTGTCTGGATTCATCAGCAGTCAGTCTAAACATCAGATCCAAGTGATTCATTCAGAAGCAAAGATTTTTGGTACAGGAGATGTAAATACATTCAAACAAAAAACAAGAGGGAAGTGGGCAAGGCAATTATGACAAGTCGCTCACCTTACGGGATGTGAGGTGAAGTTCAGCTGAAAGTACATTAATTTTGTTTTCTACATTTATTACCCAACGGACATCTTGCTGCATTTCAAGCCTGCCATTCATTTTTGGCATTTTGAACTATGTCTTCCTAGCAAATTTCAAAGATAATCGGAGGCAGGACAGGTCAGGCTTGAGATTCAAGTGGCAGAGCCACATATGAAGACTTAATGCCTATTTATGTTATCTGCAGTTTTATTTTTCCATAGTGTCTCCTTGAAACATCTTGGTAGATAAAGCTGCGGGATGCTTTGATGGAAATGAAATCAGATAACCACATCCCTCTTAACTGAAAGTTTGGAAAGATATACCCCATTAAACAATGTGCCCAAATCTGAATAGAGCTACTAGGCTTGTTCTTCAACAAATCACTGAATTGCATTTGAGATTCCCCATCTGTAAAATAATGCTTATCTCCTTCAATCCTCAGGAGATATTTGAAGATTAATTAGTTATTGTTTGTACAGACTTTGGATCATGTAGGGAATTACATACATCTTGAGCCTCCTATCATTGCTATTTTCTTTCATCTGAGACCTTATATAATCTCATTCAATCATTAATATTGTATGTTTGACCTTTGAAAAAGTAACCTTTAGAAGTAACTAATGAGGAACAGGAGGAGTGACTGCATGTGCCACACTGCTGCTGTTTGTCTCAATTATCAGAAACTCCTTTTAGAAGTCTCTGCTGGCAGCTCAGACCCTGGCACTGGGAGGAGTTTTTGTCGCAGGGCATTATCTGTGTGAGGGCATAATGCTGTTCACTCTGCAGAGAGAATCTAGCTGCTTTTTGTTTTTTGCAGTTATCTCCTAAGAAAAGCAATGCAACGTGACACAAATGTACTTGTCTCACACTTAAATACTTGTTGGAGTAGTATGAACTTGCCAGGACTCCAGGGCTTGCTTAATTGCCAGCAGTCTTGTAATGGACAGTGGCATATTCCTTGCACATTGCCAGAACTGCAGGACAGGCTTCTGCTCTCTCTCGTAGACACAATTTATTTGGGTTTCTGATGTTGCATTTTCTTTCTCACAGGTACATGTCCTAGGAGTGGGTCTGGCAGTCCATGAGAAATTTGTACATCCCGAAATGCGTCCCCTGCATAAGAAACTGATAGATCAGTTCCAGATGATGCGATCCAGTCTGTACCATGTAAGCCAACAGTCACTTTTCCATTTTTGAATTATATGATTAAATATCTGTCACCTGCAAAGAACTAGGCTGATACAGCATTGACTGAACCTACTGGACTGCCAAATTACCAAATGAATTCTTGATTTTTGTGCAAGAAGGCAGTTGTATAAAATATGTTAACTTGGCCTTTCAGCAAGAATTGTTAATATTTGTATGTTGTTTGTTGTATCACAGAGCAATTGTAAAGCTTAATTTTCAGTTGCTATTTCACATAGCAGAAAATTATGTAAGACAGAGGAAGATTACCAGGAGGTGTTGGATGTTCTCTTCAAAAGAAGTCCCATAACTGGAAGTAGCACGAATGAAGAAAACTTGCAGTTTTCCATGAGTGACTTAGCTGCAGTGTGTTTGCCCTGCAGGAGCTGCCTGGTTTGGATAAGCTGAGCCCGGCCTGTTCTGGCTCCAGCACCCCCCGCAGCAACGTGCTGGTGTCGCACGGCCCCATGAGCCCAGAGAGCATCAAGCTGGTGCATCGACACAGGTGAGCCCTCTTCCTCCCAAACCCCAGGGGCCCTGCACGCTGTGCCACCAAGGTTCCAGCATCTGAGGAGTGCTTAGCAGTCCTGCAGGAGGGGCAGCACGAGTTCAGGCAGAAGTGCCTTTTGTCTTCATTCAGCGATAATTATTGAAGTTGGAGAATTGGAATAAGGAAGTTGAGAAATCCAACTTGCAGCAAATGCTGAACACCTCCAGGTGTGATTCCATCACTTTACTTACTGTGGCGGCAGAAACACAAATGCGCTACTCAGTTCTCCAGACTCAATCTGATTTCAGAGATCCAACCTCTCCTACGTCTGTTGCACCAACAGCAAATAACTGTGTCCTTATCTATCATAAAAGGAAAATTGTATGGCTTGTTTTAGAACCCAACTCAATATGTACCCATTTTGAAGGATCAAAATTGTTAACGTCATTATTTTTATAATTCTGATCAAAGCAGAAGCCAAATACAAGAAAGGCTGCCATGGTGTTCTGATCAGTACATCAGAAAATGACCCTGTGGTGCTTTCTCAAACTGAATGCCCATATATTAAATCTGAGATAATGACAGAGGATAAACATACAAGGACAAAATAGTGTTTTTTATATCCAGCCAACATTGCTTATTTGAAAATGCTAATTGCTCTTCTGTGTTTATTTTTCTTATTGGGTCACTATATTTTAGCTGGTTTTAAAGGCTGGCATAAAAAGCTGTGGAAAGTTGGTCCATGAATCCAGGATGGTGACATTCTTTATGCTATTAAAACTGAGTAGCTCATGCTGCTCCCACGGCTTAGCAGTTGATAAACAGTGTCTGGGTGATAACCTTTTTTTTCCTCAAAACTCCTCCCTTTGTAAAGGCTTTTTTAGTTTTTAGGACAAACTAGGGAAATGCTGTAGTGTACAATGTATTTGTGTGTGTGGTTCAGAGTGACGAAGAAAAGTTCATTCCCTGAGGGAGATCAGGGTACAGCCTGCACACCAGCTGGGCTGCATTAATTTACTGTCAGCTACAAAATCGCCTTCAACTGTAATGCTGAGGCCCAATGCATGCAATAAGGAAAACTGGATTTTGACCTGTGTCTCTTGTGCTTGGATTCCTTTGGAATGTTATTTTTAAGCTGCTCCCACTCATCTTAGCATTAAAAATGTGAGTGGTTTCAGTGTGTTCTGTTATGAACAAAATAAATATGCACCCAAGGTCATGATGTGACATTACCCTGGGTTGGGGTTCTGAAATTCAACATCCTGTGTACTATTCTGTTTTACCTGTAATCTTCTTGTCACCTCTTTCATATTTACCCACATTTATGGACTTGTTTGAGCTTATTTGGCCTTTTCAAAAGTGTTTGACATCTAGAGGTGACCTAAAGCAGCAGGTAACTGCAGGTACTTACTAGTTTGGAAAAAAATCAGGCTTCACAAACAGGTTTAAAAAATAATTGTGCCCTTGTTCTGTCTGGTTTTTTTCCAGCCCACTGAACATGCTTGGTTCAGTCCGACACTCCTCATCCTCCCTGTCGTCGCACACCTCCAGTGAAACAGGAAACCTGGTTATCCTGACAGACAGCTCTGTGGGGGAGACTGCTGAGGATATGTACCACATGCAGGTACAGCTCCAGCACAGCCAGGAGCAGTGGCTGGGAACAGCACAAAACATGTTCCAGAGGGTTTTGCTTAGGAGCAGTACACTTTACCTGTGCACATGCTTGGATCTGTCTGTGATATTTTTTTTTCAAAGAACTGAATAGGTAGAATCTAACATTGTTCAAGGAATATGACAGTAACTGACTAGATTAACTTTGTGAAGAAATCTCCTGTGTTTGTACAGTAACTGTGGTACTGCAGTCCAAGGTCACCCTGCTGCTTTCAGAAAGTGAGATTTTTGTCCCATTTTGTTTACCTGCCGTGTTGAACATGGGCAGTTAGTGCTGCTCTTGTTTTGGGGAGGTGGAACAAGTCCCACAGTCCTGAGTGCAGGTTAGCAGTGGCCTGCACTGAATCTGGGCAGAGGCTGCGCTGGCTCATCCAAGGCAGGTAAATCCCTAAGGCACTGATGTGCTCAGGTCTGTCTCGATGGTTTCTCTGCCTTCGGCAGCTTGTTTATCCTAAGCCCAGGTACCAAGGCTCAGTCACCAATGTCTCTGTTTTATCCTCATCCTAGGCTAGTCCTTCCACCTCCAGCCTGAGCTCCACTCACTCAGCACCATCCCAGATGATTAACTCTGCCCCTTCCAGCGCTCGAGGTAAGCATGGACAGGCCCTGATGGGGGGGGCACCTGCAGGGGTTCCCTAAACCTGGCAACCTTGCTGACTTACAGGTGGAACACCACCTGCACTGACATGTAACACTGTTTCTCTTTTGGACATGTAAATACCTCTTCAATACTTGTTCTTTACAAATGGTTTAATTCCCCATTTAGGTTTTTTTTCATCCATATATCAAATGTATCTCTAATACATGCTGGTTTCAGGCGGTTGAATTTCATAATGATTTCCATTGTTCCACCACAAAATTGTGGCACGCAGTCTAGAGGAAAACAAGAATAGTCCTTGGTATAGTACTTAAAAGAGAGATCATGAAGACAAAGGCAAAGAAATAATTTTACAAGCTTAAAGAAATTATGACAAAAAAGGACTTGAGGCAGTTTAGCAGAAACAATGTATACAAAAGTAGATGTATAGAATGAATATTGAAAGATACGAATTTTAAATAATGGAGACAAAGAAGGGCTTCCCTGCTGGGAAATTCTTGAAGAAAGGGAAAATAAAAAAGCAGACTCTGCGGGTACTCATATTGCCTTTGTGTTACAGTAGCTGGTCTTGATATTGCTAATTATTTTCTTCCCCAGCTGAAGCAAAACCACTCCATGTGATCTCCTGACTTTCTTAACTTCTCTTAAAGGTTTTTGGTTTTTTCCTCTCATTTTGGGTTCTCGGTTGCAGGTTCTACACCTCTTTTCACAGGCATCTGAAGAAGGTGTCCAGGATTTAGTCAGAGATAAAGGCTGATATTTAAATCTTACCCCTTTTTCCATACAGGGGAATACTGTGTCTCCTGATGGAGAGGGAATATGGAGAAGAGCCCTTTCTCTCAAGCAGTCTTGGGGCTTTTTTGCTCCATCTGTCAGTAAAATCCTAATTGACTGGCTGTTGTTATGACACAGATGCAGAAAGGTGATTTAATTGAGGGATCAGATGGAGTAGAAAGGTGAGAAGTGAACATCTTCAAATAAAGGCAAATAGCTTCACTAATTACCAAGGGCTGGAAGGAAAATCATGACAAACAGTAACCAGGTGAAACCAGAATAACAGGAGAGGGAAGATGGAACTGAGGAGAGGGCTATCCTGTCAGGAAGACATGATAGCAGATGTGCCTCAGCTGGCATGTGAATCTTTGGGGGGATCTGAAGACTTTGCTGCTGTACTGTTTCACACTGTTTTCCACTTTAGAAGTCCAGTGACAGGCTGTGGCAGGCTGTGACAGTCTTTTTGAGCCTGATGACTGCAAAGCATCACCAGCTTCCCTCTTTACGGTATTATTCACTGTTGCTTAGAAACCAACGTGATGAATGCTCCAAAGGGTCTGGGCTGCTGGGTGAGCCAACAGCACCTCCCAGGGATGGGACCCAGACAGATTTCAAACGGGAAACAGTAAGAGAAGTAATGAGTTTGAAAAATACTTATATAGCCTGTGATACGACATTTCTTCTCTGCTGTTCTGTTCACTGTTAAATTAGGTGAGCACAGCATTCAGACATTACCCACTCATGGGATTTCACTTCTAGTAAGGTCTCAGATGCAATGTGTGTTTCCCAGTGTGCCAGTCACTGTCCTGGTTATTACAACACTGCTGTTGGAAATGGAGCTCTTCCTAAAGAGAAAAAGCCCTTACACTTAAATTTCACTGTGGTAATGCAGCTGTGTTCTTCTCCTTGGTGACTCTTCTTTTTATTTTGTTTAACTGGGTGAATTTGATGCTTGTGAAAATGAGACCAGTATCACTGGCTGGAGCAAGGTACTTCACAGATGTGACATGCAGCTCTGCCAATGCACCTCTATCCTTTTTTTTTTTTCCTTTTTTTTTGGTATTTATTTATATTCTTTTTAATTTAGCGCTGGTGAAAGGTGCTGGATTGACACCACTGGAGGCTGAAGCCCTCTATTTACCCACAGAGCAGATACAGCATGGGCGGCAGCTGTGCAAGTTCCCCCACGCTGCCCCCATCCATGTGCCTCATCTCTGTCCTGGAGGGACCACCTCTAGAGGTGAGAGGATAGTTCAGTCTCCATGACCCATCCAACCCTTGGCCTTTCTGCTGAGACTGCCAACAAAGCTACGAGAGTCACGATGCTGCAGCTGAACACTTGTCAGATGGGAAGTGGACAAAGACCAACAATTTATTTCATAAAGGCCATCTAAATTTATCAACTTAACATCTTTGTCACCTGTCGCTTTAACCTAAGCATGGTTGGGTAGAATTTCTAGGGTTTAGCCTGATTTTTAAATGCTCCTCTCATTTATTCAAATGATAATGCAGGTACTTAGGCCACCTTCTCTGTTTTACTGCAGAGTCCTTTCCTGAGGAGATGGGTATCTTTATAACAAATTAGTTCCATCAGAGACCAAAGGAAGCCACGGCCTTTTGTATTAAGAATCCAGGAGGAATTTAAATTGTTCTCCCCTTCCAAAAAATTACCCTTTTATGGATCTTTAAAATAGGTGATTATTTGGCTTGCCCAAAGAAAGTAACTAAGCTATTAATGTATAAAGAATTTTTAAAGGATAGTCATCATGAAAGCTGATCAATGATTTGATTTTACCAATGAACTGCAGATTAAGGCATCAAAATTTACACTAGTTATAATATATACACGTTACAGCAGAAGCCTTAGATAGAACTGAACTCAGAATACTGCAAGAATTTGCTGATTCTGTGCTAACAATAGACATTAGTAGTTACTCATTATTACAAGTATGTATCTCTCAGTTTTCACCTGGCTTGACCCTTGAGTAGTTTCTTCCCTGTCAGGGAAGCACCACTGTTGTTGTGTAAAAGGTCAATAGGAATTCAGTTCAGTTTGGCTTCATTTGAGGTGGCTCATGAGGCACTGCAGAACTTTACTGCAGTTAAAAGATTACACAAGCCAGGGTTCAGAAAGCAAGAAACTGTAACTCAAAAATGCCTGGAAAGAGCTACGAGTGAGTTAGGGTTTGTCAATAATTTAATTTAAAATAAGTTGGGACTCCTCCAAAGCACTCAAAAAGCAATTCCCACATGACACTTGACTGGCCTCTAAAGGCATCCCTACTGCTTCCTGAACACTGTCCCTTGTTAAGGTGTAGAAAATGAGTCCTGGTGTCTTACTCAGCACTTCACAAGAATACACGTACATACATTAAAACTTCCTTTTTAAATCAAAAAATTACGATTTGGTGCAGGAGCAAACTTTTCATAACCATAATAAAAATTATGAACCAGGAGAAGAGATTCAATGAGTCTGGAGTTTACATTAACGTTCAGTTTGTTCCTTAAAATTAATACTTGTCAAAGTGGGTTAACATATTTATAATTTAAAAAAGCAAAACTATCTCTGGCTTTAGCACAGGTTTTCCTTTCTCATTAGAAAGTACCTACAGTGCTGCACACATCAAGTGCACCAAGCTACATGCTAAAAGGAGTAAGCCCTCACACATGCTGCAGCATTTTATTATGGCCACTGTCTGCTCTGGAAGCTTTAGAAGCTTTTTTTGACTTTGCTGTTTAAGTTTTGACAGTCCCTGAAAGAAGCCGTGGTTATTGTGCTCTCTGTCTGTCCAAAGCAGCAATACTTAAATTTTGTTTGCAGACTGGACACTTGGCATAATCTGTTACCATTCTATAGCTATAGTTAATGACAAATTTAGGGTACCAGTTTTTTAAACTACACTCTGCCAGCACATGTGGGATTTTTCAGGTCCTGCAGTCGAAGGTCTTTTGACGCTGTAATTCCATATAAACTGACAACAGTAGAGGTGGTTTGGTCTTTGATATAAAAGAGCAAGGATGACAAGATAAATAAAAAGGGGAAAGTTTGCAGTATAGGCTGTGCTGCACTGTAGTTCTGGGCACACCTAAAAGTTCAGCATCTTAACATTTGTCCTGCAGAACAGGACTACCTGTGATCTGTGAGGAAAAGACTCAGCACAAAGCGTTAACACTGTGTTCTCCAAGCTAATGTTGTACATAAAAGCAAAGAATGTTGTCTAATTACGTTTCTGTTCTATGTCTGGGGAGAAAATGGGTTCGGGACTAGAATGCAGATACTCTGCTACTGTTCATGTCAGAGTGGGGGTGTAGATTAATCTGGCATCTGCCCCCCCTCATGGAAATGTTGCAATTGTAGGACTTTATCCTGCATTCTGCTGGACACATTGTTCCTTCCACTGTGTGCTGAATATTAGTCCCCAAAACTGCATGTTTGCTTTTGCTGGGGTAAAAGCTGCATCAACCAGCACCAATGCCTTTGCTCATATGTTGGAGTGCTGTCCAGGTAATGTGTGTGGTTGTGGAAGTTTGCCAGAGGGGGCATGTATTCCCCAAAAGCCGGCATGGCTCTGTAATGCGCTGTGTGCTGCCATCTGTTCAGTGCGTGTTTGTGACGCAATCAAACAATCAGTGCAAATTACCGCTCACTTCAGCAGCTTCACAACATCAATCCTGCCTAATATTGTGCATCCTAAGGGTTGCGTGTATCAGTAGTGTCAGACTTTAGGAAGTCACTAATGAGAATCATTCTTCTGGCAAATCCACTGTCAGCTGTTGCACATCAGAAGGTTTATTGTTATGTAGCACTCATCTTGAAGGACATGAGTCCCAAGTAATTCCACCTGCCAGGAAGCTGTTACATGAAATACCCCAATACCTTAAATGACAACTATATAGATAACTAATAGATAAATCAACCTTATTATTCCTACTATAAAAGTCTAGGCATTGGTAAATGTCTGGTGTCATCAAAGGGCTCAGTACAGCAACACAACAGTAATCATCATTTACAGCAGCATTGTAAGCAAAGTGCCTCTCATGTTTATAGAATATGCTCTTTATTGTTGGGGTTGGTTTGCTTTAACAAGAGGAAGCTGACCAAGATAGCACCAATTAAATGGCAACACTTACCTCTATCCAGAACCAAAGAATAAAGTATTTTCCCAGAGATTTCTGCTTTAACTGAATGGTGTATCTCAAGCTTTTATCCTTTTCTCTCACATTCAGTCCTAAAATTAACAATTTCATGGCATTTCTGTAACTCTACAATACTTTATGGGGCAAGGGAGCATTAGGCACAGCCACAGCTGATTCCACGCAGATGCCCACTTTTTTTTGTGTTGAAAGGAAGCACTTTGCAACATACAACTAGGGACACACACATCTTACACGCCCTACGTGGTATGTCCTTAATTGTATACAACAAGCCAGTTCTTACTCCATCCTCGTGCTATGCACCCACCAACAGTCAGCTGCTTAGTGGGCTCGGCACCGTGTTTCCTTGAGTCCTGTGAGCTCATGCGTCCAAGCCAAGTGCACAGGAGGACTCAGATCCCTGGGCACGCAGAGACATGGCTGTTGTTTGTCCCGTGTACGTGATTTTTCTCACTTGTTTACAGGCTCTCCCTCTCTACCAGATAAGTACCGCCACTCTCGGGAGATGATGATGTTGCTGCCAGCCCACCGGGACCGACCGAGCAGCGCCATGTACCCCGCAGCTATCATGGAAAACGGACAGGTAGCAGCTCTGATTTCTTCTGTGTCACTTCAACCACCTGAAACTGTGGCTGTATTTTTGCTGGCTTTGATCACCTTAAAGCTTTCTTTTTTATTTTTGGAAAGCACAGCAACTTAGGATCATTTCCTGAGGTGAAGCAGAACTTTTCTTATTAGTCCCCCTCTGGAGACACTCACTGTGGCAGCTGACTGATACAAACTGTAGTGGCTATTAAAAGAGCAGACCCGTCCTGTGAAAATGGACTCACTTCCCAGCTTCATCCTGTGAGCCCTGGCCCATTGCAAGCAGTCACACCATTTTCTTTATTTGTTTAGAACCATGGCCATCCATCCTGCAGTCTAGTCTCCAAGTTTATTCTAAATAACTTTATGATTTCCAGAGGTATCAAAAACCATGAGAGGCTGAAGTAATATACTGATACATGGTTTTAAAAAAATCTGTGCTCTAATTTCCCTGGACAAATTGAAAAGTGTTCCTACACGTAAGCATTTAAATCTCACCCTGGCCTGCGCTTTTGAAAGGAATCTCCTGATCCTGCCCACTTACCACACTTGCATTGGAGAGCTGTCTCAAAGCATGCAAAGTCAGTGTTCAAACAAAACCAAAGATAAGCTTCAGAGGGAAAACATTGTATTGCAGCTGCTAATGGGCACAAGGCCAGGCTAGAGCTAGTCTGAAATAACTCCTCCAGAGAGCAGGAACTGTGGGCCCTCAGCACACTTAGACCCTAGATTTCACTCATCTTGCACTGCACTACCTGCCGAGGTAGGCACGGCTTAAGGTTCCCAGGGAATCTTTAGTTTAAAAACTTCTTTGCTAAAAAAAAGCAACAGAAAGTCCCCATGTTGCCCCAGCTGGTCTGCAACCTTTTTTTATTTTTTTTAACTCTTCTTTGCTAACTTTCTTCTCTCTTAGCCTCCAAATTTCCAGCGCGCCTTGATCCAGCAAATGATTGGACCATGCAAACCTTGCAGTGATCCCAACCTGTCTGTGGCTGAGAAAGGTACTCCTCTTCCTCTGCAGCATGCATGCTTGCTAGCTAAAATATTATTCCTCTGGTCATGCTACAGCAAGTAACAAATGGGCTTCTACATTTCCTGGCGGAGTGCATTTCTCTCACACTTTTCTAATTAACAGTTTAATTAACTGGGCTTTCTGCCAACCTGCCATCATTTCAGAGCCTTCACAGTAGGGTGGGGTGGCACAGACCTCCCTATTTCAGAAAGCTTTCTGAGTTTAGCATTTTGTTTTTGAAACAATTCCTGCAGCCTTTATCAAGCAAACTTGCAAAGCAGCAAATGAGAAGTTATCTAAGAACAGCCCAAGACTGGGACTATATTTTTTACTTATGAGTTATACTGCTTCTTAATACACATGTATTGCTCAAAATACAAACATTCCTCATAATCTCTCTCTGAGGTAGTTTTATATTTGTTTATCATATAGCAATATATGCTTTTTTAACTCATTCTTTTGAAAAAAAAAAACCAGGCAGAGTCCCTGCAGGGGGGAAAAAAACTGAAAGAGGAGAAAGAATTTGTTTGGTGTATGAGAAAAGGAACAGCTTGTGAAGGAGGTGCCATGGACAAAATGGTGGGCTCAAAAATTATCTGAAAGGCAGCATTCTGAAAAAGCAGAAGAGGGCAAAATTCCTGAATCAAAATCTGAGACAAGGAGGCTGCTTAAGCAAGCAACAGTCATGTATTGCTGGGAAAAATGGGATCTCAAAAGATTTAAGGCCAGGAAAGACCACTGCTACTATCTAGTCTGACCTACATCGCACACTCATATTTTTATCTCTTTTTGTTTCAGTAGCTGTGCCAGAACTAAACTGTACCTTAAAAAAAAAAAATTCCAAATTTTATTTTAGAATTTCTAATAAATCAGAATCCCCTACTTCAACATGAGTAGCCCAGATTGAAACCAAACACCAGTTCTGAATAAATGGCAGAACGATGACTTGATGACAATAATGAGTGATGACAAGAGAGTTCAGATGGGGAGTCAGGGATTAAGAGCTCCATCCATGTTAGTTTGAACAAAACATGTAACAGAGATGGTGAGATCTTTGTACTGGAGAGGAGAAAGATTTGAAAAAAGAAGGTAGATAAATATTTATTGTCTGTCTAGGAAAAAGTACTTGAGTTTGTATCTGTGGGTGATGTTATGCAGAACTGTGGTATTCAGTGCCAGGAGACCAAAGACAGAATCCCTAAGAAGCCACAAAGGACACAGGTGATGTTCAGTGGGGATGGTGAGGCAGGAATCCCAGCTCTTGTGCCTGGCTGGTGGCAAAAGGCATTACAGGTGCTGCTGGCAGGCCTGAACCCTCAGCATTCTATGTAGTTGGGATGCCATCTGCCCTGGATTTTGTGAGCAGTCAGGGCCCTGACTTCCCCCACCCTCTCCTGGCCGTGTCAGAAGTTCTGTTCGGTAATTCCCAGTGACAGTTGTGACATCAGTCACCCGGGGCAGAATGGTTCAAATGCAGCCTCCCCACTAATTAAACTTGGCCACTGAACAGTCACAGAGAGAGACTTGGTTTAAGTCACAGCACTGGGAGCTCCCTGCTTCGGTTCTTCCCTGAAGCATTTTGGCTAAAACACTGGTTTTACTGGGCAGCAGCTACTCTTCAAAATCATCCCACCTTCTTCCAGCACTCCTAAATGTTCAAAAGGCTGTGAATGAGGGAACACTGAGAAAGCATAAATGGATTTTTCACTGGGGTACCATGTGTTCTTCACATTCTCATTCTGCATCTCAGTGTTTTAAAAAACCTCAAAACAACAAGCACAGCAATAGTTTTACAGGCCAAGCAAATCAGGTTTTCTCTCCTTTTCATTTCATGATGGGATATGGCAGGAGAGATGAGCAAGGCTGGCACTGCTGTTGCATTTTGTCCCTCTGTTTTAGCCTGTTGACACCAACTGCAGTAGTGCAAATTAGAGCACTCTGGCATGTGTACAGGGAAAATCCATCTGGAGCCACATTACTTACATAGAGAGGTAGGCCCTGGTTTGAACCTGTTCTCCGTCAAGATTCTTCTTCATATGCCTTTCTCAGGTTCTCAGGCTAAGAGTCTCTCTTCACTAAGAAAAAAACATTTACTTTTATATTTTTATGGGGTTTGTTCTGTCTTATGAAGCTGTCACTTTGTGATCTTTTTTACTTTAGGGAATTTTAGGCCTTGGGGAGCCCATGCTCATGCTAACTACATGAACTAGGGAGACAAAAAAAAAAGAGAAACCTTTCAAAGTCATTTTAGAAAGAAATGTACCAAGAATGGCTGCAGGCATTTTAATTAAGGAGAAATCCTCTTCAGATGTCAAACTCCATGTTTATTTCTCCAGGCTTCCATTTTGCAAACTGAAGATGGAAAAAGCTATTTTTATCTCAGTTTTCTTTGACAGGCTCAATTAATTACTTTTTTTTTTTCTTTCTTTGCTAATCTGAAGCAATTGCAGTTGATTATTTGTTTTTAAATAAACATACAACTATTGTATGTCTCAGAATAAATCAAGTCTTGTTTGGAAGGAAGGTGCATTTTAATAATGTTCAAGGTTGACAGAATTCTCAAGATCTTGAAAAAGGTTCATGTTCATGTCAAGAAGCAGCTTTTATTTCTATGAAAAACCAAGTCCATGAAGTTAATATTCACTGTCTGTTAAATGCAGCAAGCATTGCTTTCTCTATACTTCCTGATTCACAAAGGCTTGATCTCTTCAGGAGACTTTGTAATACAAGGAGGCCAAACTGTTGTCTTTAAATATTTTGTCATCAAAGCTCTTTATCAACTCTGTAGCTTAGTAAATTGGAGCTTTGAAGTAATTTCTTTTGCAACAGATTGAAACAGATTGAGGTATAATTTCCTTCATGTCCTTTATTCAGTCCTTACTGAGCCTGCAGTGCAGCCACAGACCATCCTGTGTTTCCAGAGGGTTTTGCCATGTTCCTTTGTCACCACTCCCCACAAAGCAGGACAGCTCACACCTGAGATCCAGCCACCCTTCCTTTGGTGGGATTTCATTTTTACCTCCACACTGATTTGCAAAAATCCTGCCAGAGTCCTACGGCTCTTCAGATTTTATAGAAATGAGCCCAGGGATGGAGGGGAGCTGGGCAGACTAACCCTGCAATCACCTAACTCTCACATCCTTAACAAAGCATCTCTAAACTTAACACTCTGTAGCCTTTCTGTGCTTTCAATCCTGCCATTCACCGAGTCCCTGGAATCTGTCTCTCTGCTGCTGAAGAGCACGCTGGAAAGCCAGTGCTGGCCCCACAAACTCCCTGTCCTGTTACCCAAGTCACATCTTTTTCAATCCTTCAGCTGTGCCAGCAGCACCCAGTAGCTGGAGCCTGGACAGTGGAAGCCGAGAGGCGCTGCCATTCCTGTCTGCCCACGCTGGGAGCGTCCTGGCTCCACCAGTGCCTCCCCGAAGCCTGCCCCATGGTAAGGACCTGCCCAGCAGGCCTGCTGCAAACCCTGCAGGTCACACACACACAAATCCAGACACCTAAAAGCTGACTATAGCCTTTTGCCCCCACCCCTGTAAAAACAACCAGAATAGTCTTTCCTGGTCTTCTAGGTTTTCAATTTTTTTTCCCAAATCTTCGAATTCTTGCAGTCCTTAAGCAATGTGGACTTTTGTGTACTTTGGGACTAGAATTAAGTCTGAGAGTGTTGAAGCTTGGTGTGGCTTCTTACCAATGACCAACTTTAGCAGTAATTTAAGCTTACAGAATGAAACTTCAAATGTTCAGTGTTTAAGAGCCTATTGCCTTGCCATGAGATTCTCAATAATGGAGCAGTGAAAGATCTCTCTCTGCCCTTAATTTCTCCTTAGCAGCCTGTGTGTGACAGATGCACTCCGCAGTATCCATCAGACAGGCAGCTCTAGGCTGGCATTAGCAGCATTTGGAGATGTTACCTGGCATTACAGAGCTAAACCCAGATCTGTGGCTGCAATGAAACAGCACAAGTCTGCATTTCTGACCCTTGTCTCGTTCCAGGACACTACTCACTGCACTTTGATGCCTTCCACCACCAGCTCAGTGATGCTCCTCCGGCACTGCCCGCACGAACGTTGCGCAAGGTAATGGCAGGAGAGCAGAGAGGGATGTAGGAGCACAATGGGCTCCTGAAAGGGATCTCCCCTTCTCTGCTCCCACCAAACAGCTTGTGAACACAGAAACACTATTTATAACATGCTAGTAACTTGCACATGAGAAAACCCACTGAAAGCTCTTAACCTATGCCACAGCTGAATGCTATAGAAATAACTCACAGGTTGTAGGTCCTTCCCTTTTCCTTTTTTGCACCATATGCTGTGATTTCAGCACCCTGATCATCACCTCAGCTACTATTTCTCTAACAGCTCTGGTGTTGTTGAGTGCACTTGTCTGCCCACAAGTGGTACTTCCATACATGTAAACCAATAATCCTTGACATTCTGAACATAAATGGAACTGTGCCGTTGCTAACACCACTGTCAAAAGCTGAAATGAGGATCAACACACAAGATGCAGCATTGCCTCCTTTGTCAATTTTAACCTGGTTCTGTTTCTCTCCAAACAGTCCCCTCTTCATCCTATCCCTGCATCACCCACCAGTCCACAGTCTGGTCTAGATGGCAGTAACTCCACTTTATCGGGCAGTGCCAGCAGTGGTGTCTCTTCCTTGAGCGAGAGCAATTTTGGACATTCTTCTGAACCACCTCCTCGCACAGACACCATGGATTCTGTGCCCAGCCAGGCCTGGAACACTGACGAAGATCTAGAGACACCCTACCTCCCTGTCAGGTACAGTCTCTCTGAGCCTGATGTCCTGGAGTCGCTCAAATCCCAGCCATGCCGAAGCCACTCTGCTCCATCTGGAGTCATTCCTCAGGACACCATGGACCCTCCTGCTTTACCCCCCAAACCTTACCACTCCCGGCTGCCGAACATGGAGAACGAGGAGGGGATGATGATTGAAGATGATGACAAACACCGCCCGTTGCATCGTAAAGTGTCCCAACCAGTGAGTGGTGCAAAGGAAGAGCAGGCCAGGGTGGCATGGGAGCACGGCATCAGTGAGCAGTAGGGACAGCTCCTGGTACGCAGCTGGCATTGGCATTCCAGGTCTGGATACGACAGAGAGACAGCAGGACTCGGAGAACAGCAAACCGATTTTCTACTGCCGCAAGGTTATGTCTGAAGCCCACAAAAGCAAGTTGGGCCAGCATGGCAGGTTGCTGCTTTCCTTTTTAATTTCTTTTTACACCTTTCCGTTATGTTTTTTAACTTTCTGTGCAGTGGACAGTTTATTCCTTCTGCAGTTTCTTAACCACATCACACGGCATATGAGCCATAGAGACTTGCAGAAGCTGAAAAATACAATTTTAAGTGGAGGGGAAAACGGGGGGAATGTGGCAAGTTGATTTTGAACCTGCTTTCCTCCCAGTTCTGAGACGCACATGAGTAGAAGCAGTTGCACTAGGGACATATTTCTTTGCTGTACAGAATTGAAAGCTCATTGCTGAAATCAGGGATTCTATGAACTGTCAGGCTGGAAGGTGCATGAGCTGCAGGCAGTGGAAAGATGGCAATTCTAAGAAGAAATTGGCTCTTTTGAGAGCAGGATTGTACATATCTGTGCAGTGATCTCCCTGCATTGGTTCATAGGTGCTGAGGCAATCTAAAGCAGTGCTGATGCACTGATCTCCAAGATATCATTTCCAAGAAACTCTGCCTCCTTTGTTTTTTATGTACTGTTTCATTTCTTAAATTTTGCTTTCACTGGCTAAGCCAACCTGCTTTCTCATGGGAATCATGTTATTCATCTGTGCTACAGAACGAGAGGAGGTTGGTGGCTACTGGAGCTACAACCTCATTGTAGGCCTTTCCCATGCCCAGCTTTGGGCAGGCTGTTGACACCAGCATTTCTATTCCAGATTAAAACAAAACCAACCAAATTGAGTTTCTCATGCCACAAGCTGGTTGACCCAGCCAGTAAAGAAAAGGTGGCTTAAACACATCATATCCAACAATCTTTGCCTCAGGGCTGAACATCATAATTCTCACCAACTTCCATCACCCAGGAGCTGAGATTCATTCCTGTTAACTCAATATCCTCAGTCCCCCTCAACAACTCACTGCAGCTGGTGTGCAGAAAGAATCTCCCATCTCTCAGAGCAGACAGAAAACACCAAGACTTGAGCAATGCCTGGTATCAAGTGTACACCCCAGAGTCAGGGACCTTAAAGGCAACCTGTAAACAACAAGTGTTTGTTTCCTCTTTTGCTTCTTTAGAATGTATAGTAAGAGCTGCTGCTCCTCTCTTCTGGAAGGTTGATTTCTTTTTCCTTTTCTCCTCAGGCAACAATACACCCTTTCCCCATCCCATATTTTTTATTAATAAGCTCTAGAAAGGGCTGAGGAACATTGTGGGGAACCAAGCCACACCACACAAACCAGAACTGTGCAGAGCTGAAGACAGTTCAGGTCTATGAACCCAAAACATGCCTTTTAATCAGTACTTGCACAGTTCAGGAAGAAAGTATCTGTGGGTAATATTGTTCTTTACAAAGAAAATATCTTGGTTCTAAGAAACCTTTTATTCCTGTTTTCATCCTTATCAAGAAATTTTCAATCAAAATAGTATCAAATATTTAATGGTTTTGGATGAACAAGCCACCTTCCTTTCCCTTGCCATACCCACACACATTTTAGCCTTCCTTACAACCCTTTTACCTGCAGACTGCAAAGCACACTCCGTAAGATGGAACCAGCCCTCCCTCTTTCCTACTGCTGAAAAATCTGAAGCACATTCAAATAAGACCTCCACCATATAAATTAGTGCCAGAAACAGGAACAGCACCCAACTTACATCTTGAATTCCTGTCTAACTGCTCTGCTAAAAACAGCATAAAGAAGCAAAAAGGGATTCTTATAAATCTTTTACAGGTCACCTTTAGCACTACCTCTAAATACAGTGACTGGGCAGAGTACATGGTTTCTGAACTGGCTAAGGATGGTTTGGCTGTATAAAGTCTGGACTCAGCAGTTGTATGAAGGGGACTTTTAAGAGGATTTGTTTGTTTTCTTTCTCAAGCTCTAGCCCATGCAAAACTACTAAGTTATGGATTTGTTTCTTAAATGGCCTATTTGGCTGGAACAAAGTCTCTCTTGCTTCCTCTATTTTGTTACTAACACAGGCTGCTTGTAATCATTATATCCTTCACAATTTAAACAATGAAAATAAAATCTGGCCTATAGTGGATGTTTCATCTTTAGCAGGAAGGAGAGTTTTCCAATGCTAGGACAGTCTTCATTGTTAACAAACCAAGCTGGATGTCTGGTATAGAACAAATGCAGGAAACCCACTGGTGTTTTCAGTAAAGGTAAGTCAAGGTAATTCCTTAGAAAAGGGTGAAATGTTTTCACATATGCTATTCTCCAATCCCACTGAGACTCTTCCAGTGAAGTTCTTAAAAGAACTAAGTTTTAATTCCATTTCCCTTGCCCCAGTTTCTTTTTTTTTCCTGGCAGCAAGACTAAAAGTAGTAAATGTAGTGACTTACCAAGCTTCCTTAATGTGAAAAACCAGCAGGTCTTGCAAATAAAACTTTGCATAACCAAGAATGCAATTACCATAGGACTGAGTCCCAGGAAAACCTGCCCACCAGATCTCAAATCAGTCACTGAAAATGCATCCTCCTGCTCTGATTAGAGACCTGGTACAACAGCAGTGAGTCCATTTGGGGAGTCTGGCTTTCCTATGTATTTGCAAGAGTTCAAAGATCAATCAGGTGATGTGTAAAAATACCTAATATATGGCAGGTCCACATAAAGAGGGGTGGAATAAATTGCTGAGTTTACCAAATTTAAGCCTCTCTGGAGTTAAATTTCTGTTATTGTTCTGATATCTACCAAGTATTCTGTCTCCCTTTTCAGTGTTTGCCTTCAAGGGAGCAGAAGATGGAAAGACTATTATTGAGATTTTGTGAATCTTGGAACTAATATTGCCTGGAACTACTATTTCTCTGTAGGGTGAGGTGTCTTTTAGCATAGTACAACTCCAACGTCAAGCTCAGTCCTGGAGTAGGTGGAAGCAACAGCAGTTGTTGCACTTGCCCAACAGGATTTGAAGATTGCTTGTATAAATCACAGCAACAGGATATTTTGAACAGGACCTTGACATTCTATACCTAACTCTAATTCAAACCTCAGTGTACTTGCTTTCATTGGGTTTTCTCTGCATAAGAAAATAGCATGTGCATTCCTGAGAAAATTGGTGGAATTCTGCTATAAATCTCTCCATCGTCAGTGTACCTGCTGGCCCCATCTGAAACAAAATTGAGAAGGAGCTACAGTGGTAGAAGAAAAGCAATTAAAACAATTTCTCTGAATCCTACGTTTTTTTCCCAATAGTTGGGTTGGTTTTATTGCTGTATGCAAGACTCAGATCCTTTTTCGTATTTTCCTGTTTGGTTTTTAGCTTACTTACCCTTTTTTAGGTAAGGGATATTGCATATCCCTTCTAAGGAGTATCAGCCAAAACTGGGGAGGCTGGAGAGAGCAAGAGCCTTTGGGAAACAAATTATGTGATATTTAAAACTTCCTCTGGTCATGCTTCTTTGTAAATACCCCCATTTGAATGCTGTGTATTTGTACAGGAAATTGAGCAAAAAATGTATAGATTGTGATGTCTGACTGGTATTCTGCCCTGTAAATGTGTTTTTAACCTCTGGCATTCTGTGCTTATTTAAAAAAAAAAAAAAAGGCGAAAACCTCTAACCACTTCTCTTTTGTGTATTCATGTTTAAAATAAAATGAAAACAGCTATCTTATCTATAATGGAAATCAAATTCAAAAGGAAAAAATTAATTTGTACAAGTGTCCTAAAGGTACTTCATTGTATATATTGTGATAGCATGTTTCCAGAACCAACAAATAAGTGGTGTGAATTTTAGATGTAAATATCTGCCGTTTGTTTTGGGTTCCTTTCCCTTACCCATTCACTCGACTGCTGTGATGTGGAATTAAAGATTAATACCTGATATTAAAACAGTACAGCTGTATGGTCATTGCTGTCCTTGAGGCAGGGCTATCCTCAGGCTGCTCCAAACCTTCACAAGAGACAAGGAAGAGCCCTCACTTCCCACCTTTGTGTGAATGAGAAAAACGGGGGGCAACCCAAAGGACTTTGTGTGTGGTGAGGGAACAGCTTCCATATTTAATTGTTATTTAATATCAACTTCTTGAAGCAAGCAGCAGGTACAGCCCCCTCCTGGTCTAGTCAGGTAGATGGGCACTTGCAACAGGCACAGTTCTGGGGCAATCCTTTCAGAGAAAAGCTCTCCCCTAGGCCAGCAGTGGAGTGGTTGGGTGCCACTCCCTTATCAGCTGGGGTTGAACCACTGCTGTCTCACTGTCCAAAAGACTGCTACTCTTTTATTGCAATAGTTCTTAGATACTGGTCATTTTAACAGAATAGGTGTGAAAGAATAGTAGTTAAGACACGTGGGAACACAGGATTTGGAAATTGAGAGCTATGGTGACTTCTACAGGCTCCTAATCTCAAATTTTCTTCCATTACCACTAATAAACCAGGTCATTGTACAGAAGGCCAAAAAACTCATTTAATGTCTCGACAAACCAACAAAAAAAACTTTGAAACCAAAAGACATTTAGCAGCAAGTCTGACTCTTCAGGTGGCCCCAGGATGTACATGGACTGCCAAGGCCCCCTTTGCACATGCCCCATACAAATACTGAGAAGAGAAACTGTAACAGCGTACTGAAGTCTGTATCAGTCATAGAATAGAATCATAGAATCATTCAGGTTGGAAAAGACCTCCAAGATCACCAAGATCTTCAACCAAATACCACTCTGCCCTCTAAGCCATATTGTGAAGTGCCACGTCCACTTGGTTTTTGAACACTGCCAGGGATGGTGACTCCACCATTTCCCTGGGCAACCTCTTCCAGGGCTTAACCATCCTTTCAGTGCAGAAATTTTTCCTAATATCCAACCTGAACCTTCCCTGACACAACTTAAGGCCATTTCCTCTTCTCTTGTCCCATGTTCCCTGGGAGAAAAGGCTGACCCATACCTGGCTACAGCCTTTCAGGCAGCTGTAGAGAGTGTTAAGACCTCCAGCCTGAACACCCTTGTACCCTCAGCCACTCCTGCTAGGACTTATGTTCCCAACCCTTCACCCTGTCTTCAATCAGACCCTTTGAGACTGTTTTTAAGCCAGCTTATTAAATCTTAGTTAAGTATTTTTTATTTGGACAAAAAGTATTTATTAACCAAGCACAAGTAATAAAAACTGTGTTTTGGCACAACAAAATATTTCAACTTTAAACAAGAGTTTCAAAAATACTCTAGTTTCTGTTAAATCCAACAGAACAATTTTTTTCAGTGCAAGTCCAATACTTTATTTAAGCTGCCGCTAGTCAGATTGAAATCTAAATCCCATGTCCAAATACCTCTTCTTATCTAAATAAGAAAACTTCAGCACAGTTTCAAAATATGACTTGTCTGACTCAGTATGAATTTCATTACAAAGCTGATAAGAGGA